CCATTGCAGATCTTTAAGATTTAATTTTTTAAAGTTCTACTTTTTATATACTTTATACTTTTTGTTACCTGCAGAAATTTCTGCGCAAATTTCAAATACGTGCGGAATAAATCCAGTTTGTTGTTTATAGAACCATAGGGAAAATCAATAATCGCAGCAAAAAGAGAACGCAGAGCTTGTTTATTTTTATATTTTTCCTCTTTACTGCTTCGATGTCGAATCAAACGGAAAGATATTGCCCTCAAAAATCATAGCCATACATGTTTTTGACAAAATACGAAATACTTTTAATAAATTAAGATATGTTAAGAATAGTAAAATGGTTTAATATTATTTATATTGATGACATTCTCCTGAAGCTCGACAAACTTGTCATCTAGAGGATCCTAGTAGTGGGCTTTAATGTTTCTGTAATTAACGATAATTTATTGATGGCGGAGGGAGGGTTTGCTGCAAAGTAAAGCCGAAGAGATAAGAAACAGGCATCGGCACGAAGTTGATCCAAAGGGTTGGAGAGATTTCTCCCTCTCTCCAGCTCACCCCTTTTCCGAGCAGTTGCCGTGCAACCCCATCGAATCAGCTGGTAGGCCACTTGCGCACTTCTAGTCTAATACAGGAATTTCAATTTAAAGCTTCAAAAATACTAAAGTTGATTACATGCAGCTCAGTGAGCAGGAATAGCAACAGCAGAGGATGGAATGAGATGGGATGGGAAGAGGTCCTGTCCTGGGGTTGTTCGCAATTCTATCGGCAATATTTTGCAGTTGCCAGTGTATCGGCATTTTGGCATGATATTGTATGGATATGGAATCGTATTATCGTTTGAAACCTAATTTCAGATCAAAGTGACAAAAGTTCAGCATCAATTTATTTTATGACCAGAACTTTTAATGTAATTAAAATGGACAATGCTTGAATTGCGCTACAGTTTTAAGCTCGCCGGCTGCTTTAAGTTGCCCAAAAGTGTGTCTAAAACTACGCCACACTCCCACAAGCCCCCACCCCACAGCATCCCATTCTACTCGGCACCAACCCACACAGACACACACGAGCGCGCTTTGGCGCTGTGCTGGCCATAAAGTAGTCGAGTTACTTGCTAGGATTACTTCGGCGCGCCCTTGCGAAGCACCCCAAAAGGCACAAAGAGACGTACAGAGGCAGGCCAGCAGCCAAGAACTTTGGCTTGGAGCCAAAAAACGATGGACGAAAAAAAGTAACAAAATACTGAGTCTCCCAAAGAGCATGGAGACACAGTGCGACCAGCTGACGATCCTGTGGAAGTGAAGTGAAGTGAAGTATGGGAGCAGCGAATATCGTCAGTGCTTTGGTCAGGATCTGCTTTGCAAAGAATTTAAACAGTTTCTAAGCGCCCCAACGCACACACACACACACACAGTTGGCTTAAACTATCGGCTTCGGAGCAAAACACACAAAGCCAACAAAGGCGGTGACAGCAACAACTGATGCAGGAAAGGAAGGTAGGAAGGCTGGGACCCGGGAGCAACATTTTCAACTGCTGTCGCTGCCGCTGCCGCTGCCGTTGCTGCCACCGAATGAAAGAACGGATGTGCGGACAGGCGAACAGACGAACGGAAGCACGGACAAACAAACGGATAACGAAAGCAACGATGGCGGCACGAAGGACGCCGCAACTGAAGGAACGAATGAAACGAACGACGCACATGAATATAAGCGCAGAGCACGCTGATAACACAGTAGTAGCTCCAGGATGCCCGCCGGGGGTGGTGGCAACGTGGGTGGTGGTGCTGGCAGAGGGTTTGTAAATTTTGAACATTTTAGAGCAACCGAACCAACTGAGGCATGCGAACTTTCTACGTAAGATTGTCTGAAGACTGAAACGAATTGCGGCATGGAATGGAGTCTATGGTGTGCCGCACAGTCGCCCATGCATCCCCTGCAGTTCTAAGTGTGGCAGTGTGGCTACGAGTAACATTTTCACTAGATTGCTGGATCTAGTTCCGTTATTGTAATGAAATACACAAAATATATTTTCTAGATATTAAATCGTGGCATAGTGCTCAACAAGCTGGGAAACCCAAATAGTTTGTTAGAGTTTGTTCTAAAGTAGGGTTTTAAAGACGACATTACCCCATCATCACAGATGCATGATTGAAGATCGAAATTGTATACTTGCCCTCTTAAATTATGAAATGCTAAGCCCCAGGCTTTTCGCCAAATCTACTCCTGGCCGAATCGCAACCAAAAAAAATAAACAAAAAATTAAAAATATAAAACCCCAAAAGAAATCACAGAAAAGCACTAAGCCGTAAAAGGAATCTATAACGAATCTATAAACGTACTTTACTTTAGTAAAATTGTCCGTTACTAAGAAGTATTTTTGTTTAATTTAGATTTAATTTATTTCTTAAATTCGCAAAGTAAATAATAGTTGTTTTGTGTTAAATGAAAAAAAAAATAAAATAAAATAAAATAGAAAAGAACATTAGCACGAATCGTTAAGTCCCTTTATAAGAATTGGATGTTGCGCTCCTAGCTAAATACTAAATGTAAATCAGATTTAGTTTCTTATCTTATAAAACAGTATTTTGTTCTTTACCCTCAATTGGAATTTATATTCTAAGATCAGTAAATCTTTTTTAATTATATTTCTTCCTTTACATCTATATATATCGAAATAAGGAATATGCTAATCGAGAGATTGTAAATTGTGGATTCAAAATAAAAACATTGGTTTAAAATTCATAAATTTAAAGAGGAGTTTTTCTTGTTCATATTAAATTAAAATGAATTCAGCGAAATTAGCTTTTTGAAGACATACAAAGTCTGTTTTATAGAGCCTAAAGGAAGAAAATGCCGTGAGGAAACTTTAGAAGCGCGACACTGTGACGAACCAGTTGTTGTTTTTGTAATAATGTGCACAAATGTGATACAGATAGTGCAAGATAGTTTCTGTAGAGGTCTAGTCAACAGTACATACATATTGCAGAAATAAATTGCTGTCTTATCCTTCACTACAAAGGCATTTTATTTATCGGTAAAGATGGATTTCACATTAATATTAAATACGTAATTTCGTTATATGTAATTTCAGTACTATCAGGTGAATATGTTCACTTAATCCATTGATTAATTTTGAAATACATTTTGCATGTAGAATCAGCTTTGCGGACCTATAATGGATACTGTGTCCCTGTAACTAAGTACTAGGAACTAGTAGTTCAACGAAAGTCGCGTCAGCTGAAGGGTAAATGGAGCCAAAGTGTGTAAGTAGTAGAGTAGCGCCTGAACGAAACAATTTGTAATTTATTTGCGAAGCGTGCTATGCGGCGTGCGAAAAGCCGGAGCAGCTGCCAAAGGCGTAGCCGTCGTTCCGAAATGTCGGGCTCCCCATGCTGGTTGCCGCGATGTGGCAACACATCGAGATACAGATACAGATGATGCTCACACACAGACTTACAGACACCGAGACTCGGAGAGATGCGCTCATATTCTGGTAGCTCTACGAATTTGTCGTGGGCGGTTGGGTTGGGTTTGGTTGGGGTTTGGGTTGGCATCGGGTGACGGTGACGATGACGATGATGTTAGGGGGGGGGGCAGTGACGGCGAATCTGACTTTGCCACGCTTTGGCATTTGGGGGTGGCGCTCCCAACTTTAAAGGCCTTTAAATTCTCTTAGTAATGTATACATATATAAATAGTTGGAGGCGAGTTGTAAATTTAAATTGAGTTGGAGAGCGTTTTGAACATTTATTTAATGTATTGTATTGTATTTGTTGTTATGCATGAATATAATGCTTTAAAACTTTATGATTTACAATTTAGAAGTTCATTTCTGTGCACTTACATACATCTCTTTTTAAATGTTTTATGATTTGTTTGATCAGATCTTATCCTAGTATTTCAATTTTTATTTTTTTTCTCTTTGTTTGCATATTTACAAACTATTTAATATTTATAACAATCATCGGGCCGAATGGGTATACAAGATGCATGTATGTGTTTGATTGAAGTTATTTGTTGTTGGAAGCTATTGACTTTGTTACTCAGTCGGCAGTATTGAACGTGCTTTGTGAAAGTGCGTTCAGAAACGATTTTGAAAATTGTTCGAGAGCCAAAAACCATATATAGTATATGCATATACATTGTTTAGTCATATTTAATTGATTAATATTATTGCTATAAATAAAATGCTATTGTAAAAAACTTTGCAATCTATTTGCTTGCTTTTCTCTTATCAAAAATTGTATGTTGTGGCTTAAATATTTCAAAAGCTCTGCTACACAAAACTGATTGTATGCATTATATTTACTATTTGATGGGTTTTAAAAAGCGACTTTTTGCAGGTCTACCAACTTCTGTGGGTGCGTCCAACTCCAACAGATTGGGATAAAAATTAACGTATATAGAACGTTGCAACAAATTATTGAAACGCATCTGGGTTATATCTATGGTAGTCCTTTATCAGTCTTCTTTGAGAAATCATAATAAAATTTACTATTTCTATTTCAAATCTAAATCCTACTTCGTTGTGTCATGCATTATCTAGGGAAATTAAAAAAAACTTTTTAATATGCTCTATGGTTGAAAATTATATTATGCATTGTATTCAATAAGTAACGGATACAAAAACTATGGGATGCGGTTTTCTACCACACACAATGTTCGTGTTAAACTCTCGCGATTAATGGCAATACAATATTTTTATAATCATTTGTCAATTTGTTGGCGGCATCTCTAACAATATCTTCAATTCAATTAGACGAACAAGTTAGTTCAGTGGTCCTATCTGTCCATACATTTTGTAGGATTTACTTTCTGAAAACATTCATATTTGATATTCTCACATATGTAGCTTGTGTAACATTTGAATACACATTTTGCCATTAAATATATTTTTCAATAAATTAGGAGTAAAATATTACAATACATGTATGTACGTACGCATGTATGTATGTACGAGACAGTTGCTCAAAATATTTACAATGCTATAAATTAAATCAAGGTAACGGCACATGAAATACGTTCAGAACTACACAGACCACGGGGCGTTGTGGAGTAAATGCAGTTATAATTACAATTACAGATACAGTTACAAAACGTGAACAATTGAAGGTTGGTGGTGTGCGTGGAAGCGTACGTTTCTGAGGGCTGCCGACGCAGCCGGGATCTGCTTTACGTTAACGCTAATTCATCGCGAATCATCGCCACCTTATACTTGCTAAACTTAAACACCAGATATAGATTTACAATTGTACTTAAGCTAGAATTAATTAGAATTTACAATTTTTAGTTGTACACATGGGTTTGAGAGGAAATGTGGTAGCCCGAACTGTAGAGCTGGGCGTAGAATATCAAAAAACATGCGAAGGATAACACCAACCAGAAAAAACTCTAGCGAATGTTGTTTGTGTGCGATCGATCCAGAAGCGATTTGTGTATGAATTCTTTAGACCCCTGGTAAGGCGCTTGCACAAGCACATTGGCTAAGTTATACGGATCCGAACTCCCAACTCTAACTTCGGCTGTCGTTACTTTCACTAAAACTCTGTTCACTCGATTCCCGCCTACTGCTCACGGGCTTCGCCTTGTATTCTGTGATGAACACTGTAACCGAATTGACGGTCACCTCGCGGGTTTGTGCCGTCGACCGATCCACATTCTTCAAGCGCGCTGGATACCTTTTGTGTCGCTGTCTATCGTGACCCGTGCCGTGGCGGGAGCTGGATGCAGATTTACCATTTGGCATGTTGCCGGAAGCGCCTGGCAATGTGGCAGCCTGTTGAGCGACTAGCGCAGAGTTTAGACGGGGCTTGCGGGTTGAAGTGCCTACGACAATGAAAACGAATTATATTAGTGAAACTCACAATAGGTGATGAATTTGCGGCAAAAATATCAAATTGCTACTAAGGAATTGTCAATTGCTGCCGTTATGTCTGTTCTTCACGATATTTTACATTGTTGACGATGACGCTGATTGCTGCTCATCACCAGCAGCCAAATTGGGGTCACTCACCTTTCCGCACGTCACACATGCGACACTTGAATGCCTCCGCCGAGTTCCTGTAGGTGCAGACACTGCAGTCCCAAAAGTTTTCCTCAATCACCTTTGATTGCCGTTTTTGTCGTCGCACGGGCGATGATTTTTTGTCCATAATAATAATGCTGAGCTAAATTGTAAAATGCAGCTAGCTGGCACAATTTTCGCCTCGGTTGTTTTGCAACTGTTGTTGTTGCTGTCTCTGCAGTCGCCGTCTATTCTGCTGTCGCTGCTGCTGCTGGCTATCTCGGAGCGAGGAAAAAGCTGCTCGTCAACGGTCGCTGCAGCACTCGGGCGCATTCACAGGTCGTTTGCTTAAGGCTTTCTTTGAATTATTTCCAAATTAGAAGACTTTTTATATAAACTTTCTGCAGTTGTAATTTTTGTGGCAAGGCAACTAGCAGTAGTCAGAAGTGTGACCAAATTGCAGAAAATGCATTTGACCGAAAACAGTCGGCAAAAATGTTTAGTTGCATAAAACCATAACGTTTTCGGCTTCAATATAAGAAAAGTGAAAATTTTAAACAACTTTTTCGAACTATAACATTTAATTGGTAGACCAACAACGAAACAGCTAAATATGTACATTAGATGCAACTCTGTGTATTCAGTTTGATTGGAAGTGGCAGCGCCATATGAAAAGGTCAGTTAATTTTTAAATGGAATAAAAATCATTGTACATATACTGAGTCCATCTGGCGGGTACCAAAAGAAGCTTCACATTTTTGGCACTTGGAGGCGCTAACAACATTCCAATTTGGTCGCTTAACAAAATTTGAGTGTTTAAGATAGATTTTAAGATTTGTTTAGTTAATTAAATCATCTATTAAACACATATTTTATATATTTCTTAATAATTCGAGAAAGTGTTTTGACTTAATTTTAAAAAATCTATCAATCTCCTTGCTTTAAATGATTTTAACATAATGCGACTTTTTTGGTGTTTTATTTCATTAAAATAAACAAGGAAGAATGTTGGTTTGTATAGATACGGATTATATGGTAAATACATAAAAACATGCGCTAGCAGCCTACACGCAGTGCTCTAGATTCTTATGTGTATTTATGTACATAGCTACTTCAAAAGGTTGCTGTCTATAAACAATAAAACTTTAGTTTTATTTTAAAGTTGAAAGCGGTAGAGTTGGCATAAAAACTAATATTGATTAATATTTGCCGATTTAGCCAATTTTGGAGTGTGTTCGTTGCCCACGCAGCCTGCCAAACAGTCGTCGTATCTGCGTAAGGCCAATGCCAGCACAGTAAGCTGCTCTTGTTGTTGTTGTTGTTGTTTATTATTATCATCATCGTAATATATGAACAAGCAAATAAGCGAAGAGTCTGAGAACTACTTATGTACAAGTATATTGTCGCAGACTTGTTTCGCTGCATTGCGGCCGAAAGCCAGTGGACTTTGGTTGATTATCTAGCGAATGCTCATCCGTACAAATATTGCCTTATCTAATTGTATGCAGATTCCAAATCAGTTCACTTCACTCCGCGTGGACTGTAGCTGCCCAAGAAGGTGTTGCATTTGGAACAGTAATGGTTGCCCGTTCGGCAGCTATTCATGCAGTACGGAACGCAGCAGGCACAGCAGCACCACCTTTATTAAATTAATAATGTGTTAAACCAATCCTAGAGTATATCCTCTTCCTCTCCCTTCTAACTTACCCAACGAGGCAGAGTAGACCGGCGCCCAGATGGGTCCGCGTGTTGGGCGTATGGGTCATGCGAGAGACCTTCTGTGCGCCACAAGCTGGACAGATAACGCTGCATGGATTCGGACCCAAATGCAGGGGAGCTGCGTCAGATAGATATTTAATTTTGTTTTACAAGTATGTATCTGTTAAAATGCAACACAGCTGGGCGATTGTTTTGAAATAACAACTTACCCGAATGCACAAATGTTGGTTCTTGCAGATGTTGTTGTTGTTGTGCTGTGGTTGTTGCTGTTCTTGTTGGCAATGGTTGTCCGGTTACGACTAAGACTGGTGGTGGCTGGGACGGGTTGCGCGGCATGGCTGGCTCCGATATTGCAACATCATATGATGGCGGCGCCTCCAATGGCACCTCCGGACTGCCATGCTCGATGTCGCGTGTCGGAGCCGTTGGTGTGTTGAAATCAACCTGCGGATAGAGCATTGCACGCTTTCGATCCATCGTTCGTCAAGTATCTGAGCGTTTCTTCAACAAAGTACAAAGTTCAACCAAACCGACACCTTAATGAGTCAGTTTAGAGCTGTAAGTGTATATTTGCTTTTTTAATTTTGTTTTATTTTATTGTCTAAGTTGCAGATGCGGCCTTAACAGTTTTTGTTGCTCACACTTGCGCTTTCAAAACGCGACTGAATTCGAGTTTTCCATCGAAATGAGCAGCTTATGGTGAGCGCCGGCGAGTATTTCAATTCAATTTTCAAAAGCTTGCTCAAAATACTCCGCACATGTTAACATGTTAGCTTGTCAACTGAAAGCCAAAAACAATCGCGAAATCTTTCCAACCAAAAAGCTGCTCTTTCTACACTGAGAGAATGATGTAGCAAATACAATTATTTGCATTTGTTAAACTTTAAAGAAATGGCTTCATTTTTACTTAAGTTGCTGCAGGGTTGACTAAAATAAGAACACAATTTTTGGTAAAATAAAATAAACATAAAGAGGCAGTTTCCCTTTTCCGAATTCAATCAAATTTGTTTAATAAATTAAGCATTAATATCGTGCCAGACCGACTCTGCAATACCTTGAAACTGAACTTTGCAGTGCCAATCGTTCGCTTGCTTTTTCGTAATAGAGCCAAAACTTATGATTTGATACTACGATTCATATAATAGTGTCCAGATTTAATCAAACTTCAGATTTTTGGGTGGCACAAGACTCAAAAGTATCACATTTTTCTTAAGATGATCGTATATGTATGTATCTACCTGTAATAACTTTCTAATATATATAGGCAAAAGCATTTATCGTCGTAGGAAAATAAGAATCGACTTTAACAGATTCAACTATTTGAACATTTTTCTAAAAATGGAAACCTATGCACTTTAATTCTCCAATTAATTCTCAATTTAATTAAAATCGTTGAAAAATTATAACTACATATAAAGAGGTAGTTTATACAAGTTAGTAATTGTGTGGATTCATGATATTTTAAAGTAATATATTTTATTTTAAATGTACAAGACCAAGTGTTATTACATCTACATCTATTAGTTTCTAATAAATGTATGCTTTTGTTTCTGATGCTTCAATTGTAGTGTTCCTTTTTTGTATTTCTCTGGGTGCAGATTTGATTTATTTATCTCGCGCGCTACACTGTTTCCCTCTGTCATGGCCACAATTACGAGTAGATAGCAAAGTTTACTCTGATATCGGGAAATATATAGTCACATGCTCCGAATGCGAATATATTTGAGAGCTCCGACTGGGCGCAGCCTCAATTGCGCACATAGGTCCCCAGATAATGGTCGCACATGCCGCAGTAGTGGTTCGTGTTCATGCAGCTGCCAATGCAGTAGGGGAGGCAGACGCAGCAGTAGAGTCTGAAGAAATGTTCCAAAATAGGTAACCAAGGGATAATGGGAAATAAACACTGGCACTTACTGAAACAAGCAGAGCAGTAGAGCAATCAGATGGGTGCGTGAGTTGGGTCTGAAGCGTACCCGCGTGCGTATGAAGTTGTGGCAGAAAGGACACTGAACATCGACGGGTCCGGGTCCATAAGCTACTGACGACGGCGGCACAATGATGACTGTGTGAGATGGTCCTGTTGTCTGAGCTGGCGTAGCTATGGGCGCTGCTATCGGGACCTTTGCCGTGGCCTGATCATAACTAGGCGGAGCCTGTCGCAATGGTCGTCCCTGCTCCTGATCCCTGGACTGCTCCTCAGTGGGAGCTGTGGGATAAATGCGTTCCATTTTTTCTATGAATTGTCAATAACGACAAGGTGTGGTTGACTCGTCATTCAAACAAACGGGCCAGCTTTGTAGCAATCGCAATGCAAACGCTAACCGCAATATCGAAATATGTGTGTACCCCACGCACACACACACCCTCACAACACCAAACACCCGTATCAGTTCTTATCAATTAAAGCCTTTTGCGCCACTCTCTGGAAAAGCTCTTCGTATATGGGCCCGCTTCTTCCGAGTATCTCTTGATTGCCATTTCCAACACCAACGAAAAAATGTTCGCACTACAATTATGTATGTTAATTAAAAATATTTGCCCTTTTATGGCTCTTTATTATTTGCTTTATTTACTAACAACTTCCATGTAACTTATGTAACTTATATGCTTATGTATGTTGATGATGGGAAATTTATTCTATCATAGAAAATGTTCTAAATGTAAGTTAGAGAGATAAATAATTTAGAATTTCAAAGATATTGGGGTACTATTTGATTCCAAATTGAACTTACTTTCCACATTTCAACTTGGATTTATTAAATGTTGGAGTTGAATGATCCTCATACAACTCATTTTCTATACACTTCTCCTTGTACTGAACATCTCAGGGATAATCCCTTACCATATATGGCTATATTCTATTATAAAATGTTCTATTATAAAATAATATTTTAGCTCTGTTTAAAATTTTTTAACGCATTTCTTCAACTTAAATATTGACAAAATCATATATCAAAAGCTTGAATGAGCCAAGAATCGTTTTACGACTCCCGTTTCCAGACATCCAATAGGCACTTTATGATCTAAGATAGGAATACATTGAAGAAATGATTCACGGTGATTCATTCTTTTCAATGCCATCAAAATTGTTGTGTTTTACAATAAAGATTACATTGATACGATCGAGTACAACTCTGGGTGCGAATAGACTACATAGCCCTTTATTATTTAGCAAAATTAGTATGTAATACAAAGTTTGGATATGTTTAATTTAAGATCATAATTCGTTAGATTGAAATTCATTTTTGTTTAATAAATTCATTTAAGTTTAATAAAATTGCTCGTTGAATTCAATAAATATTTGTACTTTTTTAGCTCCAGTATAAAAAACATTTGCGGATGACTTTTAATTTAGGATTGATTTATAATTGTGAAGTAAAAATTGTAAATTAATGAAATATTATAATCGCTACGTAAAACAAGTGATAATAAATGTTGCGTAAAATATGTTTAATACAGAGCTTTGCAGCAATGTTGCCGCAGCAATGTCGCCAGCATTGGAGCAACAAAAAAGTTCGGACATAAAAGAAAAAATTAATCCGTTGGCCGAACGCTTGTTTAAAAAAAGGAAATTTTGTAAGATATGTTCTTATTAAGAGATTCGCATTGAAGTGTGAAGGACCCTTAATGCTCTGCTGATTAATATTTTAATATATATACTATATTCATTAAAATATACTACGAAGATGAAAAAAAAACATGTTTGTTTTTTTAAATGCCAACTTTACACTTATTAGCAATAAAAAATATAGTAAATAATTAAAGAATTTAAAACAAAAAACATACAAGAAAATATCATCAAACAAATAATATAGTACTATATATTTAAGGGAATGGAATTTATATCACTGATTGTTATTTAAGTTCTCAATAATAATACACTTGTATTTGTAACACAGAAAGTGGAAATTAATTGTTGTAAGTGCCAAGGTAAGAGCCACAGCTGGAGCAGACGTGTTCAGCGCTCTTGCAGGAGTCGAAGCAGTAGGGAATGCAACAACAACAGCTTTGGGAAAGAGTAATTTGTAGTCGAGTATGGATGGATGATTTGATGGATGCTCACTTACGAGGTTAGGCACAGAACAAGTGCGATGAGATGCGTCTTGGTGCTGGACTTGTAAGTCACTTTGCTGAAGTTACGGGCATTGCAGGACGGGCACACGACCATGGAAGGCTTGCTGCCAAAATGGTTCATCACTTGGGCTGTTTTTAAGATACCAAGAAACTGTTAGCAAATAAACATACTTGCAATATTTACTAGCTTACGCTGCACAACGTAGACAGGTGGCTGTGGCGCCACCGAAGCAAATGCCAGCTGAGCTGGTGCGGCAGCTGGAGCTAGAGTTGGAGCCGATGCTGGCATTGGGACGCCCGGCATGGTACTATCGTACTCCGGTGGGGAGTCGGATTGGTTGTTAAGCGCCGGATATACGGGTTTTGATTCCATTTCCCCTTTATTCATTTTATTCTGAGCTGCGTGCAAGATGTGAGGTCTGTGCTGTTTGAAACACTACTGCGGCACTTGATCGGCGCTGCTAATCTTTACGGCCATTGCTCGTATTTAAACTTTTAAAAGTGATAGTACGATTGTCGAAGTGTGTGTGTGTGTGTATGGGTAAGACTTCCTATAATCAGTGCCATTGCATTTCTACGTCAACTTTTACATGTCCCTTGGTAAAAAGCGTCGACGGATCACTGATATGCAAAAAAAAACGTGTTTATTGGCGCCGAAGCTACATACTCTGCACAAAGCTCGTTTTCATTCCCATGGCCCCAAATACTCTGCTGTATAGTTTCCAGTGAAGGCTTTTTGTAATATTATTTCCTTTATTTTCTTTATCTTCAAATATTTACAACGCATTTATTGCGTTATTCACATTTATTGTTTAATTTTTACCTTTCTGTTTAAAGTAAAGTGTTTTTTGTACATAAGCGGAAATGTGCGATCTTTGAGATATAGTTTGTTTGTTTGAGTAGGAATGCGTCATAGTCGAGTTCTAGGAAACAGATTAGACAGTAAACTGATTGCAACTGGAGCAATAATGATCTAGACTCTTGCAACTCCATACAGTACGGTAACGGCACCAAGCAAACCAAAGTGAAACGCAGCAGATAAGAAAATATATACAAGTAGTATGTAGTTGAAAAGATACCGATGTTCATACAGTCGAACAGGCAGACTGTCTGCTCATATGCGTACCTATAATGTGAAGAGGCACGTGACTTTACCTACCATTAGTTTGTAGCACAATGACCGACTGAGATTGTGGTTTTGTTACCACAGCACTATAGTTTTTTTTCACTCTTTTTGGCATGATTTCGAAATATAAAGATGCTGGTGTATCGCCATGAAGACAAATGCAAACGAAAGGATGCGAGCTGTAGTCAATTGTGGGATCGTATAGAAAGGCTGCACAATTCAAATCAACATCTGAAGTGTTTCTTGTTGCACTTCGAAGACTATCCCGTTGTTGAGCTGTGCGATTAGCTCTAAGATTTCTCCTTTCTAATTTAGCCATTTCACGGGTTGCCTCCCTTTGCTCTAGTGTTTGAGAAGAACGAAGTAGGGACCTCCTTCGTCATTTAATTGTTTCGCTATGTTCCGTAGCCTAATTTCATCACGGCTTCGTTGGGAAAAAATGCTGCTTTGGAGCCAATGTTTTTAATAGTTATTCTGCTATTCGGAACGGAGACAAATGCAACAAATCAAAAACCATGAAAATCGGTCCAGCCGCTCTCGACTTAGGAGTATTCGAACAAACCCGACTTTGTTTTATAAACATATGTAAATAAAACAATCACTTTTAGTTGTCAATAATGTAACATAGAAAACGTGCATTGGAATGGTTATGGTATTGGAAATTTGATCAATTGTTGTAAGTTCCAACGTACGAGCCACAGCTGGAGCAGACGTGCTCAGCGCTCTTGCAGGAGTCGAAGCAGTAGGGAATGCAACAACAACAGCTGTGGGATAGAGTCGTTCTTAGTCGGGTAGGGTTGGCGGATGATCACTTACGTGGTTATGCCCAGAACAAGTGCGATGAGATGCGTCTTGGTGCTGGACTTGTAAGACACTTTGCTGAAGTTACGGGCATTGCAGGATGGGCACACGACCATGGAAGGCTTGCTGCCAAAATGGTTCATCACTTGGGCTGTTTTTAAGATACCAAGAAACTGTTAGCAAATAAACATACTTGCAATATTTACTAGCTTACGCTGCACAACGTAGACAGGTGGCTGTGGCGCCACCGAAGCAAATGCCAGCTGAGCTGGTACGGCAGCTGGAGCTAGAGTTGGAGCCGATGCTGGCATTGGGACGCCCGGCATGTTACTATCGTACTCCGGTGGGGAGTCGGATTGGTTGTTAAGCGCCGTATATACGGGTTTTGATTCCATTTCCCCTTTATTCATTTTATTTTGAGCTGCGTGCAAGATGTGAGGTCTGTGCTGTTTGAAACACTACTGCGGCACTTGCACGGCTCTGCTGCTCTCTTCAGCCATTGCTCGTATTTAATTGTTGAAGGGTGTGTGAGTGCAAAAAAACGAGCGAATAAAATTATGTTCGTTGGGGTCGAAGCTATAAAAACGGTTTTTTTCCATGGCCCCAAATATATACTCTGATGTACTATAGTTTCTAGTGAGGGATTTTCCAATTTTTGTGCTCTGTTCTCCTTTATACTTGTATTTAATTCACTTTGCATTTAATTGTGTTCTATTTACTTTTTTTGGCTACAAATAAATGAGGTACTAATACTTTGCTTTGGTAATTCAGTTCGCTGCCTCCAAGTGCCAACAGATCCATTCCGTACTACAGGGTCGCATCTTTGTAGGGTACATAAAGGTAGGGTGCGACCTTTTAGTACCTGCTGTGTATGTATCTACAAGTATGTTTGTATGTGTGTGACAGTACACAATTGAAAATAATCACACAAAGGTGTGTACGTAAGAAAGCTATAGTAAATGATAAATAATTGGAATGCGTCATAATCGAGTTCTAGGAAACAGATTTGCCAATAAACTGATTGCAATAGGAGCAATAATGATCTAGACTCTTGCAAGTATCCATGCAGTATGGCAACGGCACCAAGCAAATCAAACTGAAATGCAGCAGACAAGGAAATGTACAATCGCTAAAGATTGTTAATTGATTGATTGATGCAGATGCATTTTTACCCGGTTATGCAGAGCGCAAAAGAGAAGGCGTGCGTGCGCTTCGTCACCCGATGCTCCAGGCGTGTCATCACCGTGGTGTTGCAATGTGGACAGACCAGACGCTGCGACACATGCCCCAATTGCGGCTGGGCTGCCGGTTCAAAAAAAAGTTGATTACATTAACATTATTATTAAAAACTAAACATTTTGAAAAATGATTTACTTTGTGTATATTTCTAAGACGTGTCTGAAAGAAATAGTAAGTAAGTGTAATAAAAAAAAGTATAATGTATATACAAGTATGACTGTCGATCGTTAACAACTTTGCGGTTGTAAGGTGTACCCGTCGGTCTCGCTCGTACAAGTCAATACAATAACACCAAGTTCCTCTACTATGAGGAATTATTTTTGTATATTGTTCCTATTTACAAATAATAATATATGTATCTAAATATGGCTTAAAATCAACTTGGTGTTCATATGGATAAGACAAGTCTCTCAGCTGTTATAGATCAAAAGATCCCGGTGTTCATAATGTGGAAAGGCTCGTGACATTACTTACCATTCGACTGTAGCACAATGACCGGCTGAGGTTGTGGCTGTGCAAGCACAGGTCCCAGATCCTTACCAGGAGCAGTTGGCACAATAGTCAAATATTTGTCAGCAGACTTGCCACTAGGCATGAAACTGGCCTGCATATCTGGGTATAAAGGCGGCGCGTTGGGCTGTGGCTCCATTTCGTACTGAAGAACTGACGCGGCATTGCCACCAAAGGCTTTTATAGGAGCGGCCAAAAAGGCCACGTAGCTGCTGGCCAGCTTGACTGATGAAAGCTCATTAGTCATGGCTCTGGAAAAACGGCAATGCTATTCCAATAAATTGCTACATGTTCATATATATTGTTTTCATTATTTATTATTAAAGAAATCCAAAGCGCACATAAGTTCAGCAAAACAATATATGTTTAAACATTGTAAATTGTAATTATGTGTTAAAATTTATAAATATATTTTCAATTAGATATATACGGGCATATAAGCAAATATCGATCGCATTACATATTTTAACGCAAATGCTGAAAACCCTATTAATTAAAGAGAAAATAATTGAAATAATGGCAACATATTTTTCTATTTTTTGTCCATTTTCGGGGCTCAGCGCTCGAAGGTTCCTATGAAGGCTTGGCAGGAGGGGCAGTAGTGCTCGGTGTTCCGAGCACAGTCGGTGCAGTAAAGGCAGAGGGCGCAGGGGCAGCAGCTGAAATGAGAAGTTCAGAATACTGGTCAGAAGTAATTCTAAAATAAAATCAAATGTTGCTAGCTAAAAATATAAAACTGGAAATAATTGGAACCGAGTGTTATCTGTTAGTCAAATGCCACATTATCAAATTGATTTTTTATTCGTTTAATTTACAAAATTCAATTCATTAAATGCAAAATATTCAATACATACATACATAAGTTTCAACATAATACATTTATGTTAGAATCATATATCAAGCAAAAAACAAGCTCGATCTTCCGATGGCTTATGGGAACCTCGATACCAAGTGTGGTCATCCTAGCTCCTTGCGCTCAAGCGAATTATATCCAGAAGGCTCTGATTTATACATTCGTTCTGAAACCTTACCCACTGAAGACTCTGCTTCGCAGGGGGGATCGCAGACAATCAGAGCTCGAAACCCCATCAAAAAACGAGCTCGATTTCCTGATAAAAGAAAAAAACGCAACAAAAGCTTGCGTCTGAAATATTTTGGCTAACAATCGTTCTGAAACTGTACTCAACACAAGTTTTGGGTCACAGAGGGAATCTCAAACAGGAAGTGAGACAGAGCCTATTAAGAGACGAGCTCGACTATCTGATAGAAGAGCTATGAACGAAATAATCCCAAAGTACTTGAAGAGAGACGTTAGCGCCCATTGACAGTTAAAGCAATTTCTGGTTTAATGTACGATTCCAAAACTAGTTTCCATGGATCGCAAATGTAAGTTTTGTAATGCTCTTAAATGGAATGATGAGTCTCTAGGATGTGCTGCAAACAGGGAAAAGTTAATCCCCCTTAATTTAAATTTATGGACCGTAAAAGAAAATACAACAGTTGCTTCCATATACAAGTATGTACATATATGTATGTATTCGATTATACTTACCCAAAGAGGCACAATATTAGGGCAATTAAATGCGTTTTTGTGGTTGTCCTTGGCTCTGTTCGGGTTGTGACTTGTTGATGGCAACTAGGACAAATCACACTGGATGGTTCGGCGCCGACGGGGGTGGACATATCGTTAATGCTTTAAATAAAAAACAATTTCATCATTGGTTTTTTATACTTTTATTTCCATGAATGCCATTCAACCTTGACTGCATTGGCTTGCGTGCAGCACAGCTCTGATTAGCTGCCCCTATCTGTACATTATGATCAATCAATTATACAAAACTTGCACTCACTGGCACTAATTCCAAATATTTAATTAGTGTCCTTTATATGGACGAGAGCATACATGCAAGCATGCATACATGCACACACATATGTAAGTACTAAAAAATTGCATGACCAGACGACAGACGTTTTAAAAAAATACACAATAAATTGTTGGCATGCAAGCTTCAAAAACAAGTCTACCAACGCGATAGATGTGAGATCTATGTACATATATGTATGTATGCATGTAGTAGTAGTTTGTATATAAAACATTTCCGCTTTTCAGTATAAACATTCACTGAAGGCACTTTAATACTTTTCCTATCACCTATACTGCTGCGAATGGCTTTTGAGCTTGTTTTTTTGAATCGCATTAAGTACAGAATATTTCATGATAAATGAAAATAAGCAAGAATATATATTAATGTACTCTTGCGCACAGAAAATCTCATAATTGATTTTTCTTGCTCAGGAGACTTTGAATACCAGTTAGCAGCTTTTAGTTCTAATACTTCTTAATGTGTTTGGACTCATACATATATAGCGACAGAGAGACGGACGTGGATATATCGAAGCGTCTTCTCATACTGATCAACAATATTCTGAAGGAAGGTAGCTTTTTTTATTAAGAACCCTTTATACGCAGACTTTTGTGGGTCAAAATTGCACATATTTTTTGATTAAAACACAAACTAAAACATCCCCATTGTTACATAAATAATTAAAAAATATTAGCTATTAGGAGAAATATTAAGCCGATGAAATGAATAAATATTTAGTTAAGCAAATAACACATACTATCTCCAAATATATTTGATCTATATATGTTATGGGAACATATAGTATATATTTTGTCGGACCTACCACACCTCCTTCTTCTTTGCTTCGGGTACAGGATATAAGCAATTTTATGGATAGAGAAATGATATCAAAACTTTTTGGACGATATTGCTGGTTAATTAAAGAAAAATGAATAATTTCTTGCGAAGAGATGGAGCATTTATTATAATAGGCAGGTAATGCTTGTATTTCTATTTGCGTTAATATATAAAAAACCGCTCTAAATAGGAGCCTAATGGCGATTAGTAATTTTTTTCTATTGTAAAATTGTTGTAAAAAATCACAGGACATATTTTTTAAATATTTATAAATAAATTAATTAATACTAGTCACTATTATGAACATGTTCACTATAAGTATACCGGGCTTTGTCAGCTGCCATAATTTTGGAAGAAAAAAGCAGACAATCGTCTGGCGCTTAACAATGTTTTAAATATGCCTCTGATGTCATCCAATTATGCTTGCCAGCGGCAGGAGGCTTTGGTAAATGCTTCCACCAAGCTTCAAATGTAACTGAGTGGTTGAATGTGCCGCCTCCTGTGTGAAAGTGTTACTGTCGCCGCGTGCTCGATGCCGTCATTCCAACGCACCCATTCAAGGCTCTACCTATTCACGGCTAACGTCTTCATCATCAACATTGATGATAAATGAGGCAGAGTGGCGTCAATTTTCTGTTTACACACCAAATAACTAACCGGACATCTGAAATCGCTTGTTCTATATTTAAACACCTGGAGCACCCAAAAATAATACGTTACTATTTGTTGAGAGCTCGGAGCTGTAGCTCTGAGTCCCCCCTTTGACGACAAATCAAATGTTGGCACACAAAATGGGAAATTATTGGAAGAAAACGAATGGGGTAATGGGTACAAAAACATTTACACAAAATTTGCATGGTAACTTTATTGTGTTGAAAAAAAAAAAATGCATCCACTTGTTGACTCTATCTGAATCTTAATTTCAATAAAACCATTTTATTCTACCAGATTCGTTAGAATTTGCAGCTGCCCCTAAATACAGAATATCCTTGAAGTTAATTGTATTTATGAAAAACTCGAAAACTTTACTTCAACTATGCGCACTTCTAAAATACATATGTAAGTCGCTCTACTTGATTACTTACTTTTTCAATCAGTTTGCACCGCGATTATTAAATGGAACCGAAACACTTTCGTGATGAAGGTACGAAGCACATTTGAAATTGGCAACATCTTAGCTGCCCAACTGAACCGTTAGAGACAATGCTAAAATACAAAAAACACACATACTGGCTGGCAAAGCACAAAGATAGCGATTTACCGCACGTTGGTGTGAATGAGAAAGCTTTTCCATTGAAAAAATGTTATTCAACATGTTGCAGCAACAAAGTTGCAGGCAAGTACACTTCACTTGCAGTAGTGAAGTGTTGCGTGTTTAAAGCCCTTAACTAATATTCTTGTTCTAAAGTTTTTACTTCTCGAACATTGAATATTGCCTTATAAAAAGTATGTGTTTGCTTTTATGAAAGTAAATACTTTTAATTTTAAATGCTTATCCATTTTCAACGACAAACGAGGAACCAATTGTTGGAGTTTTAATAGTGCTTGTTTTAGTGCCTGTAATCTGAGTGAAAATAGATGTTATGGACATAAACTTTTGTGAGTCGGCTGTGATAGAAAGGGATCTCCGCAGGCTGAGCAGGACGCACTACCACAGAACTCATACCAGTTTTCTGTGATCCCATTAGAAACTTTACCTCTTAGAGATCCATGTACATAACATCTAAACTGTTTTCAAATAGACATTCGTATACAATGTTATTTAAGCTCACTAGTAAAGACATTTATTAATTACATAGCACATATATAAATGTAACTAAATACAATTGATAATAAAAATATGAACTTAATGCGAAAAAATACTTAAAATACTTTGAGAGGCAACGCATAAATTTTCAGCCAGCAAATTCGTTGTTCATTTTGCACTCCCCTCAGTGTCTTCGATGCATATACATACATAGATATATAAATGGGCATTTAAATTGATGACGAAAATAATGTATAACTAAGCAAACAGCTGCGAGTTCATACATGTTTATCAACCGACGAAAAGATGCTGAATCCGCTTACATGGGCGTTGCGCCTAATTTGCTGGAAATAAGTCGACAGGGATAACTGCTTTTATTCGTTATCGCTTTGCTGCAGCGATGAGACAAACGCATTCTTCACGTAGATCCTCAATACGAGACATTTTACACTTACAAATTATAAACACGAAACAAAATACGAAAATGATTTAAATAATGAACAAATTAAACTACTTAAGAGGGAGGGTGGTTGGTTGTGTGAGCGACACTCGATGATGATCTACTTCTTTTTTCCTACAATTGAGTCCATCAGGGCTCCGTACAGCTCGGGCCGCATTGCGATTTTTTGGAACTTATTGCCTTGATATTTGTTATAGATAGCCCGCAGCTTGGTAGTTGGCGCATCGCGAGCCAGTTTCGCAATTTGTTTAGTGATGGGCCTTAAATGCGTGGCCGTGTAGCGAGAGTAGTGAGCCAGTGTAGTAGTCCAGTGCTTGTCGTTGAAGCCAGTAGCAGCCTTTGAATTTCCATTTATTAAATGCAGCGACAGAAACAAAGAGGCAGCCGCAATCTGTAAAAAATAAATTTGTGTTCTTAGAGTATGCTATGATTAAAGTTAAGTCGGATATCCTACCTCTGAAGGTTTATAACTGGCCAGCTCATAATCCATTAGTGCTAATTCCAGAAAGTATTTTGCCAAAGCATGGTGAGCATCCTCGGCGCCAGCTGCCTTGGAGAAACGGCGCAAGAAATGAATCGGTAGTGGGCGCGACAAGTTGCAGTCAATGGCCTTGAAGATGTGCAGTTCCATTTGGCGTATTTGGCGTGCATTATATGTGTCATCGGTGATGTAAACAAAGTCAGCGAGTGCTGGCGGAAAGAGTTCCTCGAATTTGGTGGCTATGAAGAGCGCAGTTACGCCCACCAGTTGCAGGTAGCTGCGCTTAGTATCCTTCACTTTCTGCAGATACAGATCGATAATGGCCACGGCCAGCTGGAACGTTTCGGCAGCCAAACGGAATTGCATGTGCACTTCGTTAATCCAATCAATGAGCACTGCACGCATTTTCGATGTGACATCCAGTTGCCCAGCAAGATGATCCTTGTGTATGGGCTGTTGTTCCTCTACTTGGTACAAATAGTCATAGATATCGTTTACATATTGTGAGACCAACACCAAGTTATCTGAATCTCCAGCATCAATATTCTCGATGCCAGCCAAGCGTCTGGCTGAAGTGGTAGTGGTCACTGGGCGCGGCTTAGGCAGCTTAGCTAAGGCGCTGTTGCTGTTGCTGCTGACGACCTCCTTTTTCAGCAATGGCTCTTTCTTAAGTCCAGCTGCAGCTGTGTTGGCAGGGACTGCACCACTGTTGGCCACCTTGGCTGTGACTGTTGGCTTGGCCAGAGCGGCGCGCAATTTAGTCAGAGATTTGCGCGACAAGTTGCTGTCCTCGCGACGCAATGTAGTTGTGGCATTGTTGCCACCGACAACGTTCACTTGCTCACTGGAGTTCAAGACGGTTTTGGGCTTTGCTGCAACTGGGCGGGATTTGACAATGTTTGCACATTGCGTTGGCTTGGATTTGTTTCGGATGTTAAAGTTATACTTACGCTTGCTTGCAGCATCGGCAGTTACTTTAGCAGTGACGGCTATCCGGGTCGTTGATGTGTGACTCGTCAATGCGTTTACGTTGGTGCGCATAGAGTTGGAGCGCAGCAGTGGCCCAGCGGCATTGCTTGTAGTCTTGGTTGCGACCGCATTGTTGATATTGCTTACGCCCAGTGGTTGTTTCTTCCAATGCGAGTCTACGCGCGCCTTAGCATTGCGTAAAACATTTGGTAAGGTGTCGATCTTAACACTGTGAGAAGAAAGAAAGCATACAAAAGATCGCTTAAATGAAGGCATAAGTTGACAAAACAAAAAAGGGCTTACTCTTTTTGAACCGCATCCTTAGCTCCGATGGCGCGTGTTACCCCGCGATTTTGCAAGTCTCCCAAAGCAGCACGCTTCGTGGTTGCCTCGTTAGGAGGCACTGTCAATTTCTTAACGTGCACTTGATTGAACTTTTCGCTGGCATTCTGCAAGGTCATAAATATGCACAAAAAAATAAATTAAATGTCGTATCCACGATACATGTGATTTGAATCTGTTACTGTCGTAGCGCCATTTTGCATAAGCCACAAAAAAAAAAAAAAAAAAATTGCAATTTTGCGGTACAAGTACCGCAATATGTAAAGAACTGCAATTGAAAAGGGCGCGCAATCTGTTGGGCGACAACAACAACAATAGCAGCGAGAGATAAACGGCATTTTTCACCACCTCTTTCCTTTGGGCAGCAGACAAACGCACACCGCAATAGAAATGGCGGCGCTGGTCAGCATCAGGCAATTTATGTACATACACACATACATACATACATAGGTTGCAATGTACATAAGACTAATGTTATGGAAATCTTCACATTCAATGCAATCGGACAACTATAAATTTGGACTTACCTCATCCAGGAGCAGTTTTATGTTTGTGCCCACCATCTTATTCACTTAGATTCTTTTTTAATCACAAATATGTATATTACTACAGGCAAGGACTTTTAGTTTCGAGGTCGTGTTTGTAAAATTGAATTGTTGCTCCTTAATTGAAATGTATTACAACTATCAAAAGATTGCTTTGTTTTAGATTGCACTTTTATAGCATACAATTTTTATTCGAAAGTGTTTTATTAAAATTTATCTTTTCTCGGAGCCACAGCGCGTTGCAGCCGTTTTGGTTTGAAAACCACGCCAAGTGTGCGATGCGCAAGAACTACTAAAACGATAACGATTACTCAAATACCTCAGAAGGGCTGCCAAGTGGTTATTGATATCGGTTTCGCATTTTAAGTGTGGTAGCTTTATTTAGTGCTGTAGCAGTCAGAATTTTTGACCGTGCAAATGCGCCATCTATTGTAATTAAAACACACTTTATAAAAACACATTTTTTTCTTAAGTCAATTCAAAAAGGCGCCAAGTTGCGTGCTTTTGAGAGTTATACATTTACATTAGGGGTAAATGCAGGCTCGTGCTTCATTTTCTCAACAAATTGTTATTTAGAACGTCAACCCCGTAAACAAAAAGGGATTTTATTGCAATTTTTAATTAATACCTTTCATACGTTTATTCAAGTATGACATATATTTGAAACAACCAAAAATTTATTAAATTTAACGATTTTTTTCCAATTTATAAAATTTGGATAGCAGCCCTCGTACAAAACAAATAGAAAAGTGCAAGCAAATATTAACTGAACGTTTGCCAAGTGGAAAGAAGGTTAACTGCTCTTGAGTTATCTCCGCAATTGCCATTGCAATCACATCCATATCCAACCAATGATTGCGTCAATTAAAAGTTGACCACTTCAATTGGCCGGCTACTCAGCGTTCTCTAACAATTCTGCGCTATTTGAATTGCAAATTTAAGATTTCCTTTACTGTGTTTTCTTCTTGCTTTTAACATCTTCAAAGCAACCGGAAATGCAGCATAATTCTTTGTTTGTTTTTTACTCGACTGTGATGATCAGTGTCAAGTTTTTGACTGACTATGCTGGCTATGCAGGCACTTGACCATAAAACAATTGTCCGGCCACTGCAATATTGGCTCTTTATTTTTCTTCATCTTCTTTTTTCGCCATGTTTTTAGGCGCTGTTTAACGGTTAGTTCTATTGTTACTGCGTTAGCTTATTAGCATACCAAAAAAAAAAAAAATAAACAAAAACAAACTATAAACGACTTAAGCCTACTTCGCCGAAGCTATATACTCTTTACCGGGAAGCAGTAGTGGTGCTATGCCATCAGAATGCAACTATTTTTCATTTTACACAAAAAAAAGTATGATTGTTTCTCGAAGAACAACCGTTTTTGGATGGGCCTCATGAGATTCGGCCTAGAAAAGGGGACGCCCAAGGGTTAATTGAGTATTAACTTCAGAGTAAGTTTTTCACCGCACCCTAGTCTTAAGGATCCACTTAGACAATAAATAATTAATAGTAGTAAGTTTAAGTTTTGCTCCGAGATAATTGCAAATCCTTAGAATTTGCATTTTAAATTAATACGATATACTTAAGGTAATGTAAATTAATGGCTAATTTTAGTGGGAAATTAAAAGGCAGCTGAAGTACACTATTTAGTGCAGGGTATGAAAATATGTTTTGTGGTTGATTCTTCTTTCGTTGCCGCCGCCCACCAGACCTACACTGCTTTGAAAGAGCAGCAAGTCCGTCGGAGTTCGTGAGTTCGCCAGTTCGGGAGCTCGGGCTCTCATTGCGATCTACTTGCCGACGTTCGGCTCGCAACATAAAGTTTTCCGCAGTCGTGATTTTTCATTTCATTCGCGATTGAAGCGTCACAGTGGAAGTGTCGAAAGCTCGCGCGCGCCTTCGCCTCCCGATCACTAGATCTGCACAAATTGACGATTCTTTTGTGCGGAACTGTGAAGTTCAATTAAATGCGCGTCCAGCCACTTTTTCTATTCAACGAATCGGGTACTACAACTAATTTATGCATTTGATGCACTGACCTCTAAATATTTTATTTACCGACTCGCGGTTTCATTTATTTCGGCAAAAGTGTAATAAAATTCAGCGCTCCAAATGCGTTATGCTTGAGAGCGGCTGTCGGGTTATGATTTGTGTGCTTAATTGTTCTGTGGTGTTTAAATAAAAATAAATGCGTATAAATATGAAAACAAAAGCAAACATTATGAAGATCATTTTGTGATTTTTAAAGTGCACTTCATAAAAATTAAATATAGTAACACGCACATGTCCTCGACCAAAGATAGCACTATAACTGATTAAAATAACTGTTGATAAGAGCCTCAATTGGTATCAGTACTCATAATCGAAGAACATTTCTAATGCACGCCAAAACATTAATTCCGGGTAGTGTGTAACATATTACTTGTCGAGGAAGTGCTGAAAAACTTAAACCTGACTTTCTAATTCTCCCAATCATGGCAAACTTCAAAAATGTTGGTTAAAAGTTGTTCAACGAATTAAGGAAATAAACAAGTAATACCTAAAATTGTTTATAAACTATGGAAAGATATCTTTAACAGCAAGCTGCCCTAATACTCTAAAGCTTTAGATAGACAGATAAATATTTTTCACATAGAAGCCGAGCTATGTTTGGAACATATTTCGTGTTGAAGTCTTGGCGATTATTCGTTATAAACTATATTTCTTTAAAATATATGAGACCTTCTTAAATAAAAAGCATCAGTAATAGCAACAAAAATTGATTCTATTTGGCCTTCAATGTAAATTACTTCAATTGAAATTTCCTTAATACTTCTGTTTCCATATAGATTTAAAATTAGGTGATATATTTGAGCTTAGATACATGTATGCACAAAATTATTTATTTTAAATTTAATAAAACCCTTGATACCCTTCATCATTATATCAATATAACATAAATGATACTGAACAAACAACCATGCCTTTTTTAAAAATAATATAAATTTCAAGTTACGTAAAATATGTTTTGGGAAACAACACTTAAAAATCTGCTTCCAAAATCTAACTAACAAATTTTGCCAATTCTTAAAAAAAACTAGTGCAAGAACAACAGCTGTATGGCTCTTTTCCTAGGATTGTTGAAACGATTATGCCCTTTACCCCAGGGGACATAAGAGATCTGAAGAAATCTGAAACTAGATTTAAGCCTTGTATTTTTCTTTTTGCTTTGCACTTCATAACCTTTTATATAAATATTTAAAAAACATTTGTCTGATACTATTAAACGTTACTAATTTTAACCAATAATAGCCATACTTATGTACAAGTACGCTATTGTCTGAACTCCATAACAAAGAACTTAGGCAACAAACTTGCGGCCCAAAAAAAACATATGAGAGCTCTGGCAGCAAAAAGCACAGTTACTGGCATGCTCGGCTCAGCAAGCGCCAGAGGCAATTAATTAGTGCATAAACAGTTAAATTAACTGCCGTAAAACTTTAGCTTAGCCACCCGAAGAAGCCACCGCCGCCGCATCAGCTGTGGCGCGTGCATTCACTTTTCTCTCTGTAGCCACTATTTCAGCTTTGCTTGCTGTAATCAAAATTGTAGTAGAAATTGTGGCAGAAACATATAACGTATGTCTTATATTGCAGCGTGTTTGGAGTGAGTGAGTGAGTGAGTGAGTGTGGAAAATGTAACAAAAATAATAATAAAAAGTGTGCAAAAATATGACGCAAATAAAGTATTAAGTATGTAGGTTGAGCGAAGCTTTGCCACACAGAACCACAGCCACAGCCAGAGCCAGAGCCGGAGCCGGAGCCAACCCTCAGGCCGCAACACAAAATATTTGCTATTTATGCAACGTTGTCGAGTGGCAATTACAGCAGCAATAACCACACAATTGCAACAAATAAATCGCGAAATACATATTCAACAATTATAATAAAAGCAACAACAATAACAACATCAACAAATGTATATAAGTATCTACCAGTTGAAAACGCTTCAAATTAGTTTCTTGTCACCATTGTCATCATCAACGCCTCGTTATGCAAGCGCCAAGTGAACCAAATCAGTGTCGTTTATATCTAATTGTCTTTGGGACATTGTGGCTGCTCTGCGACTGCCTGCTGGCCGTCAAATTGGCCGACGCAGACGGTGCTACCTTAACCACCGACCCCCTTCACGCAGCTGAGCTGCACATCGAGCTGAGGCGCAAGAGAAGCGTGCACTGGAATGGCATTGAGGTGAGTCTTGAATTGGGTCGAGTGGAGCGATTTCGATCTCTGTTGCTATATGTACAAGTATGTGTTTGTATGCACAACAATTAGTTGACAGTTGACGCATTGTAGTCAGCAAAATTGCATCTATTTATTGTCACAACCACACATACTACACGTCTATGCCACATGCACAAAGCCGGCAACTGTCAAGACACACCAACACTACCAGCCTACCAAGCCTCAAAATATGTACAAACAATCTCACATGTTTGTTAGCTGCCACATTTGTTAAACAGGTCATAAATTCTGCACAGAATGATCGATCACATGCTCATTCATGTATACTATACATATGCTTGTAGTACATACACGTACATACATATATGCTGTCTATAGATCAGCTGCCAATTTGTTAATATATTGTTGTCAATAACAACAGAAGTCTGGGTGAATTGATTTTCTTAAATATGAGTTGTTAACCAGAAGCAAAACTAAAAATATACATTTACAGATTAGAATTGGTATCTACTTCTTACCAACAATGTTTTATAATTTAATTTTTATTGCAATATTTAATTTAAAATTGCTTTACAAAATCTTAAATCTTACCATTGTTTCACCGTTTATTTTCACGGAAAATATGTATATTTAGAAAGATACTAGTAGAATCGGTGCTCTCTGCGCCACTGTATTGCAGGCTTTGTCACAATTATTGGTATGTTATATTTATTGTACAAATATCATTCCATCACTATAATGAGTTCTGCTGTCCAAATTCTAATTTAATGGAAATACAGAACTATTTTATTACAATATCCAAACAAGAGCTTAAGTCAATACACGACTCCAGCATTCTCACGGCCTTACATCCTTAGAATAGAAACTGAAAATAAAGGACACATTTGAATTTAATAATACTTAACAACTAAGCGCAGTTGATTACTGTTGAAGTTGTTATATCTTTTCCAGAAGCAAGTAACATTGTCTAGTGACGAGTGTAATGTCTTTAAACTATACTCCTAACTTTGTGTTTTATAGTTCTATCATAAGCAAATACTATAGGTGATTGATTCTCGTTGTAAACTGTTTTTAAAAGTAATTTTAGTAACTGAACTTTATTTTAGATGCCATGCTTTGGTATTAAGAAGTCCGTATTGTTATCAGCATTACTTCCTGCTATGGCTGAAATCCGACTAACGGGTGTATTTTTGGTTTTTCGTAGCAATTTGTCATAATCAGAGTCCACCTTATAGTATTGACCCACAAAAACAGGTGATTGTCGGTTTGACGTTCCGCCGACTTGCCAAAATCGTCAAATTACATCGCGCGACAAGTCCCCATGAATCATTAAGTGTATTTGATGCCTTTTTAAGTACAACCATATAGGCGTACATATCTACATACTACTTGTACATACATATGTATGTTTGTACATTGAAACGTACGAGTATGCAGCTAAAAACAGAAATGGGAACTGCACGCGTCAGCAAAGTGCACTCCGTTTTGTTTTTAGGTTGTAAGATGATAAAATTTTGGCGAACCCAGTGGCACACACACACACACGCGTTCGCAATGATACGATAAGTGTGTATGTACGTTGTATAGTATAGCCCGCCCGAATCTCCCTAGCTCCCCTAATTCGTGGTGCCAACAAAACCTAATTTAGTGCCACTTCGTTTAATGACCTCTCGGCGGCGGAATTTACAATTTGAAATGCGACGAGTACGCAATAAAAATTTAACACACAGTGAACAAAACACAAAATAAATAAATAAGCGAAGTACGACTATATTTCCCAAAAAAGTTCTCTTTGAATAAAAGCTTGAATACCTTTTCATTTTCAGTTTTCGCATTCTCAATGCCTCGACTTCTTTAGAAAGTCAATTTCCGTATGAATAATTTTAAGTAAACATAAATCAATCAGTTGAGATGTTTTCGTCTTTCAGATATATATGTACGAGTACGTAATGAGCCAACCTCTGGAAAAGTGCAGGCACTGTGTGTCGTTATTCCCGTCGACCATGGCAACAATAAGTCAAATTACACGGCCTGCTCGTGGCGGGATCTCCACGAATTTAGCGACACTATAGTAGAATCTGAGCCGCTAGAGTCTAAGCGTTCCTAATAAGTTTCGAACAGCTGCTGTCTGGCTGCCCATACTCTCAGTCTCAGAAACTCAGACTCTGATTATGGCTGGTCTGTCGCCGTTGCCGTGGAATGCACTTTTTGGCAAAAAGTGAAGCATCAGCAACTTGATAGAAACTATGTCACTGTTTAAACAGCTGGGAGAACTGAATAATTCCCAATATGTTTATTTCACTGAGCGCTTCTCAGTTATTAGTGGCGTATGCACAGCATTCTCAAAGTTATTGACCCCCCAACACCAAATCCAATTACTGCCTGAACTTGGCTACGCCCTGTGCCCAAAGCCAAATCGTGAAATTACCTGAGTACATACTTGTAAGAATCTTTTGCTCTTCACATTTGGTTCCGCTTTGGAAACGCTGCGGGAGGGGGCGAGCTGGTGAGACATGTTTTGCATTTCTTGTTTAAAGTTTTTTTAGCACGCAACTCTGCTAGACAAATTAGGGTTACGAAATGGCGGGCTAGTCTTAAAAGTTTGTTTATTGTATCTTCTACAGTGGGCTCACATATTTTGATGTAATTCTTGTACGCTGTACTGTGATTTCTAAAATGTAACAATTAAGATTAAAAAGTGTCTACATTTATTTAAAACGTGGTAGTCCAACAACAGATTTTGATTTTTGATTTAGCCTTTGGAACTATATAAATAAATTAACCTTTGATATGATGACAGTTTTCAGATTCAGATTGTTCACAGATATCAATAAAACCAAAACATATTAGAAATACAACAATCGAATATGTTACTCCATTTAAATGAAATCAAGGCTCAAAAGCAAATAATAAAAAAACAAAAGAACGAACATTTTGTTGTTTTCAAATTTGTTTCAACAGTTGGTTATGATATAACCATTTATGTACCCGAATTTGTATGCCAAATCTTAAACAAAACTTCTAAATATAATTTCTGTGTCCGTTTCTGTGAACAGCCGATTGACGAAAACAAAGTTAAGTCTTTACAATTATTCAATAGGGCATACCCGCAGAATATTTGGGCGCGTGAAGGGGCCCTCAAAGTCTGGCGTGCCTGACTATTACCATTACTTGTTTCTGATGTTTTGTTTGTCGTATGTTTTTATTTTTTGCTCTTTCTTTTTTTGCCCATGGGTCACGCAAAATTTCATCACATAATCAGGCAGGTAGCGATTACAATGAGTGGGGCGCGCTTAGGCTTATGGTAGACGCGTGGCGGGTGGAAATGGGCGGAGTGGGATGGACGTCGAAGCGTTGGAGAGTCGCTCATGCTGATGACCATGTTGTTGCTTTGCCGCATTTTTCAATTGTTGTTACTATTCTTGTGTTCTGTGATTTTTCCGCCACCTGTGGCCACAGAGCATTGTATTCTGGCTCCACTTTTATGTATTTTATGTATGTTTTGGACATAAGTAGTTAATGAGAGCTTGAATGTTTTTGCCCTTGCCGACAATTAGAGTTATTATTATTATTATTATTTAGTTGAACGTTTGCTGGCTGCAGCAGGCACTCAATCAGCTGGAGCTCGTTGAATGTGTCGCATTCATTTGCACAAATGCTGAATGATTGTGAATAGGTTTTGGCATTGAATTTTTATTATACGTATGTGTGTATGTATGTATGTATGTACATAGTATGTATGCATATTTACATGCATAATGCAATGTTCTTCTGTGAGGAAACCGAAGGAGAATGCAATCAAAATTAAGGCTTAATTGATTCGATAATTTACAGCACACTTGTTTATCGCTCTCCACGCTCCGCTGCTTTGCTGCTGGGAGAACCCATAAGCTGTAATGAAATCGAATTAAATAATATGCAAATGCAATGTGGAAGCCCATGCACCCAGAGCCAGTGTTGCCAAATGTTGTAGAAAGCTTAAAACAGCTAAACAAATGAAAATGCAATTGGCACTGCAAGCTTTTCTGATTCATTCATGTAGGATAACTGGGCTCTAATTAATTTTACCTTGTCTTGAATTCGTTCCTATTTATGCAATTTAAAACCAATATCTTAGAAAGAAAACTTCTTGCTTCAATTACTTGTTCCAATTACTGCTTCACAGAAAATTTAAACGATTTGTTTGGTCTTTATGCTTTGGCTCTGAATAGGTCTTAATTTAAAATTCCAAGAATTTAAAACTGAACAGTAAATAACACGAATACAAACCAACAGTTTGGTTAAGCAACACAATTGGGTTCGATCGAAGCTAATATTATTAATGCATTATATTCCACGATATTTATTTGGTGCTTGCAATGGAAGAACACTGCGGGGTTAGCAAATCGATTCGCTTGGGTATCACTGTAATGGATCTGTCAACAGCTGACTGTGTGGCCTTTCAGCGTATGGCGCCATCGTCATTATTTCCAGTTGACCATTTTACTATATGGTTGGCATTTGGAGCGATTCGGCGTTTTCTTGTCTGTCTGCACAGACAAACATTCAGTGAAAAGCCTAATGGGGGTTTTCCTGCACAAATTTTCCATTGTTGCGAGTGAAAGTGTTTTAAATTTTTCGTTTTTGGGGCAACCCTTTTGGGTTCGAGTTTTTAGGTTTTGCTTTCGTTTCGTTTACCTGCGCTATTTTGCGCTACTTTTTGTGACTTGGTTTGTTTGTTTTTACGCTTTGCTGACTTATGCTTATTACGCTTTCCGTTAGCTTTATGAATACACACAAACATTTGTAAATATTTATCTTTATGCGTATATACATATGTAGATATGTACTAAAATCTTATCTTCTTGTTGCTTTCTTTGCTTACAGATGAATGAGAACTCATTGCTGGAACACTTGGAGGCACACGAACTGGCGCTGATCTTTGGCACAACAAATGAGCGTAAGTTGCTGGGAAACTCTTAAGAGCATCATGTGGAATATTTCATTCTTTCCATGCCTAAAAAGGTGTACTTACGTATGTATTTAGAGTGATAGGAATGTATACATATGTATATGTATGTACAGCTATTGTGCCAAAATAAAAATAAAAATCAATGCCAAATGCCGACAAGGAAATGGGGGAAAATAAAGCAAAGCATTAAAAATTGCAACGGCAGCAAAAACAGCACAATTGGCAGTTAGTCAGTCAGCGATGTAGCAGATCCAAGCAAGCCGTTAAACTTGAACTACATAGCCGAGAGAGAGGTGGCAAGGAGCTAGCCATTTACTTAGACTATGGGCCAAATGCTGTTTACGGCGGCCAAAATATAAGCTTATAATACAACAGAAACGTTCTGCTTTTCCTAATTCAGTTAAATTTATTATAATTGGAATCCTTTAAAGCTAGAATATTAGAACATCAAATACGTACATATTAGCATAGCCCATACATATACATATATGTATTTATGATAATGATCAAATTTGTGACTAAATTGACTTTAAATTGGTTTAAATATCAGTGGGGCGTGACGTTATTATAACAATAATCAATGCTCGAAGATCGAAGAGTTTAATTTTGTATGCCTAAACTAAATATACAAGTATATACACTTTTAAAAGTTTTGTAATATATACAACGATATACGTACAAGTATCGATGCGACTCAATTATTTCCTTCTTAAAGAAGTGAAGAAATAGTTTCCACGTAATTTTTTTTAAAGCTCGAATTTCATTTCGCATAAAGCTAATACATTACTATGTATTTAGTATGTATTTAGTTGAAAATTGTGTATTGCTTCTTCATTCCTCTTTTTGGGATGAAATGAATGTTTCGATTAAAAGACGAGTTAAAAATGTTGTGTAATGTTCCATAGTGTGAGCGAATAGTGCCGAATGTCTGTGGTGCTGATGGATGGAATGTATTTAAATTCATTTGCATGTCCGACTGTCTACCCGCAGCCCCCGAATTCAAATTGGTGCATTTAAGGCGGCGCGCAATGGAGGCTAAAGAGCTGGAGCAGGAACAGGAGAAGGGGCAAAGGCGCTGGCGACGCAGCACCTCTCCGGCCCATAAAGGTAGGCGAAGTGCATTTTGATCGTAGAAAACAGAGGCAGCAGACAGCAGGGAGCTGGTTTACAAATATTTCGTGCTGCTCCAGTTGCGGGAATTGCGGTCATTGCGGTTTAATTAATTCAAATGCATTCTTTCCAACTCATTTCCCATCTGCGCGACTCTCTAATGCGTTTGGCAGGCGCCAACGCCGCCTTCTCGGATGCAGATGGCGGCGAGCATTTGGTGGAGTTGCAGCTTCAGCAAACGCCCCATCTAATTGACGACGCCTTCATCTTCATCAGACGCACTGCGAACAACACGCAATTCATTGAACATTCGCCGCAGCAACTAAAGCGTTTGGAGCGTTGCTTCTATCGCAGCTCTTGGGCAGCGCTCGACTTGTGCGATCCAGAGAGAGTGGTAAGCAATTTCTAATTCAGGAATCCGTGTTAGGGTGTCATTTCTATTCTAATAAACAGCTCTATTACAATTATATTCAATAAAAGGTTCATCTTAGAAATTAATGCACGCTTAAAGAAATATTAAAGAATACCGCACTGAATGCAGTTAGCACTGGAAGACTGGAGACTCCTCCTAATTCCTCGTTGACGCGTTTTCCATTTCTCCAACAGTATTTGTTTAGTGCTCTTGGTTTAATGGTAGCCCTTATCTGTTACTGAAATGCATTTTCCAATTATTCTGACTTTTTTGTATGTCATGCCTAACCGATAGCCCAAATCTTAGGCTTTTTCTAAAAATTGCGAGGCCTAATTATCTTCTTTTGTCAGCGCGGTGTGTTCCAACAGAATGCGAGTGACTTCGTCATACATCCCCTCCCAACACGTTTCGGAGCCGCAGCACATCTGCTGTATGAAGCGCGAAAAGATAAGCTTGGAAGCGTGCTGATACCGTTAGGCAGTGGTGTACAGTTCGAGCCCGATGCAGCCGAGTTCAACGAACCGCGGCGCAGCAGTAACGTTGAAGCTAAGTCATTGGCCGGATTCGAGAAACTGCAGCGGCTGCCACTGAATCTGCGCTATAAGCCGCGCCACCATCATCCGTACAAGCATGGGGACAGCAGACAACTGGGGAAGCGGCCACGTCGCCACATTTCATCTGGGGGTCGACATTGGCGGGCTGGTCCGCCCCATGAGCTGCACATTGAGACGGCCATCTTTGTGGACAGCGATCTGTATAGGCACATGGAGAAGAACTTTCCCAAGGACACTGAAAGCCAACTGATACGCTTTGTTCTGGCCATGATCAACGGGGTGCAGCTGCTGTATCATCATCCCACCCTGGGGCGACGGATTAACTTTGTGCTAAAACGGCTGGAAATCTTTCGGAAGGATCCGCCCGATCTGCGGCGGTCGAGCGACATTGATCAGTATTTGAGCAATTTTTGCATGTGGCAGAAGACCCTGAATCCTTTATCGGATGCGGACAGCTTGCATTACGACCATGCGGTTATACTGACTGGCCTCGACTTGTACGTAATTGACAAGAATGGGAAGGCTACAAGCCAGGTGGTGGGCTTGGCACCGGTTTCGGGCATGTGCACGGTCACCTCTTCGTGTACCATCAATGAGGGCAAGCATTTCGAGAGCGTCTTCGTGGTGGCTCATGAGATCGGACACAAGTGAGTGAAGGTCTGCTTTGAATGGCTCTCCAGAAATGTAACTCTTTTCTTTCGATGCAGCTTGGGCATGCGACACGACACCAAAGAAATCAACTGCGATCCCAGCTTGCACATAATGTCGCCTACACTGGGAAGTGGCAAGAACACTTGGTCGGAGTGCTCACGCGACTATCTAGAGAAGTTTCTAGAGTAAGTCCAGTCTCTTTTAATTCACATTTATTGCAGCTTAAGTCTTTTTTTCAACCCACTAGACAACCACAGGCTGAGTGTCTCTTCGATCGAGGCCAGTTCAAGGAACACTTGGATCATGCCGCTGAGGGCATGTTGCCCGGCGAACGTTTCGATGCCAATCAACAGTGCATGCTGAAATACGGTCGAAGCTCAGTTCGGGCCAGCGTCCAAAGCAAATCGGAAATATGCCACGATTTGCATTGCCAGCGCGATCGATACACATGGACCTCGCACCCGGCGCTCGAAGGCACAGAGTGTGGCGACGGCATGGTAATTACCCGAGCCTACCTTTATCTGATGAATATTACTTATAATACTATACTATACTACTTGTTTACAGTTTTGTCGTGGCGGCTACTGTGTAATGAGGCCCACACAACAGCCACCGATTAGTGCGCTGAAACAGCTTTCCAGTCTGCCTAAGCCCAGCTACGACAAGGCAAACTTTGTGGAGTCTAGTAAAATGGGTCAGCTCTTGCACGAGCAGAGCTATAACTATAACAAGGCCAATGAGATCACTGCAAGCGCGACATGGAGCGACTGGGGCGAGGCCAGTGCCTGCGAATCAGGATGCCTTTACGGGCCCTCAAATCGACTACGCGAAGGCAGTACCGGTTTGCGGATCTACAATCGCAGTTGCCTGAATTACCGACATCGATGCATGGGGCGCGATCGCAAGTTCGAGTCCTGTATTGCCAAAAAGTGTTACAGTGTGCCAGTCCAAACGATTGCAGACTTTGCCACGCAGGTGTGTAAGAAAACGCAAAAGTCCGATAGCGAGCTGACGGGCGAGGGACTACAATTGGTGTCTAGCACCGGTAAGCTCCACTGAAACAAAAGAAGACTGTCTGCCAAGTATTAATTTTACTTTTCAGAGGAATCGTGCAAGGTGTTCTGCAAGACAAAGACTAATGGCACAAAATCACGTCGTTGGACCTTTCCCGATGGCACGACATGCCGCTCCAAACATCATGCTAGCGACGACATAGCTTACTGCATTTCGGGCCGTTGTGAGAGGTTCTCTTGCGATAATACCACAACTAATTTCTTTAAAATGGACAGCACCTTCTGCCAACATCGTGCGCCGCGTCCTGTACACGACTCCACGGAAATGGAAAGCAAGCTCCACAACAACTACCAAAACAACGTGAACTACAAACGATATGCAGAGGGCACCGACAATGGCAACAGCTACCAGGAGAACCGCATTGCGTTGGCCACCACTCGAAGTCGCTATGAAAATGGTGAAGAATCCCCAATTTTCTCCACGACCAACTTCATTAAATTTTCTGCTCCCATTACAGAGGTAGCTCTGCGCAGTTTCCATGGCCAGGAGAACTACGTTCAGTATCCTTACAAGCGCAAGGTCTCATCATATGAACCCTATCGCAAATACAACTACAACGTACAGCCTCCAGAACCACCAAAAACTACTCCACCTCCCCCCTTTGTCTCACTGAAAGCTTATGGAGATAACTCGCCCACAGAGTGGGTCGTCAAGTCTGGCTGCCACTCTAGCTGTATGGCCGAGTCCAAGGGACTGCAGGTGGTGAGCTCGCGGTACACGGGCACTCGCAACATCCAGCTTTGCACGCACAAGGTGAAGCCTTGCGAACGTCTGACAACAGCCGCCGAGTACGCGGAACAGACATGCGCACGTTACAAGCTTAAGGTGCGAGGCCTGTCCGGCCATGGGGCGCAGATCTCGGCCAGCATTGATGAGCCGGATCGCAGCTGTCGAGTGGGCTGTCAAGACGAATTCATCAAGTACCGCTATTACCTGGTCAATGGTCCCAATGGACACTTTCCCCTGGGTACACGCTGTTCTCAAGTGGATCAGCGCTACTGTGTGAACGGAAAGTGCTTAGAGTTTGGCGACGACAATCTGCCGCTCCAACAGTCCCACATCAGTTTGGCACTCTTCCGCAGTCGACGTGATGTGGAAGACGGAAGGCATCAGCATCAGCATCAGAGTCAGCGTCGACGTCAGAAACGCAGTTTTCTTTACTACGATCCTGTTAACATAACTGAGACCATCACACAGGAGTTCTTGAACAACATTGCGAACAGTATTATAGACTTTGAGCTTAAGCATCTGGAGGGTAAGTCGCTTTTATATTATAAAAGCTTTTGAGGTTTCTAATTTATGCCTGCATTACAGGAGAACGTCCCCAACTGGCTGCGGAACACATCGAATTTACAAATCCTATACACGTTTCTATGAACGACTGAACGTAGTAGTATAACCAAGAAGTATGCTTCAATGCTTACAGTAGATAGATATACAAGTATTCAGTGTTCATACTGATCTAAAAGTAAGTTAGGCGCATGTGCATGTATGTATTTATAAAGTGGATCGAACGAGAATTAGATAAAATATAAGTATAGCTAAAAATTAAAATGAAAAATATCCCAAACTATTTACTTTTAGAAAGGAAACAAAAAGACCAAAACAGTTCAAGAATTAAATTAAAGAAGAATCGTTTCTCCTGCCAATTTTCTGCTGCGTATTTTCAATTTATTCATGCGTTATTTGAAGTAAGAAGGTTACATCTCATATCGGAAAATAAATAAGGTTTTGCCTAAAATGTGAATAAATAAGGAGGGTAAACAAAACGTCCTTACCACTGGATTTCAAAGTTTTCATATATAAAAATGATTGTTGCAATCTTTCCAATATAACGTCAGTGCTTTGTCAATTTTTGTTGTGGTTAAAATTGTTTATTTCTATAATTAAACTACACCAAGGCATTGGCTAATATACCTTGGTAAGTCCGGATAGTCCAGAAAGCTCAAATTATTAAAACTCTAGCAAGAACAATGAAACTATATAAAATGTTGTAAAATAATTTTCTACTTCGCCTTACTTGCGGAGATATTTCTATTAAAAATGCTTTCACATTTTTCGAATTTTTAAACTATAATATTTTTTTTTTTTTCGGTGTGCGAAGCCAACAGATCAAAAAGTAATGTTGCTTCAAATACAAATCCATAGGATGAAATACAATAGCGTGTCGGACTGGTAAATAAATCCTAATATATTATGATCATATTATTTGGAAGGTCGAATAACTTCTCCGACTACTTCGTGCTATGAATCGATACAGAATTGTGAAAAATAGTTTGAAAAACAGAAAGTCCCTTTAAATGCTGTGCTGACTAGTGTAGTTTTGTGATCGTAACCAAATCAATTTATTTTATGGTGCATAATTCTAGGCATGCCCTATGATTCAATGCCACTATCCAGAAGTATGCTAAGGATAATTTCATAATTAGTTCGAATACTAACACAAAACAAGACTTGCGCCATTACAACGCATTACAATGACAAATGTGCATAAAGCTCACCTACAGCCCCACATACCAAGCGACAGAGAGAGGGGGAAAAACAAGAAAGGTACGCCCGAAGTCGGCCTCATCAGCTTTTCAGTTTTTCTAGTGTTCGCATGCAAACAGCGGCACGCCATTACCAATATTCGATACAAAGAGTAAGGACATCGCCAAACGGAAAGGAGTGCACGACTATCGCCATCGGCAATTGGTGCGCAGAAACAGTCACACGAACACAGAGACAACGAGCAGGCACACAAAATATTAGATAAAACACCTACGAATCGCTGAATATGCCACAGTCCGTAAGTAATAAGCGTGTTGTACGAAACGAACGGAAACGCGGCGCATTTGAAAAAACGGAAAGTGAAGAAGTCATTGTCGCAGTTGCCTTCAAAAGTCAGTGTCTCATGGAGTGTCATTTAGTCTAAGGTGGTGTGGTTGGTGAACTGCAAGGAAATCGTCCGCGAACATTGACCATCGGCAGGGTCATCTTTGGACGCCAACCCGGTTCGTTATTGTAGTGGTTTTGCAAGGTTTTGCAGTGCAAAGTTGAATGCACTCAGTTGGTGGCCAACCCAATATTTGTGCCATGCATAATGCATGAGCAATTTTATTAATTTCTTCAATCGGACTGAAATTCAAACGGACAAGTATTGTATTGCATTATAATTACAGTAATGGCATCACATTTAGAATTAACGAGCATTGACTAAAAACTGTGAATGGGCTAATGAAATTAGGTCAAGAATATTATACGAAGGTCCTAAGAACAAAGACAACATTTTGGAGGTACGAGTGCGGAAGGCACACGCAAGTGAGTCCTAAGTAGAGTGCCTTCTGGTGCGAAATTGTGTCAATTGCTTTTAAGTTTTGATCAACTGGACACGCACATCCAAATACCATGGGGCAATTAGTCATTTGGCATTCATTCAATACAGTTTTGCAGTTGTGCACTCAATGAAAAGTCGCACAAAGTACACGTGCTACAATTGCCACGCACGTTGGCTCCAAGACCTTGAGGGTATTTTCTTTCATCTAAGTGTGTTAGTTCCCAATAATTTCGAAATGGAAATATCGATTGCAACTAATTGGTGGACTTCCATACTTACTGAGCTTCCTGACGAATCAGTCAGCCGCCTTTTGGCCCATATTTAGTTTGTAGTTTGACAACAGTGGTGCAGTGCCCCAATAAGTATGCTACGATTCTTGTATGAAAACAAGTTTTGCGCATTAAACAAATAAAGAAAACATAAAAAAGTACGACTATAAAGATAAACCTTTATTTTAAATACAAACACACATATGACCACATGGCCAGTTCGTTAGTGCTTCATTAGCTATGCAAGCACGCGACCAATTGTTGTCGTTAGCCGGGACCTGCAACAATAGACACTCCTACTACACCCGCACCCGCACGCACACACACAATCGCGCGCTTGAGTGAAAGTTTACAGTATTAAACAACTGGCATGCTGACCAATGTGTTGTATTGACAGTACGCTAAAAAGTAATTGTCAGCTGGCCATCGGCGTCCAACTAACGGCCAGACGTCGTTGAACTTGCCTAGTCGTCGGACGATAGCTCGCACGACTCCGGCACTCTTATAGTGAACACTGTGCCCCTTGAGCTGCATGCAATATAATGTGTCGATTAAATCGTGACTGGAGCAATGTGCGCAGCAGGGGCCTTTAAGCACAACACAACAATTATTCGCAATTATCGGAAATTGTAAAACCTTTTGTGATCATGCCGCCAAAACGACGTAGAAGATTTCAAGGCTTGTATTATCATTCATCGCCTCCAAAAGGTAAGTCACTAGAATTTATAAGAACGAATTACAGTTTTCATAAAATTTCATCGGCTTAGCTACTTTGCTGAACGAAACCAAATATCAATTTTAATAAAAATAACATAAATAATTGATTTGATTTTCTTTAGATCTATTTTTTTGTTAAGTGAATTATTCAATTTAAATACTGACTGTACTGAATGCATATGTCAAGATATGTCAACGATTCGATCCAAAATGATTCTCTTAGCACCTTTTAAACACCTTAATTTTAATGCACTTGTAACGCTTAGCTCTAGAGTAAGCATATCTGTACATTCGAGTTAAATGAAATAACTGCACTTACCTCTAACTATATAATGATATTGCCAGTGTGCAAAATACCTTTCTCGAATGGAATTAGAAGTCCAATTACCAATTCAAATCTATCAGATCATAAATTTACATAGGCCGATAGTAGTATCTATACTCTCATGTCAAGGTTCAACGATTAAAGAGCCGGCTTAGATGTACGGAAATATAGGACTTTATACTCATAGTACCACATAGCAGCCTTTTGTATCGAATCCAGTGTAGGAGTCACGGAAGTTGGCGACAATATGCAGGGAGTTGGAGAGCCCTAGAACGAATCAAAAGAAGCTTCACTTTGGACACAGTTAATGCGTCTAAGTGTGCGCCTAATTGATGAAATTACTTTTTGTTTGCCTTTGCCACCAAATTAAAATACATACTCGAATATTTGCTGGCACGCAATACAAAATTCTAAGGCCTCCAATGGTTCGCCACAGGCGTCGATTCGCACATTGCGTGCCATTGGGCCATGTATTGTAAATGATCAATTCAGCAAGCCACAAATGTGTCAGCTAGGGCATTAGGCAGGTAAGGAATTTGCCAGTTGCTGCTACGTTCAACAAGTTTACAAATCATTGGTGTTTATGCTAATGCGCTATTTCCGGGAAAATTGTTTCATTATACACGTATATCTAAAATGTATTCTTAAAACCGTACATATGTGTCACCTAATTACGCAGAGGCATTAAAATGTTGTTATAAATAGCAAGCCTTGACACATTAATAATAACTTACCAATCAAGTTGAGGAAATGTTTATATGACCTTTGAAAAAAAAAGAGAAACAAATGCATGTCGAAGCATTGGTAACAATGATGAGTATTGAAGCCTGACACGTGTTTGTTTGTTTGCATAGCCATAGCTTAAGTATATACAAATATAGCTAGAAACATACTTAGAAGAGCTCGCTACTTGCGCCCTATGTAAAATATACCAGACATGTTTACCCAAAATATATATTGAAACACACGCATACCAGGAAAGGTTACTGTTATTTATTCACATCCAGCCATTGTAAAAAGCCAACGAATAAGCGAAAAGCGGACGCAATTACCCAGTCCAGTAGACTGGCCAAAAGGCACAACAAACTGTGTTTTTTCTGTGCTGTCCTAAATTCAACACCTCGCAGGGTACATTCTCTTCAGGCAGGTTCTACTCGATTCTGCAGGTCAGCTGGCCTGTCTAGCGGCCATAGAACATTAGTTGCCGAACGTTGCTCAAAGTTGTCGCACGCAAAACAACTAGCAGGAAGGCAGGTCTGATAATTGCATACAAGCTATATACATATATCCTTTATCTAAGACTACAGCTAAGCGGTTATTTTAATGATATCATCATGTCTTATTCTATATATGCATCTAACTCTTACAGTCATGCCAATGAACGGACAAACGGCCAATCAAAATGGACGCAAGCGTCGTGACACTGACGGTGCGTATGAGTAATGTCTGTGTATGGCGTATGAGTAATACCATGGGATTATTATAAGCTGCTCAGAGCAGCTGCATTTTTCTCAACAACAAACCGATAAAGGATGTTTCTAGCACCGTGTACAACATGACAGTTGACCTTCAGTTATAACAAATCAAACTTTTGCTCACTTTAACGGCAACTTCAGAAGCCGTTCCTAAAAGTTTCAACTCTCTGCTAATGCCACTTTAAGCATGTAGCATTTAACTTGAGCCCACACGATTTGCCAAAATGCAAAAAATAAGTGCCAAACATTTATTGTATTTTACTTTTAATTTAGTTTTACTCGAGCGTGGAATTTTACTCGCAAATTGCATGCAAACACGTAACCTGCCTTCTGCCAAACTTTTCAGGCTAGGCGTCTCGGCTGTTGAATTTGTGGGTGTTCCTAAAAGAATATATATGTATTTGGGGCTGAAAGCGAGAAAATTAATTTTTCACTTTCGATTTTGCCGCCCTATGCCTTTGCTATCTGCTAATAGATTTCTCGGTGAAGCTATCGACCATTCGAATTTGGATGCACGAAAAGGAAATTGGAAAACTGACGCGCATTCTGTGGGCGGGCCAGGGTCACCGCCTATGCCAGCAGGCAAGCAATAATGGGCGTGTCAAGCGCTTTTTGGCCGCTGTGCCACATGTAATGGTAAGAGACTACATTGCTGTGCAATCCAAACTACATACTTTAAGCGGCCCTGTATAAGCAGAACGCAATCAAGGATCTGCACCAGGCGGTTATCGATAATAATCTGGAGACGCTGCAGATGAAATTGGAGCCGCCGGTGCCACCAGCACTGGTAACATCGAGGGACGCGAATGCGCTCAACGTTATACACAAGGCGGCCGGGCTGGGCCATGCCAAGATATTGGAGTATCTGGTGAGCATTTGGCCGGAGGGTGCGCACGAAACAGACATTACCGGCAAGACGCCCTTGCACTGGGCGGCTAGTGCCAAAAATAATATGCGCTGCTACACTTTGCTCACCCAGGCCGGCTGCAATGAGGAGGCCCAAGACTACGTGAGTTTCCCACTGGCACGATAATTAAGTTCTGCCACCGAACCATCCGACACCCGCCTTTGACATTTGCCCATTTAGCACTGCTGCTATTAAAATGATTCAAGCGAAATTATTATTCTTGTTGTCGGCAATTTTAGAAAATGAAGACACCCTCGTATTACCGTCACAAGCCGCACGAAATAGAGCGCGCCTTTCTCGTCTTTGTGCCGGAAGCACCGCGTGTTCCTCCGGACAGCACTACCGACTGGGAGGCCTTGAGCGATGACAACGAGAGCAATGGCGGGGGTGACAGCAAGGTAAGTCCAACTCGAATTTACTGGGTACTTTGCATGGTTATAGGCGACTTGTTCTAGAAACTGGATATAAAAATACCACCAGCACCTCTCAATGAGCTAAATGGAGATGGTGCTGAGACTACATCCGAGCCGGATACAAATGATGGGTAAGTTCCTGTTCCTATGAGTCCATTGCACACATATAAATAGTATATATACTTGTATATACTATGTAGTTATATTTGAGGGGCTTTGGCTTGGTCGCTTTCTAGCATGGCTTAAAGAGTCTTTTGTATTTTGAGGCTGTAATTTGAAATACTGTAGTAATTGAGAATTTTTGACAAACAATTTACGCTTCATTCATAAACACACATACGCAGTACAAGTGCGAATGGGGAAGAAGATTCTTCCAAAACGGAAGCTGAGCCAATTACGGAGCCAACACCAGCGGTTGAAGGCGATGGAGATGATCCTCTAAACAATAATGAAAATGGAATTGAGAAGGGAAATGAAAAGGGGAATGAGAATGGAGCTGAGGTAAGTTCACACAATTGTTTGGCTTATAAGTAGTATTGAAATTTTGAGCGCTCAGCACAAAACGCTTTTGCTGTACGTTATTCAAGCTTGTAGTTGGCACCAAAGCTTCCACTGAAAATAAAATAAAAGTCTTAAAATAACTGACTGTAAAGTAAAGGCTTAGCTTTATATACGTGTTAAGAAACGAGTCTGTCGCGAGCTGTCAAAGTAATCCATTGTCGGCCATGATGCGTCTTCCTCCTTGCTTCTTCAATAGTATATAGAAAAACATTTTCTCTGTTTCGTTTTAGTTTTCCACACATTAAGACACAAACGTACACAATCAATTTAAATACTCAGCAGTCTTATTTTATCTCACAACAACATTTTAGAAATTTTTAAAAACTTTTTTATATTTTTGTAGATAAAAAATAAATTTGAAATTTAAAAAAAAAACGGACAGAAAGCAATCAGTCGACAATTGTTTACTTTTACAGAATATTACAAGAACTTTAAGCGCCGATGAAGCACCCGCAGTTGAGGAGGATGAAGTCAAGGCGGACGCTGATCCTGAACCAGAACCAGATCCTGGACCAGAGCCGCAGGAGGAAGGTGAAGAGAATGGCACACATTCAAATGATGAGAAGCAAGAGACAGAAGCGAATGTAGAGCAAGAAAATGAAACAACCGGGGCGGAGGTGCAAAACGGAGAGGTCGAGCAAAACGATCAAGAAGAAAATGAAACTGAAAAGACTGAAGCACCGACTAAGCTTGAAGAAAACGAGAACGCACACGAGTCGAGTGAGAACGAGAATGTGGAAACCGCTTCAAATAATGGCAAAGATGCACCAGCTGGTGACGACGAAGAAGATGACGATGAGGTACAGATTGGCATGCTCTAAGCCCCTTTACCCCTAGTACCCACAATTAACATCTAATTTAAATGTATATGAAGGGCCGAAAATTGTGAAAGTTTGTGAACGCTGCGGGTATTTGCGATGGGCGTTAAATTATTGTATTATTGCGCTTTGCATGCGATCGTAAATTCCCGCTTCTGACTCGCAACAACAACACCTATTAAATAGAATTTCCAAATATCTATCTACCTATCGTTTAACCTCTGACCTAATATGTATCGCTTGTAACCTTAACGTTGTCTCTAAAGTAGTAATTGTAAGGTCATTGTTTTTCGATATATCAAATTTTACAATATAAGCAATTAAAATACAATATGCAAAACGGCAAGTTGTGTCTTTTGTTTTGTTTTCCTTTTCCACTGCACCGAAAGCAACTTTGTGTGTATTTCGTTATAATTTATATGTATGTATGTATGTATTTGTAGATGCCTATCCAATACCCCAATATACCATTACCTGGCTCCATTTAAATAAGTACTATCGATTTGTGCAATCAGCAGCTGTTTTGCCGCAGATATCAGCCAGCACTCTACCCACATATGTACTGTACAAGTATATGTACATATATACCAAAATACTATATAGTAAAGAAGTATATACAAATAATAGCATTTCACTTTCGTTAGCTGCCACGTTTCCGACTTTGACAGGCACCTGGCAGCGTCTGAGCTAAGCAGCACACACCAAAGCGGTGTGGAGGAGGTCTAAGCCCAACCAAACCGAATCGTTCCGAAATGGGACCTTAGCATGCAAACGTCAAAACATTTGCAAGCTTAGATATTACACCATTTCGTACAATTAGGAGCACATTCATGTGTGTTTTTCAACTTTTTTAAAATGCAGTGCCGCAATGCTCTGCGCAGTTTTAATATTTTTATATAATATGTACTCATACAATATTAGAGCGCTGCAAAACCATGATAATAGGTAGTCAGAGATTTAGGTCAACGATAAAGCTAAAAGTCAGTTCAGACATACTTTACATACCTAAGTACTATACATTAAGTTGAGGTACACATATCCATCGACAACTTGCAGCCTAAAGATATTCTTGAATTATTGAACATTTTTACTGACATTAACAAAGCCAAATACAATTAATTGTTTTTCGTAGCTATAATTTGATCCGAAACATATCAACGGCTTTAAATGAAATCCATCAAAAATTACATTTAATATTAATCACTTCCAAAACTAAACTCGACCTATATAGAAATATTAATTAAATAAGTTACTAAATATGTGTTAAGTTCGATAGAGAACTACATCTTTGGGGTACATTTTCAGGCATTGGTTCCTTGAATATATTGCTTGTTTTTTAATAAACATTTTAAAAGTTTACTAACACAACAATTTTGTAGGCGATTATTTGAAAATATTGCAATATTTGACATTCTTGGATTCATGGATTGCTTCAGAATTTTTAGTCTAATAATTTTTAAAGTAAGAGCCACTTTTATTCTACCTATTTTATTCTCAATAACCAATCCAAGCAATTAAGACCGAATTCAAACTAAATTTTTCCGAACGGATTTAATTACATTCTGATAAAAACACGCCCTAGTCGAAGAACATTTGAATGAAATGCTATTTAAATTGTATTTATTTTTTTGGTTGTTTTTTTTTTTAGAATTTTATTGTAAAGCCTCGTATATTCCTTCAATTATGCGTAAACTCAACAACAGTAGCTGAGTAGTTTCCCAACTTATACTCAAGTCGAAAGTAGGTCCGCCCTTAAAACATTGCAAAGTCTTAGAAGCACCTGTAACTGTAAGGATTGTAAATATTTGTCGCAAAATAAGGTACTTGTGTATGTTGTAGCCATGTGTCTGTGTAGTGTTGTCGCACCGTAGTAGTTACCCCCATGACACTCAAATAAAATGCATCTTTGTCTCTGTTGAACGAATTTGTGCAGGATGTTGTAGCACCTTCCCAGGGCGGTCAGCAGGCGAGCTTGGAGTTGGAACCTGGTGTGCAACAGGAGCTGCAGCAGATGGAGCAGCCGTATGAGCAGGATGGCACAGACTCGCCCACCTCTTCGCTAGCCATAGAGGGCTTTGTTCAGGGCGCATCCGATGATTATACAGTTCAGTCACAAACTGCTGCTTATGAAGTTGATGAAGTATAAGATACTTTCCCTTTCTATCTAGCTGTCTTAGTAGCTTCTTGTAGTGCTCACCGCTTCTTTGGAATATCAAATGCACAATTTTTAGTTGCTCTTCCTTCTGAAACATCACTCCACCTTCATTTCCTTTTACTTTTGCGTGTGCATGTTACATGCCTCTCTGCATCATAACCTCAAACCTTAATTCTCGACAGGACACACGCATACAGCAGATCATTGCATCCGGTGATTTGGAGCAATTAGCCCAAATTGTGCTCAATGGCGATGGTGGACGACTGCTGGGGCTGCAAACGAAGGAGCCGGAAGTACAGGCCTTTCTCAATAACGTGCCCAGCTACATGGTAAGTGAGAAACAAACCATTCCGACGAGCTTTTTAGTCGAATTTTTGTGTAGGAGAAAATACGACGCGTGCATGATGCGGCACGTGAGGGTGGTTTGTCGGCTTTACAGCAGGCCCTGGATCGCCGGAAGTTCGCAATTGCCAAGGACGATATATCGCCCAATGGTTCGACGCCCCTACACGTGGCTGTGCTCTTTGGACACAGTGGTAAGTGGTCCGCTTCGTGCCAGCGTGATTATATCGCGTCTGCAGGTATGCCACGAATTATTTGTTCTAGACATTGTACGCTATTTGGCTTCCCGATTCCCGGAGACCATGGACGCAACGGATAATGATGGCCGCACTCCGATACACTATGCGGCCACAATTAAGGATAATGGGCACTTTTACAATGTTTTAATGCAACTGGGCGCGAATACAAAGGTGGTGGACAAGGTGAGTGTTTACATTTGATGGCAAAACAGCGAAGTACCAAGCGAACTGAAACTACGTGTCCCGATTTTTGTCCTGGGAATCAAAACACTTGCTGTGTTTAATTAAAATACCTTGAAAATATCTTTGAAATGTGTGTCGTGACTCGTCATGACATTCAAGAGTTCAACTTATTTAAAAACTGACGATCGATGACACTTTTACTTTATTGTGCGTATTAAAAAAAGTTTTAGATGGCTGAATGAATTATGTATGTATGACAATAACAAGCAATTGAGGTAGTCAACAATTGAGCAGCTTACAACTATTCCAAGGGCTTTCACTCGTTTTTAAAATCGTCAAGCATGCGATATTGAGAAACAAACAATGTTGTTACTATAAAGGTAATAAATGCAAGCATGTCATTTGAAAGAGAAAGCATTTTTTCAATTTGCATAGTTATCATAAAATTTAATAAATGTCCAACCTAGGACAGATCTTAAATGAAGGCATACAAAAAATCCAATCAATAACTACAATTTTTGAAATTATTTTACTTTTGGGATTAAACAAAAATATCAGAATATTAAGGCTAGTCGTTTTGTGTAAACATATAAAAAAATATTATTTTTTATTTTAAAAAAATCGATTTGGCATATAAAAGTAACAAACATTGGTAACAGTTTATTTATAAAAAATAGTGCGATACTAATATTTACTTAATAATATAAAATTTCACAACAAACAGCTGGGCCATACGCCAGAGTTTTATCTAGATGTGGAAAAATCAAAGGAGATTCTAACCTACACCAAATTATTGAATATTTATGGGGCCGAGGAGCTGGAGAATCAGCTGCTAAGCGATCAAGGTATATGTTCGGTTAAGGTGGTTTTAAACTGTCAATGGAGTCCTTCGTATGGCACAGTTACAACTTTGTAAAGCAACAAATACAACAACAACAACAACAGATACACCTATAGCACATACACATGCAATCATTCAAATTAACACTGAACTCATTGCGACGTTTTGCTTTGCTATATGGCTTTAGTAGCGTTTTGTTTTCACACGCAGTTTCGCTGCCCGCCCACAGGCCCACAACTAGCCCACCCACTACTTACACACACACAAACACACACACACACACACACGCACACACACACACGCACGCATATAGATTAGCTGGCGCACCATAGAAATAATTAAATAGGTTTACTTTTCAACTTGACTGATTGGCTGCCTCAGAGACTGACTGACTGAGTGACTGGCCGAGTGGGGCCCTCAGTCATCGATTTTCGGTCGCACATGCAGCACATGTCCTTATTCCTCACCGGACCGCGAGCACAACAGCTATTTGTATTTACGTATGTGTGCTCGGTTTTAAACTGAAGGCACTATAGCACAATACAAGTATGGCAGCCAATCGGGAGTTTTTCAATCAAATTATTTACAATATTGATGATGTGTTCGGTATGTGGGAAATCCTTGATGAGATTGAAATGATTATTCTTCTTTTTTGGCACCTGTGAAGCACCTGCGCCTTTTCTAATCACCTGCAATGACCACAATGCATGTCTGTGTCCGTGTGTTTGTGTTTGTGTTTGTGCTTGTATTTGTATTTGTGTACTGTGTGTGTCGTTGTTGCATGCTGCCAGTTTGCTGCATTGTCTTGATAATCACAAGAACCAACAAATTCCATTCAACACTGCCGCTGCCGCTGCCGGCCGTCCAGTGCCCGATGATCTGCACAGTGCAAGACGCGAACTGCAGGATGGCGAAATTTCCCGCACCCTCGAGCGTTGCTTCAGTGTCATTCTGGAGTCGGGCAAGTTGTTGAGCGGCTCCAGTGCCTCGGCTTTGGCGCATCGCAAGCCGCTGAGTGCCTCCACATTGCAACTATCGGTTACCAGCTACTTGAGTCGCTTCCTCAAGCGTGCCGTTTATGAGAAGATCAAGCGCCGACAGACACGACTCGATCACAATCTCTTTGATGTGCTGTGGCCAGCAATGCGCAAGTCTTCAAAGGCGCGCAATCTGGAAGAGGACATTAATTGCGGGATCATAGCGCCCGACTTTGATGTGTTTGTGGTGTTTCAGGAGTTTCTGGTGCCATTGCTGAAGGACATGCATTGTCTGAGCATCGATGCGGATTTCAAACCGCAGCCCCGTCTCGCCTTCTTTCCAATGGAGAATGGCGAGCGATTGAATACGGCGGCCTTCACCTACGATGATGAGTCCCACCTGGTTACGCGCTGCATTGTGGAAGCGTCACGCAATCTAGACCAGATGGAATTGCCGCTCAATCTCACCATTGGCCAGATCGAGCACGCGGAACGCATAATGATGGGCAAAATATTCACGACGAACTTTGCGGAGGCCATTGGCGAGACCGAGTCAGGTAATTACTACACACTCACCGAACTGCTCGAGGAGAACTCTGAGGTCACTGAGATGCTGAGCAGCCTGGGCCTGATGATACCACTGCTAGACACTAAAGATCTGGTACAGGCGGCCGAGTCGACAGCCTTCAATGGCGCCTTGTGGCCATATGGACGTGGCGTTTATGTGAACTCGGCGCACAATCTGGCCCTGTGGCTTAACTGCCAGGAGCACTTGCGCATAATCTCGGCGAGCAGCAGCAAACAGCCCGCGGATATGGGCGCCGCATACACACGAGTCGGACGCGCTGCTTCCTACCTGGAAACGCAGCTGCACTTCAAAGAGAGCTACCTGTTAGGATACTTACAGTCGCGTCCTGCATACCTGGGCACGGGCCTAAAACTGACCACCATTGTGAAGCTGCCGAATCTCATGAAGGAGATGGATAACCTGCGGCACCTCTGCTCGGTGCGGGGCCTCAGCATGGTGACCAATCGGCTGTCAACATTGACGGTGCGTCTTTGTAATATGCAGAGCATGGGCATTGTGGAGTACGCTCTTTTCCAGGACTACTGCACGGCAGTCACAAATATTCTATCCTTGGAGAAGGACATGTCGCTGACAAACTCAAAGCACATTGCTACAATGCTGGTCAGGATATTTCGGCGCAAGAAAAACAGCATTATCGATCGGAATTAACCGCACCCAGAAGCAATCACTTGCATATTTCTATCTAAGCTACATTTGTACATACAAACACGATATTTAGCATATTGTTCTTTACAAATTGATTATGGCAAGCGACATAAACATTCAAACTACTTATTTGCATATCAAAGATACTCAAATTTTAGATTAGTGTTTCATTATTGAGCGCGTAGTTAAGTTTCTATTTCAAATCAGCAAGGCACTTCGTCTGCTTCCGCTGCGCGTTTTTGAGCCTCACACGTTTGAGCTTGCTGCAAAGTTTCGTAAGTTTTGCTTTCCAGTAACACTAGACAAATTACCAGTAGTTTTAATCGATTTAGCAATGTGCATTGTCCTGATTTGGTTATGATTTGCTATACTTTGTTTCATAGTGCATATTTATTTCGTTTATAATTGGGTTATACTTCATGCGATAAGATTAATAATTCACATCGAGTTTTGTTCTCGCTTCGTGTAAATATGTAGTTCTTCCATTTAAGTTCTTTATGTGACTGACAAAACAACATAATACCGATGACTAACATTGAACTTCTCTGCTATTCGAACAGGCCAAACGGAGCACACGGATTTCCAGTCCAATCCCATATTTAAAACGGAGCAAGGCAAATATCTAGCAGAATGTAAGCAGACAGTCTGCCTCATAACGTACCACATCTAAGTTTTCTATTCCAATAGCGTTAGCCGACCCACTCATCAAGGCCTTAACTGAAATCGCCAACAAGAGACCCAAAGATCCGGTGGCATATCTTGCTGGCTATCTGCAGAAATTCATGCAGGAGCGCAAACCCCATTTAGGAACTTTTGTGCATGCCGCCAGCGGCAAGAACAGCTCCATGGTGGCTAACTCCGGTTCCTTGCCGGCCAACGCTAGTCACCCCGCTAACATCGATGCCATCGAGGTGGATGAGCAGTCGATGGCTGAGGAGGACGCCGCTGCGGCCCAACAGCTAGAGGATCGAGATGAGCACGGCCAGAGTTTATTGCACTTTGCTTGCGCTCGCTCCCATCGACGTGGAGCTCTCTACACTCTCATCGAAGAGTCCAACATCGACTTGACCTATCGGGATGAGCTATATCGCACCGCTCGTGATGTCGCACTGCAGGCGAATCAGCCGAACAATGCCGCCGAGATCGATCGTTTTCTGCTGGCTCAGGCTGTCGTAGGTAGGATATAAATTAACTCAGCAGGTGTTATGCGAGCTCTGATCTTTGAATGCCTTCCAGGGGATGTGAAACCGTTTGAGCACTTGGCACTGCAGGGCTACGATCATGTATTAGACATTCAGGATGACAACGGCAAATCGATTGTCGATGTGGCAGTTGAGCGAGGAAATGAGGAACTAGCTGAATATTTTCGAAATCTGCGCTCAATGGAGGAATCACGCGAAGAACTACATCAGATGATACGCGACGTTAATATGGAGCGCATACAAGAGATTACCGCAGCATCAAATTCCAATTGGTTGATAAAAACTAAAAACTATTATGGTAATGCCGACCGATCAATCAGAAATACTTGATTTATACTAGCTCCTCACTTATTCTTCAGGTCGCACCGCCTTACATATAGCCGTTCTCAAAGAATCTGAAGAGATTGTCGAACATTTGATCAAGCTCTGTCCCGACGCCTTGAAAGTGACTGACAACGTAAGCATAACTGCTCACATTTTTACTTCATAATAAGTCTTCAAATTCTCTGATTCTAAACAGTTGGAGCGCACTGTCTTGCACTATGCTATGGGCACGAATGCTCTAGAGAGTGTTAGCCGGATACTTATACAAAACGGTGCGAAGCGCACAGCCAAGGATCTGAAGGGTAGGCAGCCCAGTTACTACTTCATGAACAAGGCGGACATACTGCGTCTGCAGGAAGAAGAGGAAGAGACACGCTGAGATGATCCGCAGTTCCGAAAATAATATTGACAAATGGGTTGCACGACTTTTAAATCAAATTCGCAAACATATCAAGTATTGTATAGTATAATTTATTCTTAAGCGCTGTTATGTGCCTTTACAGGAATAAGTCGTTCGTTAAATAAAATTTAAAACCTCCACAGTCATTTAATTTAGCGTGCCTTATCGTATTGCCAGCCACTCGAGCATAACACAATTTTGAAGTTCCGATTCAGACAGAAAGGCCGAGCGCCATGCCATTATAATCTTACTGCAAACACAGAACCCATCAAGATAACTCCTGAAGTGCGAAACATGTGCAATGACGGCCTAGCGTTTCCCACACATGCCTTTCTTATTAAATACAATTAGATAGGTATAATGTGATCGAACGTCAACACTGTAGAGTGGAATTATAAGAAAATTACAAAATGATAAGATTGAAGGTTTATATAACAACCAAAAAAAACCCACAAGGGATAATGCATCCAAATTTAAATATAAAAGTGAAATTACTTAAATATTACATTCTTTGGGTTTTAATGTTTTTAAACCAATTTTCCACTACTTAAGTACAGTAAAATTACTTTAGTGTACACATATGCTTCTTCCAATATTGCAACTACTTAAAAAAATAAGAAAAATAAAAAAGGCATAGCTAAGCCCCCTTATTATATTTGAACTTTCTCGACTACAAGTATTTAGTATCAGTCCCTATAGCACTTAGAAACCACATTACGCTACATTTTACTCACATTAAATTAAACAAGATAACAACACAAAACAAAAATTCAGAATATATAAAACTTAAAACAAATCGATACTCTTCGAACACTTCATTATTGTATTTTTCGGCATTTAGTATTGATAAGGGACATATAGTTATTTTTGGCCCCTACTGAGCTACGCAAATTGAGTTGTTTTGTTAGGTTCTAGCTCTACTTCCTACTCCCTACTTTTACTTACAATATCAAAACGTAATTCTTCATCTACCGACATGGTTTCCCTATCTTTTATATTTGGTGCTCTCAGTCCGTTGTATCTTACCTCATTATCAGCAAAAACCAAGAGATAATATTACAAGCAATGCCACAGGCAAATACCCTGTGTCCTCCACCGAGTTTTAAAAGAGATTATAGAGATTAGTGTGCAATATTTAGGAAAGTACTAAAAATTCAGTTACGGGATAGGGAAGAAAAATATTAAAGTAAATAAAATAATAAAATATGGTATATATATGGGCTTAGATCAAGCTGCGAACCTTGTTAACTGAAATAAGGCATCTGTATACAACATTTCATGTTTCTGTCTCTTATAGTCTCTGCAATGCAGGTGTTCAGACGGACATACAGACAGACAGGAAATGTAAGCATACATAAATTTCCCCTGTATACGCCTACAGATAAGCTTGTCGTTTCTATACATCTCTTTACTTTCTCGTGTGGAACAATGTAAATCCAACACAACTACTATCAGTTTCAAGTTCAACCATTGTTCACCAAAGTGTCGAATTTAACTAACAGTTAAGTGTTTAGCTATGAGTGCTCTGGTTTCTACGTCTGCGATTAAATAGCAGTATCACTTCAAGCCAGCTGATTTGCCTGATTAGCTGGGTAGGTGAAAAGCGAACTCCCTTTCAGCTATCGGTTGAGTTGTTCGAAGTGCGTGGATGGCTTAGGTTGAAAAATCGGAAATGGCGGCGGAAAAAAATATGGGTAATTGCATGTGAATATCTTCTTCATGGAACAGTGTCTAAATTGACTTATTTTTGTTCAATATTTCCCGAATTATTGAACAACTTGTAACGATTCTATTAATATAAAAAGTACTTTTATATAAGTGACGGCAGGAAGTAAATTTGTGAAAACATGAATATAATAATCCGAACCTAAAAACAATTTATGAATAATACTATATGTACATACTACAATCACATCTTTCTTAACAATCAGAATAACTTACTAATACAACCCCTTATATTAATAGTAATATTGAATTCTAATCATCTTAGTAATGTATTTATTGCGTGAAATGCTTACAATTCTTTTGGCAGGTCCCTTAATCGGTCAGAGGCATATCCAAGCCTTTCTACTTTTCCTTTCAATCACTGTAAATTATACCGCCAAGTTCAATGCCAGTGTAGCTGTCGTTGCTATGACGAATTCCGAGACCACTAATCCAAATTTTCCTGTAAGTAAAGAATATCAAAATAAGTATAACATATTTAATTACATTGTGTGAATATATGGTTTTAAAGCATTTAGAACTTATACTAGTGAATTGGATAAAATATCATGTTTGCATATTTTATCTATAACTGATGCTGATTAGTTGTTATTTTTCAGGAATTTGACTGGAATGAAATGGAGCGATCCTACATACTTTCTAGCTTTTTCTGGGGGTATATCCTGACACAATTTCTCGGTGGCTGGCTTTGTCGCCGCTATGGTGCTCGACTTACCATGTTCGTTTCGACCATTGGCTCCGCATTACTCGCCTTACTGCCCCCGTTCTGTGTGTCCTGGGGAGGTTGGCAGGCGTATTGTACAATACGTGTAGGAATGGGACTATTTCAAGGTTTCCTCTTTCCCTGCATACACGCGCATCTGGCCAATTGGTGTCCCGTTAATGAACGTAATCGACTGGGAGCCTTCGCTAATACGGGCATTGATTGCGGCACTCTAATGGCAATGTTTTTAAGTGGAAAGATAGCGGCCTCGAGTATGGGATGGCCGGGAATTTTCTATATATCCAGCACAGTGGGCATTATTTGGTGTATTGTCTGGTTGATTTTTGGCGCCAATACGCCAAGGGAGTCGAAGTTCATAAGCGAGGCTGAGCTTAAATATATTGAGTCATCGATCAATCAAGGTGGCAAGGAGAACGAAGTTCAGAACGCTCGACAGATCCCTGTGCCATGGAAGGCAATTTTCACCTCGTTACCATTTTGGGCGCTTATGGTAGCCCGATGCTCTCAAGCCTGGGGATACTCTACGTTACAGACAGAGATGCCTACCTATATGAATGGGGTGCTGCTTATGGATATGAAAAGTAATGCTGTGTACTCCGCTCTGCCGTACTTGGCCTCATGGATAATGGCATTTGTATACCTTATTATATCGGATATTCTACTCAACCGTGGCGTTCTCTCAATAACTGCGGTTCGGAAAAGCTTTAATACTATTTCATTCTGGGTGCCAGCTATCACTCTGATAGGCGTTGGCTTTGTAGATAGTAGCCAAACAACACTGGCCATTGTCCTAATGACCCTCAATGTGGGCATTAATAGTGGAAACACCATTGGCAGTGCTATAAACACCATTGATCTGTCGCCCAACCATGCAGGAATTCTCATGGGAATAGTGAATTCAGCGGCCAATATGTTACCAATGATCACTCCGCTATTTGTAGGCATTATTGTGAAGGATCAGGTAAGAAATATCAACAGCACCTGCCTATAAATATCATACTTATTCAACTATATTTTTTCTTTGCTATAGCACGATCGTGTGCAGTGGCAAGTTGTGTTTATCATATCTGCCATTGTGTTCTTCCTGGGAAATCTGTTTTATATAATGTTTGGTAAAATGGCTAAGCAACCGTGGGATGACTCAGACTTTCTGGATAATTATCAAACCTGTAGAATAGCAGAAGATGGGCAATCAAAAAGAGAGAAAGCGGAAAAGCCCATTAAATAAAGTCAATTCGAATTACTCGCGGCTGGCTGCAGTAAATGCTTGGTATTTTTAATAAATATATGTATGCTATGTTAAGTTAAGAAACATGTCGTTTTTTTTAATTTCTTTAATTACGCCAATAAGAAAGATGACAATGCTATAAATTTGAGGCAAGTTCCTCGATCTAAAAATGTCTTCGATTAATCTGATGCTAAAAACTTGTTAACAATTACTCTGTCAATTAATAACCGTATCTTGCTGCTCTAATCAGCTACATTTTTATTTAATTACAGTTTAAATGACGTATGTGATAAAAAGGCATTCCTGTTTTTAGCAATGGTAATAATAATGATTTAGTTAACCTCTCTTATATGGATGGGGATTAGTCTACTCGGACGTATTAGTGAAGGAAGAGCGATTATTAAAAGAGTAGTAAACATTCACAAAAGCGTTGCCCTTTTCATAACATTGTACTCATATTAAATTAAATAAAAAACACTCAAAAAGTTTCACTCAATTCTGCTTATCAAAAAAGCTTTTTTAACCGCTTCAAACGGAAGCATCCGAATTTTGTTTGCTTAAAGCTTTTCCATTCGAAGCTTGCAGGTGGAATCCCCATTACGAGTTCAACACTGCTACATAAAAGTGCTTTGGCTAACACGTTCCTATTTTTTCATTTTACTTCTTCGTTTAAAATATCTACAACTGCAAATTTGAGAAAAATGGTTGCTAATTTTTTTTTTTACTGTTATCTAGTGTATTATTAATGAAGCATCAAATGTAACTTTAAAATGTTTCTGAAAACCAGAATATATAATATACGAGTAAAATGGGCTGGAGAATAATATTTTTTGGTACAACAAAATCCGTGCAGCTGCCCAAGGCCAATGCCTTTAGTTTAAGTAAACTAGGGGGCTGAAAGTTGGGCACAATAAAAGATTAAAGTTCTATTCTCATGGGGCTGGGATCAGCCATCAAGGGTGTTGGCACCAATAAGTATCCTATATGATAGATCATCTTGAAATATTCGAAATAAATTGAGATATAATTTATTTACATATCATTACATATCCTTCTCTCCTTTGCTTTGCTATAATGCTTACCAAAACTTAATTAACCGAAGTATTATATATGTATATGGGTGCACGTGTTTTCAGTATCAGGATAATCTATTAGATTACAGAGTTTTTTACTTAACTGCCAATCAAGGTTCACGATAGCAAACAAGTTTTTATAGCCGTTGTTTTGATAAGCAATCGCTTTTGTTTATTACTGTATCCAAAACTTTGCATTGGTCATTCGACGTTACATAGTGATTCGGATCGGTTGTTCTTCTCCGTGTAGGGTGTTTTGGTTCAAAGACTTATCGACAATGACTGCTGAGGTAGTCAAAGGTATTACAAAAATATTTTTGCTAAATTGGCTTAAGAACCTGGTATTTATAGCAGTGGCCTATTTTTATACATAGGTATTTTGATAGCCACCAATAATCTCAGAAAAACTATGCATGTGCACCCCAGCAAAGTTACTTAACGTAATCGGTCAAAAACAGTAATTCGCCCATAAACTGAACATATGTGTACACACGTGTATTATTTTCCAAGAGTAAAGTTTATTATGTTAAAAGCCCTCGAATTAATTTTAGAGTTCCGAGTGTATTTAAGAGCTAAAAATAGATTTATTCACGATTAATTAGTTATTTGTAATTAATATTTCAGTGTTTTGGGTCTATGCCTCCTAATTTATATTATATTTAGTCTAGCACAAAATAGTCCACAAAATACGACAAAAAAAACATTAATAATGCCTCCAGTTTATAAACAAAAAGCTCCACATCAGTTTAATTTAAATAACGAAATTCAAAAAATATAACTATAATTATTTTGAATTAAATTTATTTAATTTCAGGCCCTACCATAGGCATTAGGCATTTGCAGGCGCTGCTCATTTTTCTTCTTATCACAGTTCTCTATATAGGACGTATCAATGTGGGAGTTTCAGTTGTTGCAATGACCAATGCTGAATCTACTAATCAACATTTTCCGGTAAGACATATCAACCTGGAGTCCCAGAACACTGAGTAAACTTTTTTCAGGAATACGATTGGACGTCGACGGAGATATCCTACATATTGTCCAGTTTTTTCTGGGGCTACATATTGACGCAGTTTCTGGGCGGCTATTTGGGCCGACGGTTTGGTGCCAAACGCGTCATGTTTTGGGGAACTTTCGGATCTGCCGCTTTCAGCCTCGCCACACCCTTCTGTATACCATGGGGCGGCTGGATAGCTTATTGTATCGTACGTGTAATACAAGGTTTTTTTCAGGGTCTTATCTTTCCCTGCATACATCAGCATTTGGCCCGTTGGTCCCCACTCAAGGAACGAAATCGATTGGGCGCCCTTAGTCACACAGGCATAGAATGTGGAAATGTGATGGCGATGTTTATCAGCGGCATGATTGCAAAAGGTCCTTTGGGTTGGCCGGGTATTTTTTATATATCCGCGGCGGTTGGTTTTGCTTGGTGCATCCTATGGTTTTTCTTTGCGACCGACAGTCCCAAACAATCTCGTTTTGTCAGCGACGCAGAGTGTCAATACATAGAGACCTCGCTGCAGCACAACGAGAACTACAATGCCAAGAAAATACCTGTGCCTTGGGGAGCCATTTTGGTATCAGCACCATTTTGGGCCCTACTGGTAGTACGCTGCGCCGAAGCGTGGGGACTAAGTACGCTACAAGCTCAAATACCCTCCTACATGAACGGTGTCCTGGAAATGGACATGCAAAGCAACGCAATTTACTCGGCCCTTCCATTCTTCGCTATGTGGTTCATGTCCTACGTCTATCTGATATCAGCCGATATTTTGCTGGGAAAAAAAGTTCTGACTCTAACAGCCCTTCGAAAGCTATTCAATAGTTTTGCATGTTGGATACCCGCAGCTACACTCATTGGTATTGGCTTTTTAGATAAAGAACAAACGACATTAGCCATTGTCCTGATGACAGTAAGCGTAGGTGTGAACAGTGGAGCTACCATAGGCAGCTCACTTAACACACTTGACCTTTCTCCAAACCATGCTGGAATTCTCATGGGTGTAATTAATACAGCCTCCAACGTTCCGCCCCTCCTGACACCGCTGCTCGTAGGTGCTGTTGTGACTGACAATGTGAGTACCCATTTAAAATTTATAAAGACTAGAGGAACGTTTAAGACTCTCTGATACTCCCTTACAGGGTGACCGATCACAATGGCAAATCATATTTATTGTAGCATCTGTAATCTTCTTCGTTGGTAATTGTCACTTTTTACTAAAAGGTACAGCCATTTCCCAGCCATGGGATGCTGAGGATTTTCTGCTACCAAAATATATGGAAAATACACCGCCTAACGCTGCTTTGGAGTCAAATGGTAGAACTCAACAAATTAAAAAATCATAAAAAATAATATATGTATTAATGCCAACCCTCCGAAATAAAAATTCTAATATCTCGACTTTCAAGTAGAAAGTAGAAGATACGCCGAGTTTATTTTACAAATATGTATTTACTTGTTTAGATTTTTAGTGTTTAAACATTACAGCTTATTACACAACATTTTAAAATGGAAGAAATTCTATATTTAATTAAGCACCTTCCCATTATGTTACATTATTTAGGGCAACAGAATCAATTTCTGTGGATTATCTGGAATTAATTATATTATAAACTTTAGATGGAGAGGTATTTGATAAATTCATTTTATTATTAATAAACACATTATTAAGAATAATTAATTTACAAAAATCTAGCTTGTCATACAACAAAATTGAACCAACGGCAAAGAACTCGTTGAAACAAGTCAAGTATTTTTACAGTTGCCACCATAGGGTCACACTGTTTGAAGCACCATTGTGAATGGTAGCCGGTTGGAAGAATTTGGCGGCACTTATTTTTAAGTTATGTTTAAACTTCGTTATTATTAAAGCGTGTCATAATTGTTAATTAAAAATATGTCTCATCGTCGCAAAGAAATGTGGAAGTTGTTGTACAACTTGGTAAATGGCAGTGAAACCAACCTGATGGCCATGTACAGTGTGGTCGACGATATTTTGTGCCAAGAGCCAAGTCTTATAAGCTGCTCATCAGTACGCGAGCTGAACAACAAATTCCAGGATACGATTGTGTTGTGGTTGTTAAACAAACTCGCCAAATGCCTAAGCAGATGCACAATAAAGGGTTGTGTAGCACTTTCCAGCCCACACAGCGCGCCATCCTTTAATTTGAATGAGCCAAATCACAACCATTGCCTCAAGAACGTACAGCTGCAGCAGAAAATACTGACATCCTGCTGGGCGAATCATCCCAAATTGTATGAGGAACTGGTTCTTGCTTATATTGACGCACTCCAGCAGCTGAACGAACAACTGGGAAACATGGACTACAGCGAAGCGAACAGAGAAGCCGCCTCCGTTCATGTATTTCAGCTAAACATTTTTACACGCGATATCAGCTGCCTACAAGAGTTTGATGCCAAATGTGCCTTCCAAACCATTGAGATACCACTAGATAATGCAGATGCATATGCAAAGCATTTGTTAGCGATGCTGAAGGATGCTCATTGCGTGGGATACGCCACACACGGTGAAGTTTTTGTAGACAGCCTAACGCAGGCTCTGCTCACACTAAAGGAATGTGATATGGACACAAAGCTGGCCTGTCTAAGGTACTGCCATGCGGTGCTGCGGGTACGGACCAACAATATATGGCCAACTACCTCTGCCATCGGCCATTATGGGCTGTTAACATTGCGCGCCCTCACAGCACTATGGACTATGGCGCCCAAATGGCTGGCGGCTAAATGTATGGAAAATACAGAATTTCTCGAGTTGGCGACCCTGACGCAACAGATTTTGCTCGTGTTGGAGGAACTGCCGCATGGTCACGAAAATTTGGAGCTCACATGTGAGCTACTGCGGGAGATTTTAATGCAGATTGCCTACCTTGACGACCGCCAGGCGGGTCTATTGAGTGCACTTACCGGATATGTGCAAAAACAGCTGGAACTGTTGCAATCACATCACACGCTACCCTTGCCACTGCTGCAGATGCTGCTGCAGGAATGGCGCACACAGCCACAGTTGCTGTTGCCGGTGTTGACTGTCTTGGCCGTGAGGCACGACAAGCTTCGCCGCCTGCTACTCAAAGAAATAGCTGCTAGCCTGGCCCAGCTGCTCGATATGTCCAAACACAACGCATCCGAACTGCTTAATTTGCTGGCCGTGCTCCAAGCACTAAAAAATATGGAACAGCAGCTACTGCTGCAAGAGCAACAACAACGGATTATGGGACACAAACTTGAGTCTACGCTGCTTGCTCAGCTTCCACAACACTACGAACTACCTTTCGAGGGAAACTGGAATGGCCCCACCTTAAGTTTTTTGAAACAGCAGGCGGAAGAGAAAACCCCACAGTACTTGGAGATTTGCTCTCTGTTACTACGCGTCACCTGCATTCGTGCTACACTGAAGTCTCAGACTCAACAGCAACTCCTATCGGAGTTGCAACAGACGCTACAAGAGCGCCAGGCGCCTCTCCAGCTTAGGCGCACTTGCATACAGGCTTTGTGCACTGTAAGATTGGACATACCTTCTAGTGCGCACACTCAGCTGCAGGCATTTTTTGCACAGCAGCACTGGGAGCTGCTGACCTCGCAGGACGAGCAAATAATGCGACTGTTTTACGATCAGTTGCCACAGCTTTATGCTTTCGGCTATGTAAAGAGCGCTCAGTTGTTGAAGGTCCTGCCCCAGCTGCTAGGAAATGCCCGAGCGCGGTCCATTATCCTGCGCATTTTGCTATGTACACAATGTCCAAAAGCCACACATGCCTTTATCAATGAGGATCGCCTTATATTGCACTGTGCCAAATGCCGCCCGCTGCCCAGCAAACTGCCAGGCGTATATCAACCCTGCTGCAAGTTAATGAAACAGCCTGCTCTCAAATTCTGCAATAGTACACTAAACGCCATCTGCCAGGACTTGCTGTTCACCTCAGGCAACAGTTTTATTGCGCGGCACTTGGACTTGGTTGAAGTAACACCAGCGCTGTGCTTGCGTCTGTTAGAGAAGGCGCCAGACTTGAATGCGCTAAACGAACACAATTTAGAGCTTCTGATTCCCGTGCTATGTCAGCGCTCTACGGATTTCATAAAGCAGTTGGCTTCGCACATGTTGCTGCGAATTGGACAGATTCTGATGCAGCCGCTGGAGCAGCAGACCCAATCGGAACAACGGCATATGTTGCGTTTGCTTGTCAGTTGCGCGCAAACAGACATGGACGAATTTTGGCTATTCTATTGGTTCAAAATGACTTTCTATTTTCTGGTACACCCCCATTCGCTGGTTGCCCAGGAGGCAGTGCTCTCCGCCACTCAGATATGTGCCAAACGCGGACTTCAAACGGTGACCCTGTGGAACTGGTACAAGCGTGATGCCCTTGGCCTGGTCGTCCTGTTGGCAATGCATGCTTATCTTAGCCAGGGTGTGCGCTTCACGCGTTCGCTGAGAGCGGTAAGTAAAATATGAAGATCTCTGTAAACGGTTAAGTTCTTATACTCCTGTTTACAGCTCACCAAAATGCTTGGCTTCTCATGCGTGCAGGAGTTCACATGCAAGTACCATCGTTTGCTTACCACCATGGTGCTGCCCTATTGCATCAAGGAGCCGCGCTGCAAGGGAGTGATTGTGCTAATTGCCAAGCAACTGCGCAAGCCTGTCTCTGCGCTCTTCGCTACTTCCTTCCTACGTCTATATACGCACGTATATCTCACCGAAAAACCTGCGCTGGGCAATCGTTGTGTCGACCTCGTCGTCAGCTGTACAAGTTCCAGTCTGCAACAACTCATGAATGCGGACGTTAAGGTAATTAATATGTCCATAGCCTCATAAGGAAATATTAATGCAATAACTAATTATAATTATGCTATTTAAATAGTAATTTATTACTATCCAATCATCTTCCTCATTTCACAGCAAACGGTCTCCGAACTACTTATCTACTTCAATCGTAATCCGACATTCGTAATGCGCTCCTTTCAGTGTCTGCTACAATTGGCAACCGCTGAGAATCTGCCAAGCCAGGTGGCCAATGCAGAGTTCGCGAAATTTATAGCCGAGCGTTTTCTAGGCGTTATTACATATTTTGAAAGCTGTCTATCGGAGCAATCCTTTGAGAAGCCCTTGAAGGAGGAAACACTCTATAGTTTGGGCCAGATCATGCGCTTCGTGGGATCCCAGCATGTGACGCAGTTTCGCTTTAAGATAATAGCAATGCTGAGTTTTGTGCACACTTTAAAGGAGCCCAATCTGCAACGAATTTGCCTCAAAATCTGGCATATTTTTCTGCACGTGGTCGATTTGCAGGAGCTTGGGCCGTCTCTAGGTCACATTGTTGCTTCGCTTCAGCCGCTGCTAGCCTACAGTGTGGAGCAGGTGAACAGTTTATATGAATTTGTCATTCTACGCAACGCTTCGATGTTGGGCAGCTATATTACGGACCTGTACTTTTTGGAGCACCTCGATGAGGTCTCGGCTCCCATCCGCCAATGCATTTCGCGCCACACGGAGCATCTTCAATTGAACTCAAGCGCCCCCATCACCCAGAAGGCAACGCTTCTGCAACAGCTCAAATTTCTCCACAAACAAATTACCAATGAGTGCCTGCCCGTGCGCATTTACGGCTTGGAACACTTGACCGAACTCTTTGCTCAGCAGCGCATGCAACTCAATAGCATGCTGCTGCACGAGCTCCCCATGGAGCCACTGCTGGAGCAGACAGTTAATGTGCTCATACACGGGTGCCAACACGATGATCGCAAACTGCAGCTAGCCTCGGCCAAGTGCCTGGGTGAGCTGGGTGCTATTGATGCCAGCTACCTGCCATCCAACTACAGTTTCGAGTCCGCACAGCAGCTGCCATTAAGTGTCCTCACAGATGATTTTGCGGTGCTGGCGCTAACCGCCTTATGTCAAGGCTATCAATTTCAGCAGAAAACGAAGCATGTGGACAGTTTCTCGCTGGCCATACAAGAGACGCTGGCCGTGTGCGGCATTTCACCCAAGGAGAAACGGAAGCTTGATCTGTGGAACTCCATGCCGATGCGGATGCGTCAGATTATGGAGCCATTGTTGCAATCCTGCTACACGAACTCACAGCGCCCAAGCAGTTGCCGGGAACAACCCATATTTGGCAGCCACCTCACGCATAATTCCTACGAGGAATGGGCGTTTCTTTGGGCCGCGCGACTCGTGGAATATGTGCAGTCATCAGAGACGCGTCATTTGCTGGGCTCCTACAAGCCGTGCATTAAGCGCGATGGTAAAATGCTGAGCACCTTCTATCCCTACATACTCGTCCATGCTCTGCTCGAGTGCGATCAAGATCAACGTGAGCATATCGAGCAGGAATTCCAGGCGGTGCTACGGGCAGCTAGCGATGAGGTGCATGCAGCCACTGCGAAATCGTATGAACAGTCGGCGAGCTCCACTGGAAGCTACAAGCTTTACGAGTCCAAAAAATATGCAGCTACCGATAAGGTGAGTTGCACGGAACGTAGTGCCAATGCGAACGAGGACAGCGGCCACGTGCCGCGATTGGCCAGCAAATTGTGCGCCGAACTACTGGATTTTTTGCAACGCTGGCTTCGTGAATGGCAGCGTCTGCATGGCATGAGTACCGCCGGCAAACCACCGCAAACAGTAGACTCCAACTACAGGCGAATTCACGGGTTTCTGGAACGCACCGACAAACTGCTTGTGGCCCGGGCCAGCTACAATTGTGGCGAGTACGCACGCGCGCTCAGCTATCTAGAGGCATACATTGAGCAGGACCGTTCACCACGCCTGCTGGATCAGTTCTCTTTTCTCGTAGAAATTTACGGACGGTTATTGGATGCAGATTCCGTAGAGGGTGCCGTACAGGCTCGCAGCTACGACCTGAGCATTACCCAAGAGATACAGGTGAATAGATTGGTGGAGCGCCAGCAGGATATGATAAGCTGCTATGAGCAGCTGCTTTGCGACACGGCACAGCTACAACCGGAGCACATACGGGCCATGATCGATGCTTACGTGCGCATGGACACACCTAAGACTGCGTTACTCATTGCCGATGGTCTTTGGAAGCGTTGCTCGGATCAATACACGGATCAGTATTTCAGCGAGTGTAAATCTGAGCTCTACTGGCGTCTGGGCAGCTACGACGAACTGGATCAGATGCAACAACAAAGCAGGAGTCGTGGAAACTGGCATGGACAGTGTGCCCAAGCCTGTTTGGCTTTGCGTCAACCGGAGACAACTGCAACACAGTTTGGAACACTGTTGGATGGCATGAGGACTTCAGTACTGGAGCAATTGCGGAGTTGCTCTGCCCAGCAGCATCACTCATACGCACACGCCTACGAGTCGGTAATCAAACTTCATATGCTACACGAGTTGCAGCGCAGTCAGCAGCTTCTGGAGCGTCTCGACGAACCGCTGGACGCAGAACAGGCCGTACAGCTGACGCAAAACTATTTTTCAGACTGGCAGGCCCGGCTAGAGGTACTGCAGCCTCAGGTGCGTGTGCTGGAGCCCATCTACAGTTTTAGGCGCAATCTGCTTTCGGAGATGCAACGTCGTCTGGATAAGCGGGCTGAACTCACCCTACCTCTGGAAGCTGAGCTGGCGCGTCTTCTGCTGAGCAGTGCGCAAATAAATCGCAATGCCGGACAGCTACAGCGCGCACAGCTCTACATAATGAAGGCGTCTGAGTATCGACCCAACAGTCTCTTTCTGGAGCGTGCTAAACTGCTGTGGATGCGTGGCGATCAGGTGCTTGCGATGAATCACCTGGAGGAGCATTTGGCAGTACTAAAACAACAGTGCCAGGGCAATGTTAGCCAGCTGGAGGACGATCAGCGCACACTATACTTCGAGGGGAAATATCTGCAGGCCATATATAATGCTGAGTCCATGCATTTGTGTGCGGATGCAGTTCTGCAGTTCTTCCACGATGCCCTCGCTGTGCAACGGCAGTCAGAACGCTGTCATGTGCAGTTGGCGCAATTTCTGGAGAAAATGTTGGAGGCACGACAGCCGGCAGGAAAGAAAGCCGTCTCCGAGGACGATGAGGGACGGCAGCTGCTGCTTCAAATAATGCTTAACTATGCAAAATCCTTACGCTATGGCAGCGAGCATGTATATCAGAGTATGCCGCGTCTCATTAGCCTTTGGCTGGACACGTCCAGCTGCGGTGCCGGCGCCGAGCTGCTACGTAAGATGAACGATCTGATGAGCAACTGCTGCAAGAATCTAAACACGACCATGTTTTATACGGCCTATTCGCAGCTACTTAGTCGCCTGTGCCATCCATCCCCGGAAGTTTACAGCGTGCTGCGCGACATAATTATTAAACTAATCGAACGGTATCCACAACAGTCGCTCTGGATGTTGCTGCCACATTTCAAGTCGGCCGTCACAAACCGTATCAAGCGCTGCAAACTCATACTGACCGACACACGCCTGCAGAATGCACAGTTCCAGCGACTGTTGAGTGACTTTAATACTCTTACGGAGCGACTGATTGAGCTCACCAATAAAGAGGTGGTACTGGATCGCACATATCAGCTGAGTGATTTGGACAGGCGGCTGTCACGGCTATTCAATCAGGCGCAGTTCTCCAACATATTGCTGCCTTTTGAAAAGTACATGCAGCCCACGTTTTCCATAAGTTCAGCGGCCGCTACGCCAGCATCCAGTTCTGTGGCAAATGGCGAAAAGGCGTCCATTAATTGGTTTCCCTACCAACAAATATTTATAAGCGGTTTTGAGGAGAAAATCGTGGTATTGAGGTCAGCGGCTAAGCCAAAGAAACTGACCATACGCTGCAGTGATGGAAACCACTATGATGTGATGGTTAAGCCCAAGGACGACTTGCGCAAGGATGCACGCCTCATGGAGTTCAATGGTGTACTCAAGCGCTACTTGCATCAGGACGCCCAGGCGCGTCAGAGACGCTTGCGCATTCGCACCTATGCCGTACTGCCTTTTAACGAAGAGTGCGGCCTTCTCGAATGGCTGCCTAAGCTCTGTTCCTATCGCAGCATCTGCCACGGATTCTACACGCAGCGTGGTCAGGGCATGAGCGGACGTATGCTTCAAAAGTTGACTGTGCCCGTCACGGATTCATTGGAGCGCAAACGTGAGATCTTTTTACGTCATCTTGTGCCGGCTCATCCGCCTGTGTTTCAGGATTGGCTGCACATGCGCTTTAGAACGCCACATAGTTGGTACGAGGCACGCAATGCCTACATACGTACCGTGGCTGTCATGTCTATGGTGGGCTACATTCTCGGTCTGGGTGATCGGCATGGCGAAAACATACTCTTCGACGAAAGCAGCGGGGAAGCTGTACACGTCGACTTCAACTGCCTGTTCAATCAGGGCGAATCATTTGCCTACCCCGAGCTAGTCCCGTTTCGCTTAACACAGAACATGATTGTCGCCATGGGGCCGCTAGGTATAGAAGGTAGCTATCGCAAGTGTTGTGAGATTACGTTGCGACTGCTGAAGCAGGAGACAAAGACCTTGATGTCAGTGCTGCGACCATTGGTCTACGATCTGGGCGTCCAAAGCAGAACTGTTGCCGCCTCAAGCAGAAGCGCCGCCGAACTAACCGACCCCAAGGCCACAAGCGATGTCCGACGCATTGCGGAAAGATTGGAGGGTCATGTAAGTACAATTCATAGAAACCATGTTTCGTATATCTTACAGTAAATCCTCTCTTTAACAGGTTAAACGTCATCAGGCAAACAGCATACCACTCTCGATCGAGGGTCAAGTGAATTTCCTAATTAACGAGGCAACCAATTTAGATAACTTGGCGGCCATGTATATTGGATGGGGCGCATATCTATGATTTACTTAATTTTCCACCTTATCAATTATACGTATAGTAGGATGTAAACAAGTATATAGTTAACTATTTAAAAACCCCTCAATGGTTGTAAAATAGAAACTAATATAAGAAACTTTGTCATTCAATTTTATGTTTTAAAGAATTTAAAATTGTTGCTTTTCGTAGATCCCTCTGGTTATTTTTGTCTTAATAAATTATGTATATAATACTTATAATGTAAAGTTTTTTGTATCAATTTTCATTAGTATTGCTATGAATACTCAATTCCCCAAATTCCCCATTTTAAATTAACTTTCTATGTGTAGCTAAATACAATAATATAAAGTAAAACAAGAAATAAATGCTGTAAAATTAAAAATAAATAACCAGTACGAAGGCTCATTCAGTTTTAATAGAATTTATTTACCTAAATATTGTGTTTATGTGTACCACGTCTCATTTTTACATGCCAATTTTTTTTAATTAAAGTTTTTAAAGAAATTCCGACAGATAAATAAACCTGAACCTAAACACAACAAGAGAGAACGCTACAGTCGAGCAAGCCCGACAAATTATATAAAATTTTAAACAACAGTAGATAAGTATATATAAATTATGTGTGCAAAGTTTAGTTTAGGTAGCATTTGAAATGTGGACGCCATCGACGAAATTCTGTAGCGGGGACGGGGGGGAAAATTAAAAAAAAAAAATAAAATAAACTCGCCCTTTCTCGGACCTAGGAGAATCTGGATGCCAACTTTGGTTATTCTAGCTTTTATAGTTTCTGAGATCCTTGCGTTCATCCAGACGGACGGGTGGACGGACATGTCTAGATCGATTTCTTACGTCATGCTGATTCAGAATATATATACTTTAAGGGATCGGAGATGCTTCCTTTTCACAAACCTAATATACCCTTTTTGCCCTACTGGTACAGGGTATAAAAATAGACGGTGGTGGACAACTACTTATAGATTGCTTATGGTTATCGTAGCTTTAAAATTGTATGCAGAACCGAAATTTTGATTTGAAGATCTGCTGCTCACTTCGGCTGCTGCGTGTTTAACTATTTCCAAAGCCAGACGTTTATATAGACGGATAATAAAAGCCTTCATGCTAAAGCTCATAAATGATTTTTTATTAAAACTATTAAATAAATAAATAATACGACTTATCGGGTTCTCAAAAGGTTAAGGTCAAAAATTGAGGGATAATAAAATACTTAGATTTATGACACACTTAGGGGTCACTAATTGAAATCATAAGCGCAGGTGATTTTACTGTAATATTTTTTGTGCCAAAAAACATTATTTTTCAATCTCCAAATAGAACAAACTTCGAAAAGTTTACTTGTAACTTCTCGCTCGAAAAATAACTAACATACTTAAATATCCTAAAATTAAATCTAAAATTAAAAAATTAATTAAGTTTATGGTTAAATCTATGTGTAATATTTGAATTTAACTCAACTTCGTTTAATTAATAATGTCAAATAAAGATTAAATTTATTTATTGCTGCTATTGTTATTTTAATACTTTTGATCAGAGGTATTACCCTCACTGATTCGGCCACTGACTAAGCTTATCAATTTATTATTAGTTAGCAGTAGCATCGCTTATCGCATTATTAAATTTCATTTACGCCTTTATGATCACGGAGATTAAAAATACAAGGATAATAAATTATACACACAGAATTGAATATTAGGATTTAAAATGTAGGATTATAAATTTTACAAAATAAATATACCTGAGAAGTACAAAACAGTTAATGTTATTGGACTTTAATAATAATGTCTCATTATTAACGGGAGTATAAAGAAAATCGCGTTTGAGTTCTGTCTCCTAATTCCTCTCTAAGCTAATACATTGCAGTCTTTTTTCGAAATTTCGAACTGTTCCACATATGTATATTTAGTAATCTTTCATTATGATTTACTCGCTTCAAATGACTCATGTCAGCTCAATAACTCAATTTTCATGTGAGCTGTCTCATAAGTTCCATTAAATACGATTGACTTCTTAGCTAAGCACTCATTCCAAAACCCTCTCACTTACACAAAAGGAAAGATTAGTTATTTGGCTAATGGGGGAAAAATGTAACAGTTCTTTAAATTGTAAAGAATTTTTAAAAATTGTTTCCAGTTTGAAGAAACGTCATCAAAGAGCTCAATGGCAGATGCAGATTTATTTGCTCCCCTTGCATTTAATTAAAATAAAATCATGTGTGAAAATAATAATATTTACGAAAGCCTCAAATACCACAAGCTGAACAATCTCTGCCACGGGTAATGTACGGTTAACAGGCTTATTGTACAATTGGTCGATTTCTAAAGCCGGCTACAAGCGTCATTTGACAGCATAAGTTGCGTCAGATGCCGCGATTGTTTATCTTTCTTTCTTTTTTAAAGATAGCAGCAACACTTCTACAGATGTGAGCTTACAGCTGTGAATGATATAGACTCCATGGCTGGCCGGTAGGTACACTTAGTGCAGTTGTATAAATTTAGCCATAGCCGTTGCGAGCAGCGCAGAACCATTTTGTTAACTAAGCAGTGCTAACGAAGCGCAAAGAGCCATCCAAATACTTGTGAAGAAAATTTATTTTAAAATAACAATCAGTGGCAATATGGGCACAAAAGGTACGAAGATTGCTGAATGCTGCAAACTCGAATTGTGAATAATATTTATGGAATTTAATAGGACCCCGAATTGGTATCCGCCACCTTCAGACAGTGTTCCTGTTCCTGTGCTTGACTTTCATCCACATTGTGCGGCTGAATGTAGGCGTGGCCATTGTGGCGTTAACCGATGCTGAGTCAACAAATCCAAATTTTCCGGTAAGTCTCATATAGTCTCATTATAGTTTCCCGCTGCAAATTTTATTTGTCCATATTTCCAAAATATGAAATAGGAATTCAGCTGGACTGAGAAGCAGAAGGCCTACATATTGTCTAGTTTCTATTGGGGTTACATACTGACCCTGTGCCCGGGCAGCTTTCTATGTCGCCGTTTTGGTGCCAAGATCACCTTGTTTGTGGCCACCTTTGGCACGGCTTTGTTCAGCCTGATAACGCCCTGCTGCATCACTTGGGGTGGCTGGTGGGCCTTTTGTGTCATTCGAATACTTCAAGGACTATTTCAAGGTGTGATATTTCCCTGTGTGCAGGAGCACGTGGCATTGTGGTCGCCGCCAGAGGAACGCAATCGACTGGGCGCCTTCAGCTACACTGGGGCTGATTGTGGCACAGTATTGGCCATGTTTCTCAGCGGACTTATAGCCAAAAGTCCGCTCGGCTGGCCTGGAATATCGTACGTTTCGGGTACACTGTGCATTGTCTGGTGCATCCTTTGGACCATTTTTGGTGCCAATAACGCGCCCGAGTCCCGTTTTGTCACCGAGGCGGAGTGCAAGTATATCGAGTCGTCGTTGCACCACAACGAGGACTTCCATCAACGGACTATACCCATACCCTGGCGCGCTATTTGTGGATCTGTGCCTTTTCTGGCTCTGCTCGTAGCTCGCTGTGCCGAGACGTGGGGTTTGTCCACACTACAAGCGGAGATTCCGTCATATCTAAACGGTGTCCTGAACATGGACATACAGAGCAATGCAGTGTTCTCCTCGCTGCCATTTCTTACCATGTGGCTAATGTCATATGTATATCTGATTGCGGCGGACGTGCTGCTAAAGAGGAAGTGGCTTTCGCTGACAGCCGTCAGGAAATTATTCAACTCCATATCCTTCTGGATACCAGCAGCCGCGCTCATCGGCATTGGATTTTTGGGAGAGGAGCACAAGGATCTCGCCATTGCACTGATGACAGTGAGTGTTGGTGTCAACAGCGGCGCCACCATTGGCAGCTCTCTAAACACTATCGACCTGTCGCCAAATCACGCTGGCATTATTATGGGTGTGGCCAATACCATATCAACTTCAATATCAATAGCAACTCCACTTCTTGTGGGTGTGATAGTCACAGACAAGGTGAGTCACCTGGCGTCTGCAAAGAGCGTCTTATAGTATTGACTCATTTCCCTTTCTTTCTTGTTTATTTGTTTTCTGTTTTTTAATTGTTTAGAACGAACGTGGACAATGGCAAATTGTGTTTGGCATTGCAGCGATAATTTTTTTTGTGGGCAACCTGGTGTTTATCATCTGGGGAACTGCGAAGGTGCAGCCATGGGATTCAGAGGACTTTCTAAAGCCAAAAGACGCAGAAACATGTGTCACGAAACGTCCCCCAATTCCTGAGCAGTATATGACGTGGACAGAAAGCTACACGACAAAGGCGATCGAATGATTTGTAGCAAACAATTATTCAATTAATCAGTATTAACACTAAGCAGGCTATAATTTATTATACATATTTATTATGTCGGCACCTCTGAGTTCAAGTAAATTATTTTAATAGATTGCGATCGAATCGTTTGTTTCCAGGCTATTACTGCCCAACGGCAGAAGCCCCTCAGGCACCAGCAGCCTACCAGACTGCACAATCTAATCATGGCAATACTTAATAAGTGCGGTGGCAGGCACTTAGCCGATGTACCCATTGTCAGTTCTGGCAGCTGTGTGGAAATAGAATGTTGATTTCGTTTTAAATATATGCTTATACTTATATGTACTTTATTTGCTGTGCTTGTTCAGTAGAAAGGGAGTTTTGTTTTCGTTGGGTATTCTTTATTTATTTATTCTAACAAAACAACTTTTGACGCATTTGAAACAATGGTTTCTGAAATATAAATGGAAAAGCTATTTTTATTTTAAAGCGGCGAATCAATATAACGGTTATGTGTACATCTTGTTTACGATTACGATTATTTATTCAGCCATCAGCCCAAAAGTATGCAACGAGTCGCGTTTCAAAATTATGCTCAAGTTCCTCAGTTAGCAAAGGTAAGTGATTCCTGATAACAGTCGAGTGTATACTTATTCTTCATTTCCTTGGTTTACGCTTTATATTTGTAACATCTCGACTTTGTTCAATATTCATCAGCTGGAAAATATTTTTATGGCTTATATTGAAGATTTCTACGAGGTCCACAAATATTTAACGATTAATATAACGTGTGTAGTAGCCCGAATTGTCCACAGATATAACAGAAAGTGCTCAAATATACTAAAAAGCTGAGATGATAAGAAAGCTCTTTCATAATTGCAAGTTCTGTTAAGGAGTAGCAAAATTTTACTCCTAGGCTCCACGTCCATTATCCTACTGTCTGGAAAGAATCTATTATTATTTCAATTTTAGTACATACAACCGTATGTATTTCCATTTCCGAAACACTTTTATAACAAACATTTTTTTAATGTACTAAGCTTGAAAAATGTTATGTGTATGATAAAAGGTTCTAAACAATTCAACATTCATTTGTTAATGATATGATATGATAGCGACCACAAAATCAATCAAAATAGCTTCTGATCGAAATAAATATTTTATGGAATGCATAACTTTTACATATAAGTGTTAAACACTTAACTCGCTTTATGCCAACATTATGGCAAATATTGAAGGGAAACAAACATTTCTCCTTTTGCGTCAAATTTGAAGTTCCTGAGTGATGATGCGTAGATGTTTATCGTTAGCACAGCATAATGATGGAACGCTCTTAACCAAACAATTTACTATTTACCTTCGTAATAGGTATTGCTGAGTAATGTCTGGCTTGTTTGATTAATTCATAGTACTGTCTACTTTTTTCTTGTGCTGACTAATCGGCTTAACTGTTTGGCATTATTGTAATTGACGCATTTACTTTAGAATAGACAAAATATATATTTGCTGCTTCTTAACAATGATATTGTTACTCCATAATACGTATACATATAGTACAAATATCGTGTATTGTACTTGCTCGCAACGTCATCCAACGTGCGAAATTATTTCAATGCACGTAACAATTGATACTTTGGATCTGCTTTTCAATATATAATTCTAAATGGTTAAGAATAAAGTCCCGATTTACACAGCATATATGTTTTCAAGTATTCAATTTTGAAAATCAAACCACAGAATAAGTTAAAAGTTAAAACCCACTTCCCCATTCATACGTAATGAGTTCGGTTGAAAGACCGCAAACAAAAATGGCAAAATGCCACCGCCACTTGAATTTTTAATCATATTGATCAAATCGCCCCCAACCCCTGTAGGCCACTGTGCCAGCACACCGATGGCCCGATCAATGTCGAGCAGGCCCAGCAAGTCATGCAAATTTGGAGTAACTGATACTCGCTAGTTGGTTAATGTGCGTCGTCGTCGACGCAATCGGCAGACAAAATCGACATTAGTAGACAATTAAAATGCGCAACAGTGTCCCATTAATACGGATGCTTGCCAATTTTTGTTGCTTTATATTTATTTTACTCATTACTTGTTCATGTTTCCATTGAAAAGTAGGCAACTTGAACTTGAATTGACATGTGCCCGCTGTACACTGACGGTTACCTACACAGATTCCCCTCCAAGTGTCGTCAAAAAGGGGGAAATGAATATGAATTGTGTAAAGAGGCACTGCGTAACATCTGGCAGCCCAGTGGACATTTAAAATAATAACACAAATATGGTTTGGTTACGGCCACAAGTCCGATGAGAACCTTTGGCACGTTTCACATATTAGAACACAAAATAAAATTGTAAACAAAAGCATTTCGGATATACTCAAAACATACATTTGTATATAAGTACAAAGCTGTAAGTAGTGAGTAAGTATGTAGCTAGTAAGGGGGCAGCATTTTGGCAGAAAAATAAATTAATAAAATGCATTGCAACTGTTAATTTAGCTGTTTTATTAAATATGCCAAGAGCGAAGTGTTGCTGCCAACAATACGGCTACGGCCAATAATATTGAGTTCTAAAGTATTGCATATGATTTTATTAGCAGCTCGAATGAATCAATCAGCTTTTTTCAATATCTCACTTAATTTGTTTAAATTATATTATTTTTATTTTAATTTTTTATCAATATACATACATATGTAGTTGAAATAGTGTTTGCTCTAGCTATCTGAAATCTGGGAATACATTTTTTTACCCAGCAACAATTCTTCAACCCATAAAATTGCATTTCATATTAAATATTTATAAAGTAATCTGAAGCTTAAATTAGAGAAATTTTATTTGGAATATTTAATATCAAAACAAAAACATTAACTTTTGTAAACATGTTCTCTTAACACTTGATTTTATTTTTTTAGGTACCTCAAATATGCGAAGAATGATATTCCACAAAATTACTAAATAAATAAATTGTTAATAAATTAATTTGCAGTTCGAATGGTCTTTGCTAAACATAATCGCTCAATTTGTTTTTATTTACGTTTTACCTTATAGGTCAATGTTATGTCTTTGTACATAAGCACTTGTAATCGAAATTAAAGTTGTTTATTTTATAAGTACTATGAGCAGCACAATGAAATACACAGATATGGCGGACAGGCAGAAAGAGGCTTAGCAAAATATTTATTGTACGTAGACACAAAGCCTTCTGGCCATTACGCTCAAAATGTTTATAATGGAATGTCAACCTGCATTACTGAATAATAAATCAAATAATGACTGCAATTTTACACCCAACCCTACTATGATATTAATAATAATTTGTTTTAATCTACATTCAGCTGCTACTCATCTGCTTGTAGATGGGGACAGCTGTAAAATTGTCATATTTAGAAAAAAGTACTATCACAAAAATCCAGTTGTTGTCTAAAACAAAAAATAATAAAATAAATAACAGACAAAACAACACAAATTCCAATGAAGCACTGAAGCATGAACTATGTATGTATGTATATCTAGCAAAGAATTTCTAATAACTGACTAGTGCCACATTTTAGAGCGACAGACAGCAAATACCTGAATATATACAAGTTATATTGTATTTATGTTACTCATATTTAAGTAGTTCTACTTAAAAGTCTGGGCATGGGATCAAGTGAATGTGTTAGAGAATGTCAAATGCTTTTGCGAGGAATTCCCAATTCTTAACACGGCCGATAAGCAATTAAAGGAAATTGTATTGGTTTAACCCATTCTATTTAGTATAAGCATTTACAAGAGGCCAGCGCTTTACGTCAGTCATCATGAGTTTGAATTTTTCCATTGGCCCAGTTGAGGTGCGTGCCACGTCCAGGCAGCTGAGGAGAGTTGGCTGCGAGTTATCAAACAAACACACCATATGTATCTACGAGTACATTGTCTATAAACCACATGATGATTTTCCAAAGGAAAAGAATACTTCACTTGATGTTTGTGTGAATGTACGTGTATATGCTACCTGCACGCTAACCATTGGCGCTCTGTAATCTAAAGAAGATTTCGATAAGATTGACAGTCAACTGGTCGACTAGAAATTCAGCCCACCACCGGTGCTGGAGTCAATGAGCAGCGCTCGCACCACACCGCACCGCACCGCTCCGACTCTGTCGTTGACGATCAAGTGGCGCTTGGACCGCAAGCGCGAGCGCGAGCGCGAACGAATATCAAAAGCAATATAAATTGAATCCCAGTACGGGCCAAGCGCTCAGTCCGAGTGAAATTGTTGTGCGGAACGTAACGGTACCGAACGAGGCGGGCGAATGCAACATCCAACAAATGCATTTTCTGTTCCGGACTAATGTGATAACTTTTCCTCAATCGATTCTCTTGCCACCGCACGAAAACCAAAAAAAAACAAGAACACACACCAACAATTGACACGCAGTATTTAAAAGGTGCATAAAAAATAAAAATAAAAAAGTGCCGCGAAACGTGAACAAAGTTGAAAAGTATTGTACACATAAATAGATATATACATATATGTACATACATATACCGTCAACTCGCGACAAGACCAGTCATTGTCTTCTAACTAATTTTTTAAGAACTTATTTATATCTAATTGCTGAAAAGTCAAAATGAAGTTGACATTTTGTGGCCATAACAAAAACTCAACGGCAATGGAGAGTTCTCAGAAATCGGTAACACCCGCAGATACGAAGGCCAAGGAAGAGGCTGCAACGGGCACAAGTGAGTAAAAGTAAAAATGCAAGTGATTTCAGATCACACAACTGTACATTCTAATGCAAAAAGCACTTGACACCTTTCATTTCAACAAATTACAAAAAAGAAACACGTTTTGTTTTGTAGTGGCGCGCGTTGCTGTTTTTTTTTTTTTTTTTGCTTTGATTCGTGTGTCAAATACCCGCTATTATATATAAATTAAAAGGAGGAGCTTCGTATGAACTGTTTATTACGAAATATATAACAATAATTAGTAGTCTGATTTAAACCCGAGTCCCTGTACCGAGCTGAAGTGTAATAATAACAATGTTATGACAGCTGTAATCGCTGTCATTTTTCGGCACAGGTGCCAACTTCAAGTACTTGGCCTCAGACAGGAAGCTGGCGCAGTACTGCACGGCTATAAATCGTCAGAGCTCGAATGCAAATTGCTTCTCTGTTGTCTGATATTGAGCGGCGATGCGGTCTGAGCCCGACTACCAATAACAAAAGCATGCCAGCAGCAGTTCCCCAGCTGATCGACAAATAGACAGACAGACAGACAGGCAGACAAACAGATAGACAGTCTAATGTAACTGAGGCTCTAAATCCAGTAGCTGCACTAAACTGGATTGCATGAGTTAGGCAACAGACACAGATACAGTTGCTGAAACAAATACATATTTATGTAGTCGCGCGTTCTTTGAGTTAGTTAAAACAATTAGTGCGGCAGCCGGCCAGTGCCGTATATGGCAAAAACATAAATCGAACATTTTCACTATACATACAAGTATACGAGTAAATATATACATACGCACTATCTGTGTGCAATGTTAATGTTCCTGTTTGACTAAAATGTGGCTGCCAGGGGAGATACGTTAAGCTAAACGTGCTCAGAAAATGATGTCCTGCTTTTCATCAGCTTCAGCTTTGATTGGTTTCAACTCCAATTTTAATTGTATCTTTAGAGGCATCATCTATGCAGCCAAACAGTCGATAATTGTTTTCGACAATTTATAAAATTTTCCATTCCGTTTTTTTGCACGTTTAGGGAGATCCCCCTTTGGTTTTGAAATAATTTATATGCTTGTGACATCGATCGCCGCTTTTTTTTATTTATTTTTATTAGCACTTCAAAAAAGTTTGAATATTTATTCGTATCTTCCGACAGAGCATAAATTATTGTGGTGTTGGCAGCCAATGCTGGTTTTAAATAAAATTTAAATGTTGCATTTGTAATCATGTACAACAACGAGTCAAGGTGGGTGAATTTCCACAAAATATTTAAATTTATTTGCAAGTCGGCGCCGTGTGTGGTCGTTGGATCGACCTAGGTCTAGGGGCATGCGCATGCGCATGCGCAAGGTAGACGTCTGGCGCCCGTTGCCGACACAAGGCGCAAACATGCTCAGATATTAACGGTAGCAATATACTTGTATATGAGTAAACAAAATCAATTTAAGCGTGTTAGCCCGATTAACGACGTCACGGCTTTTCGACTTTGATAATATGCGAAACCCGATTTGCTAGTTTCGGTAGACAATAAACCATAACATGGCTAAAGAGCATGATATACCATGCACCACACTGATGATCAGAAATTGAGGCGATAAGTAGATACGTTATTCGCTGTTATTGCTAAAATGTATTGTTTTGACACACTTTCCTTCGTTCGGAAATGATAACGATAAGTCTAACTTCCACTACATGGTCAGCTGCCATTAACTTGGCCAGCAACACTCGACTGTGGCTTACTATCTTAAGTATTCCATGTTTACCTGATAGACATTTCAAAGTCAATGGGTGATTTTATTTTTATCAGATTTAGAGGCAATATTTGCGCAATAAAAGGGGCTTCGGCAAATTGAATTGAGTTGAGCTCGAGTAGGCTAGTTATTTAGACACGCTTCAAGCATTTGAAACTGTTGAGCCGTTGTGGGAAAAACTTAATGCTGTTAATTAATCAAATAACAATCATCTAACTTAGCTCAATTAACTTAAACACGCGCCAACTGTCAGTTTTAGATTAAAAGCTCACAAAGCTTATAAATATAATGAGCGAATTAATTGTTTAATTATAAAATACTTAGACCTATTTATGAAAGACTACTTAAGGTCTGTATAAACAGTTAGTGATGAAAGTTGGTTAGTTCTTGCGACTTGGAAATTCGGAAAAAAAAATAAAGTATCAACGAACTAAAAAGCTAACGAAATCAAGCATCATTTATTTTAAAGATATTTTATCAATCAATGTATTTACTTATTTTATGTTTATTGTGTTTTGATAGAATTTATTATTTTTTGTAATTGGTTGTACCCCTTATATTAAGAAATAGGTGTTTATTCTTATGCGCTTAAAACTTCACTTTAAAATTTAATTAAATTTGAAATACAAAAGTATCTAATAAATAGTAGAAAATCTTTTATCAATGAATATTGTTTTAAAATATATTTTTCGAACATATGTTTAAATCGCCCAAATCTGGGTTTCAACCAGAAAAGTTCATTACTTTTTTATAAACCGTTTTTGCACACCACTAGTTATAAACAACATACCAGCTTTCGTTACCAAAACAATAACAAAAGAGCTTTGTTGATCAAGTTCGAATTGAAGCTTTCTTCAAAGCTTTGCGGCACTGCCAACAGTAAAGATAGTATCAAGTTCAAGGCTTGTAATGTCCAACGGGGATTTTGAATTTGCAAATAACTGCAATAGATCGTAAATTATTTTTAAAAAAAATGTATTATGTTTATATTATGATTTATGCGACATCAACATTTGAAATATTATATTATTGATCGGCGTTATATATGTAATATCAGGGAAAGATCTTGATGGAAAAAAACGGCTACCTGGCAAGTAGTGCGTTAGGTACATTTGAAAATGCTAGGCTATTGATAAGTAATCGCGTAGGCTATTGATAACAAATCGCCTATCAGCTATTTGTAGTACCCAAGCACTTGTAAGGCCTTCTGGTAGGTATGCCGTTTATTTCCGCGCACCCACACAGTTGCAGGGACGCTCATTCTGACAGTACATGGCTGTCAAGATGCTTTGCGACTCAGCACTACAAGATGTTATATTACAAATATAAAATATCAGTTAGTGAAAAGGCTTCATGCCAAGTGGAAGTGCAACGCAGAGCAGTTTTCACAAGTCAGAATTAATTAATTCAGAGGCAACATGGCTAAAAATCGTCGCTTTGAAGATGAAGGTGTGTAGTGCGCATGGCTATGGAAACATTTGTTGTCTTACCATTTTAATAACTAGCCCGGTTCAGTTGAGTTAATAGAGAAACAAACACGAATTAATTATTATATTGCATAATATAGACTGATTATTTAGTAATTGTTACCATTTACGTTTCATTTTCATCTGAATCAGCTCTTAAATGCAATACCAAGCAGTTATAAATTGAATGCAAGTGAAAATTCGATTTAAAAAGCAAGACTTTTATTCTTTTCATCCCGCTTAGCACTTATCCAGAAAAGAAATAGTCATATAGGTGATGAAAAAATGAATGAAATTTGAAAATGAAAATTAAAGAAATTGATTAATCTGTTCAAAAAAATAATACGAAATTAAGTAAGGATAGTTATAGAAGTTCATGAAGTCCAAGCTATGTCCTGAATTATCGAATTATTGTTTTAGCATCAATGTAATGCTAACTATAATATTTTATAATGGTATATTTAAGCAATGCCTAATGGCAAGCCATACCTCTGTTCTGCACTTAATTAAATTTAGAAAATGTAACGCTTAAAGGTTTCATCATTCTCTACTAAAGTTATTTGGTTAGAAAGATAAGAAAGTATAATAAAGTCGAGCCCCCGTACATATGTTTAACTGTGGTGACGATAATTCCATTAACTTGTATATATGTACTTCCATATATTACATACCTCGTCTCAACACATCACGGCCAATTACACATTTCTACACTAAAGCGCACGACGCTATATATAGTACGAGATAAGAATTTGACTTAAAGTCAACAGTTAATGTTGGACTTTATTTGCACCTAGATCCGACTGAAATTGTAGATCCTGAGCTATGCAAATTGAAAAACAAAAACTAAACCGAACCAGCAGAGCAGCCACTAACTGTCTGGGTGAATGGAATATTTTTAATCATATTTCTTGGCCCATTATCTGCCGACTGTGCGTGAGCGCCACATAATAAATTAAACCGAAGTTCTAGGTTTAATATGCTCATGAAGGTAGGAGAAGTCTCTACATGCCCCCGGTTTGTGGTAATTCCAAAGAGTCGCGTTAAGTAAACATTTTCAAAATCTGTCAGGGAATGAAACACACACGCGCATTACATGCAGCGATGAGCTGATAGGAGTCTATTGATAGATCGATTGAAAGATTATACAAGTATTATTTACAATAAAATCAAGTTGACGTCCAATATCAGCCTTTCATTATACAAGCCAAGTGCGTCTTACAAACTATTTATGTGTATTTGTTTTCTCCTTTACTTGCATAGGTTCCGGACTCGGAGTGCGTCATTTGCAAATAGGTTTGCTCTTCTGCGGCCTATCGGTGGCTTATGCGTTGCGAGTGAATCTTTCGGTAGCCGTTGTGGCCATGACCGATTCAAACTCAGCCAATCCTGATTTCCCTGTAAGTATATATTCGAGATGTATTATATTATATAACAGGAATTCTAATTTTTAAATATGTACTATGTATTTAAATGTTTAGGAATATGACTGGTCGGAAAAGACAAAATCGTTGCTGCTGAGCAGCTTCTTTTGGGGCTATGTGATCACGCAAGTGCCTGCCGGTCAGTTGGCTCGCAAATTTGGCGGCAAAGTTATGATCCTTAATGGTCTCCTCATCTGCTCCATTTTAAACATATTGACGCCACTCTGCGCCAAGCTGGGAGGTTGGCAGCTAGTCTGCGCCCTTCGTGTTATTGAGGGTCTCTGTCAAGGCGTCGTATTTCCCTCCACCCACACCATACTCTCAAAATGGGCGCCACCTTCCGAACGCGCCACTCTGGGTACCTGTGCCTATTCTGGCAACCAGTTTGGTAAGACTTTCATTTTAATTTTCAAAGTATTAGTTAGTAATTTTATTTATTTACTTTAAAATTATAGGCACCATAGTTATGTTAGCCACCAGTGGTATCATCGCTTCCTCTTCTTTGGGCTGGCCCAGCATTTTTTATATCTCAGGCGGTATTGGCTGTGTGTGGGCCGTGATTTTCTTCTTTTGGGGAGCCAGCTCTCCCAATGACTACAAGAGCATTTCGGTGGAGGAAAAAAAACTAATTGAGATGTCGCAGGCCAACGAAGTCAGCACCGTACAGGAGCAGCCCGCAAAGAATCTCCGCACGCCCTGGTTAAGCCTCTTTACCTCAGCGCCATTCCTAGTACTGATCGTGGCGCATAGCACGCACAATTGGGGCTTCTGGACGTTGCTCACTGAAATACCGAGCTACATGAAGAACATCCTGGGCAAGGACATTAAGTCGAACGCGATGTTGTCATCGCTGCCATACTGTGCCATGTTTGTCATGTCTTTCGTGTTCTCTGCGATCTCAGCATATCTGAACAGCCACAAGTGCATCACAACAGTGACAAGCCGCAAGCTTTTCAATTCCATTGGCACCTGGATACCAATGATTTCGCTCGTTTGTCTCGGCTACGTAAATAGCGATCAAACTAACTTGGCTGTGGCACTTCTAACGATTACAGTGGGCATCAATGCCGCTACTTATCTGGGCTTCCAAATGAACCACATTGATCTGTCCCCCAACTTTGCTGGCATACTTATGGGAATTACGAATGGCGTGGCCAATATCATGAGCATTATTGCCCCATTAATTGTGGGCTTCATTGTGACGGACGAGGTAGGTCTCTAGCTCTCCCCTCCTCAAGTCTTCTGTGAAGATCTCATATTACAACTTTTGTTTCCTTCATTTACAGCACGATTCAGACCAGTGGCGCATTATCTTCTTTATCGCCGGTGGTTTCTATCTGGTTGGCAATGCACTCTTCGTTATCTTTGGTAGTGCATCTGTGCAAGAATGGAACGATCCGCCAGCAAATCCCCGGCTGTCCAAGCGCAACTCTACTCATGTAGAGTCCCAACATTAACTTTTGTATTTGAAAGTGTTGTTGGTCATCAATCAAGAGGAACCCCTAGTCACCTACTTAGTTCAATCTATGAGGCCGCTGGGTTCAAGTATAGTGCTGTTCGATCGGTCATTGTGCTCGACATGTGTTGTATAGATATGCAGGCAGTTCCATCGATGTACATATATTTTAATGATTGTGCTTTACGCAATGGATTTTAACATGTCTATGCATTTGTTTTAAGTTCTTTTTGCGCTTATATATTTATCGTTTTAGTTTTAATCTATAATTCCTAGTTTTAAGATTGTATAATTGAGAATACAAATTACACAAACAAATTTTCCCGTAAACTTTATCGTTTTTCACTGAAGCGGTATCTGAATGGAACGTCCATGATGATATCCTGTTTATTTCTAAAAATATGAAATCATTCATAATTAGAAAATGTTATAAAGATAAGCTACATGACTTAAAATAAGTAACAATCAGTAGCAGTATAGTACCTCTTTATAATCTAAAGTATTACTAAAAAAATATCATTAAAGTGGCATAGGTATGGCATAGGAATAGGGTGAGTACAGAGTATACAATGATCGGGCTTGATTGACTCTAACGTTCTATACATTCTTATCCGATGAAAACTGCGCATCTAAATCAAAGCTAATAATGGATATCTATCCACCTATCTAATATTATCTTATTTAAAAACCTACGAGTTAAAATCTTATATTTTGTTGGTTGGGATTTCGAACAGTCAAATTTTGCAGAAGCCTAGTGCTAGTTTCTTATACATATGTATATACAATATTTACAATGATTTACATGAAAAATGAAATTATATTTTATGATATATATTATATATTCTATACAAGGGATCTTGTGGGGAGATCCTTTGGATGGCACTTCTTCAGTCTTCTCTTCTTAGGTTTGGACAGGAGCCGCCTCGCTAGTGCGTTGGGGTGACTGTCGCTTCTCGTAATTGCTTGCGTGCACTTGAATGACATCGCCAACCTTGGGGACACATAAGTCTCTTTCGATGTCCCTAGTGCGCATATACCAGGGAGCGTTGCATATTTTTCTCAGTATTTTAGCTTGCGCAACTCCTATTTTGTTTAAGTTTCTTTTACATAGGTTTGAATGCAGAAGAGCCTTCTTATTTTGTTGCATACTTTTAGGATGGCCACAGATTTAAAAGTAGATATTCAAGTGCCACAGAAATGCCTGCAATTCCATTTGAGCTTATTTTCTGTTTTCCTTTTAACAGCCCGATGCTAATTGAAATTTCACTTGTAAATTTATTCAAGAAACTGTTTATGGATATTTTTACATACTTTAAGGAATCCCACTATGTTTGAGTCAGGGTTAGATTAACTAATGTAATTCAATTTAATATTAATAGTTGTATGAATGTATGTTTAACCCACAAACTTTTGTTTTGCAAAATATTTAATGTAATGAGCTATTTCAGAAGGTACACTTTTGAACACTGCAGTGTACATTTTTTAGTGGCCAAAAAAAGCCCCGCAATATAATAGTTTTGGAAAACGTGATTTCCAACGTACAAAACAAATAAAAGCTCGTCTTATATTAGCGTAAACCACATGGTGGCTTCTACCAAAAACAAGTCAAGTCGCCAAATACAAAATAAAGTCGTTTAATCAATTAAATGCAGTCGGAAGTTTTGACAACCAGCCATAAGTCAACACTTGCGGCACAAACAGTAAAAATTGCATGCCACTTTATTTTATGTTGTTCTGCCGTTTATGAAAATATCAACACTTTACCAGACTAAACCTCGTATCATAAATAATCTAAAACAAGCTTTGCTAATCATTGGGCCAGATAAAATAGCAATAAAGTAGAAACAATAAACAAACAAAAAAGCAGAGAAATACAAATAGGGCACTAAACTACGAAGGAACAGGGGGCCGGCCGTTACGATTGCCTTTGTACATTTACGAATCACGTGAAGCATTCGGGTTCGTCGAGCTGAATGTGAGCGAAACGTGATCAAAGATCAAGAACATGTGGTCGCGGAGTAGAGAGCAGAGAGCGAGAGTGAGAGTCGTTTTGCTGTACAGTGCAACAGTGCAAGAATGTATACGTGTATTTGTGACAAAAATAACAACAATTTAACATATGCATACATGTGTATGTAAATACGTACACTCAGACAAACATGTTTTCTAGATTTAGAACAAGGCCAACAAATTACAAACATTTTATATTTTCAAGAAATACTTTTCATAAAATAAAACATAAGAACCTAGAAAAAATATCATTGTATTATCTAAACCCACTCCACAGGCAAAACTAACATGAAAATGAATGTAAATATGTAAAAATTCTATTACGCTGTGAATCAAAGAAAAATTAATACTAAAAATAATAAAGAACATAAAATATATAGCAACACTAGAGTTTAAATAAGTACTTTGTACTTTCCAGAAAATATTTTCTGGTTAAAGGAAAAATGTACATTTGTTTATAGAAGGAAATGCTCTTAAAGAGTATTCGAATTTCTCAATTTTTCTGAGTGTATAAGTATGTACTTATATTACAACTGTTACTCTTTGTTGTTGTGTTGGTACTGGCAGTTGCTCTCAACTTTGGCGCTCGGTGCTGCCGAATTCTATTTTGCTATTTGTTATTTTTGCTTATAAATTCATTTCTGAATTCATTTATCACTTTTATTTTATATGGTTTCTTGTTGCTCGAAGGCAGCCTGTGCCGTTGGTAGCAATTGTGGTAATTTAAATTTAGTGCCGAATACACATACATACATACATATAATAAGTAAAAACGTTTCTCATTGTTTTTATCATTATTTTATGTCAAGTCATTGAGTTTATTCCGGTAAAATAAGTGTTAAACATATTAAAAAGCTCAAATGGGGATATAAAAGTTTAGTGTTGTTGTAGATTTTTATGTAGATTCGCCCAAAAATTAGCTGTAATTATAAATTAGGTTGATAGTCCACCGCAGTGCTGATCTTTATACACTCCCCTGTAAATTACTGTTGTCACTTAATTTGCTATCTCACTAAACAATTGTACGCGAAGAGAAATGATACATAGCTTTTACTACAACGTCACGTGTGGGATATTGTAAAATGACTAAGTGGGACAGCGAAGAAGATGAGATAGAATTTGTCCAAGCAATTTTATAAATTTTATAGCCAATTTAGTGGGAAACTAATAAATTTGTTATACCTTATCCCAGTCACGAGCTGTTTGTATATGAAGAGCCCGACACATTTTATTTCATTTTTATAACTAACAACGCATTTTCCTGACTAAAGTGTTATTGTTTTTGTGCTATATTTAATCAAGACATTGTATATGTACACAATATGTATGCACATAAATATACTTATTTCAGCAATCACACGCTCAACGCTCACTGTGCCAAAAACAAATAAAAGAGCTAAGAGAAATATGTATATAATTAGATTTTTGGCGGTTGATTCTAACACCCACATAGATGGCCGGTCGCACGCTCAAAGTCAAAAAAAGTAAAGTCTAAACTATATACATAAGTACGAGTATATGTAATTACCCACCCATGGCAAATATTTTGTAATTAAAATTTTTTTACAACTTTTCCTGCCCGGAAACTCAAAATTGTTGTCTTTGACAAGCTGCCATCTGGCTAGTGTTACGAATGCCAACTATTTATAGTTTTCCTTCTTAATTGGGTGTGTCGACTGTTGCAGGTGCTAATAAAATGTTTGTTTACCGACACGCCCACAGCGTGATCGACTTGTCACAATTCCCAAACTTTCCATGGTCCAGTGGGGGCGGCACTGTTTGAAAGCAAACAAGAGCGGCATCTTGCTAATTGAGGCTGTATTACATTCCAGAATGTCAATCGAACAATTGTACAATTGACACAATATGTACCTGCAATACCATTTGAATATAATACTATACACAAATACGAAGCAATGCAAATTGTTATATTTAAGTACAATTCAATTATAGTCCTTAGTTCAATTATTTATGCCGACAACTCTATCTAATAAACAATTTGCATTAGCACTTAGATGTATCTAAAATTTGATAAACAAGATTATACAATGGCTTAAGCCTTTGGAGGCACGACTATGGCCAACAAAAAAAAGTGAATGAGACAGAGGCCGCCATTTGCATTTTATGGCCGTATGGGATATGGAAAAAAAACAGAGCAATGACCGATTAATTCAAATAAATTGGTGCCAGAGACTTGCTTGCACCTAAGATTTACTTTTGGGATTGGCTGCGAATCATGTGCATCTAATAATAATGTACATAATTCCTACAACTTAGATCTCTCATTATATTGTGTTTGTCCTAAAGGAACACAGGGCGAATACGTAATTAAATGTAAATGCGATTATGATTGTGGGTGATGCATACCACCAATCCACCATTCGTTATCACATAATTATCAATTGAAAAATGTACCACTGACAGCTGTAAATTTCCACTACAGTTTATATCTAATTTCCACACAACGCCGGTCATGAGCCTGACAAGCTGCCTTTTAATTACAAGACCCTCCGCTTACGCTAAAATGTCATCCCAAGCTGCAAATGAGATGCGGGTGTGTTTAAGTAAATTTATTTACTTTTCGCTACAATATAGTAAGGCGGTCGCCAACCACCTGATCTCGGTCGCAGATACATCCGTTGGACCCACACCAAGTCATCGCATTTGACGTCAAGCGTTTGATAAGCGTTAACAGAACGCTGTAGTTGGCTTTAATAAAGCCATTTCTCGCTGATAATGATGCACTGATTAGATTTATTCGATTATGTCAGCCTTCCTGTCACATTATCTGATATTCCAGCGCCATTTGCTGTCATTACCATTTTTTTCTGGGGTTATTCTTTTGACAAACTCCTTATAATATTATGATATTGCCACAAATGCGATGATAATAGGTACAAAATTAGCCTTAAACGTTCAAATTTTACTAATCCGCTACGAGTATAAGCAAGTATAAATTTTATGGAGTTTTAATAAATTGTCAAGCTATATAGGAGACATAAGAATGCTTATAATAGATGATTTTTTTATTTGCTGATATGCTTTTTTGTTTAGTGGTCAAAGAATTTAATAAGCCACTTGCTTATTGCTAAATTGATAATTCTATTTACCTCGATGTATTTGCTTTTAATCGCAGCGAACGTGCTACAAAACGTGTGCCTCACGTCCCACGAGTCAAAAGCCTTGCGCTGCTTTAGATGGCATATCTTATCAATGGTGTTCTCTTTAACGGCGAATCAATGCTCGAAATATATGAATGTACCCACATTTGGGTGATAATGGTTAATAACTCTGTCGGTTCGGGCTTTGCCATGCCTCACGTTTTGTCCCAATGCATTATCAGCAGTAGAAATTCGTAGCGTTCCCTCAGAATGCTTACGTTTTTAGTCTGTATAGTACATATGTATGTATGTATAATGTATCATACTGATAAGCCAAACTAAATTTTCTTTAAATAGTTTGTTTGCTTGAAATAACCATTATATTGATACGTTGAACAAACTCAATAAACTCAAAGACAAACTCTTAATTAAATGCCAAATGCATTCCTAGCCTGTAGAAATTAATGACAAGGAAGGGCATTTCAATTTCAAATATAAATCACGTGCAAAATAATTATTTAAATTATGTGAGAACTTGCGTAAGTCTCTATTCCTTACTATTTTCAATAAATTAAAAGCAAATACTTACCTAAGAAAATGTGTCTTTACTCTTTGAAATGTTAAAAATATTTTTAATGAGAAATATTACTAAGCAGCGATGATGATATGTACGAATATACATATGTATGTACATAAGTATATGTACGAACGAAAAATATAATAAAAAATAGGTTGTTTATTAACGTTTTTAAGTAATAAATTCAGGGAAAACAAAAAAATGTCAAAGTCCAAATCAAAATTCAGAATTTTATAAAGAAAATGGAAGGTTCTATGCAATTTTTCACTTATGTCAGAAGATATATATGAATTAAGAAGCAGCTTACGAATACATTATCTGAGGAGCAATTTACAAATAGATTATTTGCAGACTGGATTTTTCTTAATTATATCCTATATAATATTTGCCTTATCTAAGACAAAAAAATAATAATAATAAAGTCATAGCCCAGAAAATTTATGGTATTCACCACAGTTTCTAGACTAGGATTTTTAAAATCTAGTCTATAATACATGACCAGTATTTAACAACGTTCTGTAGGCCTTTAATTTTCCAAATTTAAAATGAAGAAAATTTTCATATTTGCTAATTAAAATATTTAAATTGGGACTAATTAAAGATCAATATTTAAGCAGCATTTAATCCACATTTCGTGAATGTAACTTAAGAGATTAACCAAAAGTATGTAAGCCTAAAATAAAAGAAGGCATAAACTTGTCATTGCCTGGCTTCGGGAGATGCTGCTCGCCAAGACCTAGCCTAGGCCTTATAGTTCTGGTTGTTAAAGGGTTCATACAGACATACAGTCCGATCGATAGACGAATCTAGGTATGTAGTATACACCTAAGTATGTGTATTTGTATGCTTTTTGGGGCGTAATTCAATTTTATTAATTACCAATTAATTATTAGTAATTATTGATGTACTTAGTATGTGAAATTAAATCACAAAAAAATTAATGCAAATAAAAATATAATTTTATTATTATTTCGCCCTTTCGGCATTACATTGCCTTATTTGTGTCTATGAAGCCCCATTACACTTTAACACTGATCTTCTCATTCTACATCGCTTTTTCACACACACTCTCTCTCTCAATCCTTTAATAAATTTAATAAATTCTTATCACAAAGAACATTACTATAGATAGATTTATTTTTTTTATTAATTTATTTTTAGATTTAATTGTTAAGAGTACAAAAAAGTGGTATTGGTGCGGACAGTATCAGTTTATCTAAGCTGGAAAATGATGCAAGCTTTTACATTCTTTAGATACACAAATTACAGATACGCTACAAATATCAATAAAAACTGTGACAAATTTCAGTACCTTTCAAAACAATAATACAGGCCAGTAAATGCGTCGCGGCAAATGTAAACATAAGCCTACAAACTAGCTACAGGTAACAGAAAAAACTCTGAAATTCTAACGCTGAGTATTTTCCGAAACAACAACAACAACAAAAGGACAGACGCCAGAAAGAGCAACTAAGTGGACAGACGGCCAGAGTGCAAGCTACCAGTTACATGTGTACATACATATGTACGTATATACATACATATATATGTGCATACTTCACTGATAACCGACAGTGGCCGCGCGCGTGTGTGTGTGTGTGTGATGCTCGGTGTCTGCATTGTAATGTTTACATACTATATGCCGGGCCCTGAGAGCAAGCACAGAGCCAACGTGTACAACAGCACAAACAAACACACACACATGGTACTGCTGTCGGTTTACTGATAGCAGCGACTAGTATCACATGTGTGCGCAGCCCCTCTCAGCCTGAATATAGCAACAGTAATAACAACAACAACAACACTAAAGTCAAACAAAGTTCCTCACAGTTCTTGCCACCGACGCAGTCACAGTCGCAGCCGCTGCAACAGATACTCTCTCAACGCTGACGCCGTCGTTGTAGTTGTCGTCCCGAGCGAGCCTCCGATCATATTTATAAAAGAATCGTCGCCGGTAGTGTTTCAAGTAGTCGCTCGCTAGATCGCTTCTCCTCACAATCAATTCGCGCGCGTATGGCTCGTTCGGTTGGTGGACAAAAGGAAAATTCACTACGCGATACAATCAGTGATAGCTAAATACATACATGCATAAATAAATATTTAAATATAGGCATAGGATATAGGTGTATTTTGTAGAAAATTTACGTTCCACCTAACCCACGTTTAATTAACATTAAAACATACGGCTATAAAGATCAACGCATGCCTCGCTTGATGTTCACGAAGTGACGGTATTTTTCCAAACACGTGTGGAAAAGTGAAAAATCGAGTATTCTTTTATAAATTTCGAAAGACGAGCTAATTTATTCGGACCGCAAACATGACTTCTATTCTGAACATGGTCAGGAGGAATCAAAAATACGCCAATGGTAAGTTCAGATTCCGTCTTATCATTTCTTATATGAGTATAGAGCCTTTACGCTTGCACACGTATCTGGGCCGTGATTATGTAAATACTTGTAGGTATCACCCAATATGTAAATGAAATAGCGATTTTGTATATGTAATTTATAATTTACAGCACAATTTCTTAAACACTGTAGTATTCATATATTGTTTGCATGCTTGATCGGTTGCCCGATTTGTTGCCGGAAGTATAAAGAATAACTGTGAGCAATGCAGCGGCAATCATTTTATTATTTTACAGTCTTAGTCTGTCACAACTTATATATTTTTTTTGATTTTATAAACAATATGCATTTAGTAAGTAAAAAGTTGCGGTAACAACAATTGAATCTGGCCGGGTTGGTCCATGAAGCAGTAAATATGTGCATTTAAAAGGAGTGATATTTAAGGAAAGGGAAAAACAACACAAATACTATATATTGACATTTTTTTACTGCACATCATATTTGCATGCGTGCATAGATATTTTTATAATTATTTATGTACTAATGTGACGACCTCCACTGGGTGTGCACATTGACAACATCCTTCGCTCGCTTTAAATTTATTCCCCCATTTTCATTTGCTCGCAATGCACACGTGCAACTAAATCAAAATATATGCAAGTACATATATATTGTGCCAAATATTTAAAATTTAAAGTATCTTTGAGTTTAACAAATGTTTGGCTTATCATTTTTTGAATATAGTAGGTTTGTGCAAAGTAGGAGCCCACATTCAATACAAATTTCATCGAAATCGGTAAATTGTAAGAAAAGTAAGCGATAAATTTCACTCCAGTATTTTTTTTCTTCTACTATGGGCGCACAAAACTCAGCGTTTGGGTACAGGGTATTTCACTGTCGGGCTTACGCGACTGTAGCCTTCTTTCTTGTTTAATTTCATTTTGTTGCCCAAATCTCCGGCTGCAATTAGCCCGTTGCCTAATAAATAATATATATGTATAAATTAAAAAACAAATGAAAATGATTTGAGAATTCGCCTTTAATAAATTACCAAAATAATGTTTGTCTTTTGTTTCTAGACAAAACAATTAAATTATAACGCGTAGCTATAGATCACGTTTTCAGCAGCGGACTGCAGGTGATTCGTCAAGGACACTTTTAAGATAATGCCGCGATTTGGAGCTTAGCAAAATATCGAACACAAATATGTACTTTTGTTATTTCTTTTACCTTCACTATCTTCTCAATAACATACATACAACTCTGATAAGGAACGGCTATAAAGCCTCTAAAGGCAAACACAATAAAATATTACAAGTTACACTATGCACCAAAAAATAATCGCAACGTTTTGTATATCATAATATTATTATTCCATCTGCTCTGTGAGGCTGAAATCAAGAATTTCATTGTTGTATTTAAAAAAACAAAGAACCCTTTATATTTGCAGTACTTATAGCTCTGTTTTACTTTGTTCGATTCAGACTCTATTAATAACGCGTTTCGGTACACTTCTGCTATCAGTCCCCATGTTATGAATGTGAATGTCCTTCAATGATTATAATGTTAATCAGTCAATCGGTCAGTACCTAATTAGGCATTATATTGCGAGAGAAACCGATATATTCGTATCTTATTATAGCGCCTTATAAATGCTTCAGAAATACATTTACAATCGTTCGTAAATTTTATGAAAATATTGTTACCATTTCCATTTATTTTAAACCTAATGGTCTGCTGCACGTAGAATTAAATAGCAAACATACAATATTTTATACCGACCTTGAACTCAACTTTGTGGCTGTTCTTCCGTTCCAATGCTGCATACATATGTATGTATATACCTACATAAATAAATGCTTAATTATGTACATACATATATGTACTGTTGTATTATCACATTACGGTTAGAACAACGCATGCATATAAATTAAAACAAATAAAAATAAAGCAAATACCAAAAAGCGTTATTAAAACTGTCACGACACGTCAGACGCACGCTGAACTGTCTCGGCCAGTTATCTTGACCATAAATTTGTAAATAACGCCTTGCTTTAAAATTTGGTAAGAGCTTAAAATGCGTGCATGTGCGTGAATCGCCCGAAAAGGTTAAAAATAAATATGGAAATTAAGCAAATAAATCTTAAAAACACAATGTCGAAGATGCTGCGAAAATAATGCAAATATTATTGCCATGTTAGTGAGTTAGAGAGTTCAATAAAATGTACTCACAATAACCACATAAACATAATTTTTATGAACATATAATATAAATGACTGCAGCAATATTGGCATTGATGGCTTAGAAAACTGTCGAGTTCAATAGACCGGCCCGGCCGGCCACCTTGTAATGCCAACGCAATTTTGTGGCGAATTATAGTGTTAGTTGGTTACAACAGCGTTGCAAGGTTGCTCTCTTGAAAATCATGTTTCGCCTAATCACATACATGCACTACATATACATGCTTGTATGTATTGGCCAGCAGCTGCCTAAAAGAAAAAACCATGTATGGCTAAAGAGTTCTAAAAATAATCCACTAATAAAAGTAAGCCATCTTTTGCAACCGCAAAAAATCCCCTTTTCGGGCAGCCTGCAAATCGTAAAACAAGTCAATAAAATGCCAAATGCACACACGATCGCCTCTGCCGCCTCCCCTCCCTCAACTAGAGTTGCAAGCAATCACGATCACGTGCGTCCGATGCGCCTCAGCCGACAATATCGGCCGAAACAGGTAGTTGTAGTACAGCACCGTCTGCGGACATTGCATTTCATTGAAGAGATGAGGCACATGGCTGGGCTAATTCGCTACTGGAATGCCTCAACGATACTCTGGCACAATCTTTTAGTATTTATAAATAAACGCGCACCATATAGACTAGCCAAATGAGTATGAAAGCTTGGGTCTATAAACAATTATTTATACGAATTCTGCAACTACTTTCATCTATTAAAATCGGTCGCGCGACTAGGTCCCAATAGATTGTCAGATAAGCCGGCGTTTGGTTTGTTTTTATACGTACATCTGTATATTTTTGAATGTTCATTTTTGAGTGATGTTTTGAGATGTTTTCGAAACGTACGTTGACGCGGCTTGACTTTCAAAACGTTGCAAAATGCCGCCGCGACCGAAAGCAGATCCTGTCCCTACAAAAGGTCTCGGTGCCAACAGTATATTTGCAATATGCGGCGGAGGCCAACCAGTTTTTGAAACTTATTTTATTTCTGCTTGACAGCAAAGTCTATAGCTGAGAACTATGGGAACTTATTTATAATCTCGTCCTTTACTTCCAGAGAAACTCATTGGCGTGCGACATATTCAATGCATCCTTAGCTTCTTCTGTTTGTCACTCGCGTACGCGTTGCGCGTAAACCTCAGCGTTGGGCTCGTGGCCATGACCGATAAGGACGATTTTAATGAGACCGAGATCCTTGGCAATAAGCCACGGTTCCTAGGCATCGACATTAATGTAAGTATTTGGAAGATTGATTTTTTTTAAATTAATACTTATATTAATTGTATTTTTAACAGTACTATGACTTCACCGAGACGCAAAAATCATTGATGTTGAGCAGCTTTTTCTGGGGCTACATATTCACACAAGTACCGGGCGGCTATATCGCCCAGCGTTACGGTGCCAAGATGATCCTGTTAGTGGGCCTAATAATTTGCTCCATATTGACAATTCTGACGCCATTTGTTATTGCTCTTGGAGGCTGGCAGGGACTATGTGCGGTGCGTGCATTGGAGGGCCTTACGCAGGGCGCTGTCCATCCAGCAACCCATACGTTGTTGGCCAAATGGTCACCAGCTAAGGATCGCGGCATGCTCGCTACCATTTGCTATTCTGGAGCTCAGTTCGGCACGATTCTAATGCTGGGCACAAGTGGCATCATTGCTGAGTCATTTATGCGCTGGCCGGGCATCTTCTACATATCTGGCATCTGCGGTTTTCTGTGGGCGGTGTTTTGGTTTTTCTTCGCTGCCAGCACGCCCGATAAGAATCGTTATATTTCGCCAGAGGAGCTCAAGTATATTGAGGACTCGCGCAGTGCGGGCAAGGTGCACGCCGGAACTGAGTTAGCTCCCACACCCTGGTTTGACATATTCATCTCAATGCCATTCCTCTCTCTACTTGTCGTTCACTGCACACACATGTGGGGATATTGGACACTCCTCACCCAAATACCCAGTTACTTGAAGAATATTTTCGGAGTGGACATGAAGTCGAGTGCATTGCTGTCTTCACTTCCTTATGCGGTTATGCTTGTTCTGAGCTTCTTTTTCGTGTGGATATCTAAGCTGCTGCAGAAAAAAGACTCGCTGTCTTTATCCTTTAATCGCAAGCTCTTTAATTCAATCGGCCATTGGATACCCATGATCTCGCTCATCGCTTTGGGCTACGTGCCGTCCAATCACTCAAACGTGGCCGTGGCTCTCCTGACGATTACTGTGGGCATCAGTGCAGCCACTTACCTGGGCTTCCAAGTTAATCACATTGATCTGTCGCCAAACTATGCAGGCACATTGATGGGCATTACGAATGCTGCGGCAAATATTGCAAGTGGCATTGCTCCATTGGCCTCGGGGGCCATAGTCCAGGATCCGGTAAGTTTGGAAGCATGCCTTCGCATTGAGAACTTTTATTTATTTATTATATTTCCACAAAATCCAGAAAAATATTAATGAGTGGCGTCTAGTGTTCTTCTTGGCTGCATTCTTCTACTTTATCGGAAACTTGATGTTCGTGGTGTTCGGAAAGACCGATGTGCAGTGGTGGGACTCGCCCAACGATCTATCTATATCTATCTATATAGAACAAGAGGTGCCTCTGACAACGAAAAAGGAACAAGAGCGCAATAATGCCTAGGATACCAAAGGCACTCATTCAGACTTAAGATTAAAGACTCTCCTCACCATGTTAGTGCTTTTACATATGTAAATATGGACTTAAATGATTTTTTACTGTTAAATAGAAATTTAAATGCCATTGATCGCGAACTTCCATTAGCGATATGTTAAAATAGTTTTTAGGTATAGAACAGTAAAAAAAATTGCTTGTAATCTTTTATGAGCGGTGTACATACATAGTATTACATACATATGTACATATAAAATCAAAGTTCATGGTGAAAAATAGCTTGTATTTTCTTATATACACATGTACTTATATACACATAGTACATGAAATACATACAAACATATACATATAAATATGTAAATAGAAACAAGAAATATCTTTGCTTATACGTAATTTCTACAGATATTTTTATTCTTGTGAAATTTTTTAAGACATATGTACGTTACGTAGTTACTTAAAAGTTAAACACAAACTTGTGATAAATAAAATTAAATAAAAATACAAACGAGTCAACATGAATGAACCTAAATAAATCTCTAATGGAGAAGTTCAGTTGCAATCATGTTGGCTTAAGGTTATACATATATAAAACCTATGCTCAAACAATTAATGTCTAAAACTCTTTTGTAATAGTTGATACATTTCTATATTTAAATTTTGCCAGTACGGCCGCGTTGTTTTTGCATGATGTTTTGCAGCCCTGCAGTTACGTAGTGTATTACAATTCAGTTACGTTCAAATTTTTGTAAATATGTGAAAAGGAGATTATTATATAGTTGCAATAGATGAAAGAATATTTTTTCACACTCTATTTTTGGATACACTGATGTTAAGGTTAAGGATTATCCAGGGAAAGCCTTATAGGCATACAACGTAAGTTATCGTAACGCCAACACGATCTGCGTAATTAGCCATGTGGCTCTGCTGAAAAATCCTAACATAACGAGGGTTACCACAACTTCTGTCTATTGTGAATGGACAAACTGTTCAATTTGTTCGATTTTATTAATGAAATGTATACCCCTACAATTCGTCTTTTGCATGTGTTCCTGTATATTCCTTATTCTCGATGGTGACGCCTTTACAGCGTTCTTGCTCCACCAGAAAGTCTTTCGCTTCCCAGGCTTGTGCGCCATCCTTAAAGAGAAATATAGCGCGATTGTCGTCAACCATGTAACGCTCCGCTTGTATGTGATTATTCCAAAGACTCGTCTGCCAGAGCTTCGTTATAGATTCACTTTCCTCTCGCGTCGGGTTCCCGCTGACCGTCACAAAGGTCATTAACGTGCGGCCTTTTTTCGAAACTTTGAGCAGTTCTTCAGGATTTTTACTGTCCAAGTTGGAGAGATCTAGCTTCGGCTGAGGCCGTAAATGCTCGGGTAGCTCATCCGCTTCCAGAGGTTCTTCATCTTCCTGCAAATGTGAATTATCAGATTTTAAAATAATGTATATAATGCTTAATATACATATATGTATGTATGTACTTGCCTCCCACTGGTCCAACAAACGTTCTAAATCAGCATCGGTGTAATCGCGGATATCCTTCTTTGCCCATGCCGGTTTTTCTTCCCCTTCGAACTTCTTAGAAAGCACAATCGGAATAATAACAAGGAATGCAACAATCAGCAATTTGTTAAGCATGGCTTTATTGAATTGAAGACTGCACACGTCAAACTCGGCTCAATTCTCTCGCCCGAACTGAAATCTAAACCACCAAACTAAACATTCACATTGCAACGCCACTACAATAAAACAGCTGATATGTTAAGTTTGTGTTTCTGTTAAGATACAGCAGTCAGTTTTATATTTTTGTTATTGCGCGTCACTACGTTCGCGCAAGGTTGGTGGTGAAAAAATATATCTGTTTAACCAAATGTTCGGAAAGTGAAATAACAACAACAAAAAACAACGTGTTAATGAGCCGCGGCAGAGTTGGTGTACAAATCTAAAACAATAGAATTCCTATGCAATATGTAAATCTGTTTATGCGCTATGAGTTTTGTATCTAAATATGTGCGTGTAAAATTCAGTGGAACGTTTTGTTGTTGTAGATGACATCATCATTGAAATATCTTTCTTAATGTTTTGTTTACATATATTTTAGAAAAAGCAACATATTTTCGAGGGTTCAGTCTAGATTATTATCGCGCCGCCCTCCTATTGTTTAACTTTTATATATTACGAAAAATCAATAAGTGCACAAACAAGAAGCGGTGACTTTTCTTCAGCTCTTGAAGCCAGCGCTAGGGCTAGGCACCCAGTCTCATCAAAATGGTTTTCGAATCTGTGGTAGCTGATGTGCTCAACAAGGTGCTCGGCGATTACATTGAAAACTTGGATCGAAAGCAGCTGAAAATCGGCATATGGGGAGGTATGTATATACATACATATTTAGAGTATTACAGACGACATTTGACAAAAAGCGACCTTTGTAAAGCTAAGTTAACACGCAAATAGCACATTTAATTTCATTTATTTCTCAATGTAACGTTATCTGCTCCCGCCCTACAAACATTTATGACCTTATCCTTCAAGCCAAGCGAAATGACCCAATTCTAAACATGCACAATAAACACACACACATTTCTATTTATATGTATGTATGTATGTCTGTACATACAAGAAATAATTAACTCTACAATACATGGCACAAGAGAATTGCTAGTGCTTGTTGGGGACTCATCCGCTCATTAGCTCACTCCGACGTTGTGGGGTGTTTCTTCTATTATAGGTGTCGGCCAACTGTTGCATCTGTTCCCATATGGTCGGTAGCGCTCTCTTTTTTGTAAATGCGAGGGAAGGCTAACAAATTTAATATTTGAATTGTTTTTTTAGAATATGTAGTTCCTGAAAAGTGACATTTGGGTGTTTAAAACAATTTTTTCTTTATATCTATCGATTAAGGACTGTCAAGGAATCTGGTTTTATTCCACCGTTACAATTAAACTTAATACTTAACGAAAATATAATAAAATGAAAAAAAAATTAGCAGTCTATAAATGTAATTCCACGTTTTATAAACTTTGTTTTCCCTTACTTATGTATGTATATAATACATACACATGTATATATATGTATACATATGTGCGTATTCGTTATTTTTGCTGATCTTGCAATGCGACTTATTTTATCTTGGTACTTAACGTGTTTGTGTGTTCTTGTTATTCTCTCAAAAGGAACGCTTTTGTCCACGGTCTCTATTTTCTTGGTATTGCAAAAAACTTGAGCTCTTATCAAGACGCAAAACTCATATTACAGTGCTAACATGCCTATACACACATATGCATATGTATATACATATATACACAACACACACTTTATTACACAAACATACTTATGTACATATGGAAATGCCTGTATGAGTGTGTATTATTAGTGGCGTTGGCCTTTTCAATGACTAGCCTGAGTTGTTGTTGTCAATCAAACGGTTATGCCGGCAAATATATGTACATATGCGTAGCCAATCTAAGTATAACAGATTCTAGGAACAGAATGGGCTTTAAAATATGTGTCCTCTATTACCAAAAATGGTTAAGTTTGGGGAAATTAGGTTCAGTAGAGAAACAAGTTTGGTTGAAAAATTAAAACGGGCCACCAAGCCCATAATTTTATACCAGATGACATAATACAAATTCATGAGCTCATGAATAATTGCGGCTTAATCTCGTTGAACCGCTAAAGGTTTTCATATTCGGTTATCATACATATGTACATATAGATTTATGTACATATATGAATGCATTTATATAATAGCTTAAGTAATTTAATATTTTTGTAGTAGAAACCTCTGTGAACGCCCTTATAAATTATATTCGAGGCTATTCATTTATCACAAGTTTGTTTGTTATCGCATGGTTATATTTCAAAATGAAACCACTAGCAAATTCTACTAAATTACTTTTAGATTCTGACATTTAGAGGAAATATTGCTTATTAAATTTAATCCAACGTTCAATTTCAATTCGGAAATCACTTGCAGGCAAATGCACTATTTATCAACTAATAATAAAGACTAAATGACCTAAATTTCTTATCAAATCAATTTTATTTTTATTTTTCAAAGTCTATAATGATACTTGCACAAAGTATACAATTATTTTCTTTGTAAAGTAGTCACTTACTTTATGAAAGGCTTAAGAAATTTAGGTATACATACTTCTATTTTTAGTTTATGTATGTGCTTTAAGTGCCTTGTTTTCATTAAAATTTCTTGTTGCTCGTTAAACTATTGACCTTCGGGCCATGCGGGAGAATAATTCAATAAAAATTCAATGTTTATTTCTTTGGAGCATAGCGCATTCCAAGCATAACGAAAATTACCCATGCCCAAATACTGAACACCCAACTTTCTCAATAGGAATCCAATTATGTGCATACATACATACTTACATATAAAAATGTGTATACATTTACGTGCCAATTAATTTTGCCGCAATCTACCGATTGTTTATTTCCTTTTTTTAATCGATCAAACGATATCAAACTGAAAGTACCTAAATGTGATTAAATATGATTATATTCTATGTTTTTTTTTTGTTTCTTAGGTGATGTGGTTTTGCAGAACCTTAAAATTCGTGAAAATGCCCTAGACGATTTAGATTTGCCAATACAGCTTATTCACGGCTATTTGGGTAAGCACCTTCACACATACATATGTAAGATCCTTTCGTGGTCGTAGCTAATTTTTAAAATTCCCTAGGCAAATTGGTATTAAAGATACCATGGAAAAACCTGTATAGCCAGCCAGTGATCGTTGATATTGAAGATCTTTATGTGCTAGTCTCGCCGAAAAATAATGTCGAGTACAATGCAGAAAAGGAAGCCAAATATGAGCTTGAAGCAAAGAAAGCTGCGCTGGACGCAATGGAAGCAGCTCGCAAAAAGGAGCTTGAGAAAGGTGTGTGTGTACAACAATAATTTCAGAAAACATTCTATACTCACACATTCATTTTTAGATCAACCAAAGGCTGATGCCGGATTCGCGGAGAAACTTACCGCACAAATTGTTAACAATCTCCAAGTTAAAATCGCCAACGTTCATGTCCGGTACGAGGACACAACCACAACCGGCTCTCCATTCTCGTTTGGTATATCACTGCACGAGCTGGAGCTCTATACGACAGACGCTGATTGGGAAAAGTGTTATATGGCTCAGCAGGATGCACAAGTCTTCAAAATAGCGAATCTCTCATGCTTGTCGGCCTATATGAACTGTAATGCTAGGCTTTATAGCACACAAGACAAAAGTATGTTAAAGGAGCTCTTCCAAACGAATATTGCTCGGAAGGATTTCAAGCCCGATCATTACAACTACGGTGAGTACACATGGTGTTGTTTAGAGCTGCTTGCCAAATAATACTATTAATGTATACTTACAGTCTTGGGTCCCATATGTTTCAATTCGAAGTTGAAGCTAAACATGAATCCTGAGAACGATAGTCCACCTTTCAAAATACCGAAAGTTGATTTGTGTCTAGAAATGGAGACCTTAAATGTTGGTCTTACAAACACACAATTCCACAATATCATAAAACTGGGCGATTCCTTTAATCGTATGCAACTGGGCCTTCCCTATCGTAAATACAGACCCCACAATATACGTAAGTTATAATAATGTATCCCATTTGAATAAATGAAAAATATATGTATTTGTATATATTATTTCCAGCATACAAAGGACATTACAAAGAATGGTGGAAATTTGCCATTGATTCTGTTCTGGAAGAAGATGTAAAACGCGCTCATCGATGCTGGACATGGAAAAATATAAAGCAGCATCGTGAACGTTGTAATGCATACGCAGAAGTAATATTCCCCAAAACTTAATTATAATTTTAATTTTTAATTGAAATTTTTTTAAAATATATAGAAATACAAAGAACAAGAGCTGACTAAAAAGCCGTCAGCCATGCTTATAGAGACGTGTACATTACTGGAAAAGGAGCTGGACTTATTTAATTTACTGCTGATACGACAGCGTGTAAATATCGAAATAGCAAAGCTGCGAGAGTCTGCGCCCGTTGAGAAGGCTGGCTGGTTCAGTGGCTGGTGGGGCGGTGGCGCCAAAAAAGAAGAGAGTGAGGAACAAGCCAACATTGGTGTGTATATACAAATTCTGGACAAATTATAGTCTTTAATTATTCTTATTTATCTTATTTTATTTTATTTAGTGAGGAAGTTCGAAGCCGCAATGACGCCTGATGAGAAGGCAAAGCTTTATAAGGCCATCGGTTATGAAGAGAATATAAAGCCACAAGATATGCCCGAAACTTATGAAGCAATAAAAATGAACTTTAAACTCATTGCATTGGAAATTGGCCTGTATGAGGACATACGTTCGGATGATAACATGCGTGCTTCCTACGACTATCACGATTTGCCATCGATTATGCAGCTAAAATTCTCGATGGCCACCTGTGCCGTCATACAACGCCCTGCTGCTAATGCAATCAGTATTACGGCTGGCATGAAAGAAGTCAAATTGATCGGACTCCGTCGTGAGGACTTTAACCCAGTGCTGATTGAATCCAAAGTGACGGATGAGTTCAACCTGCTGGATATCTTCTTTGAGGTTAACCCTCTAGATAAGCTCTGCAATCAACGCGTCAAAGTTTTGGCTCGACCACTACAAATTGTATACGATGCCCAAACTATCTTGCGGCTCGTTGATCTCTTCCAACCACCTACAAATGTGAATTTATCAAAAATCGAAGACGTGGCAAGTGCACGTCTCATGGACATCAAAGAGCGTTCGGCCACAGGCATGCAGTACATAATCGATCAGCATGCAGTGCTCGATGCAGATATTCTGCTGATGCCTAATATTATAGTGATTCCTCATGGCGGTATATATGTGCCCGACCAGAAGTCCCTTATTGTTATCAGTTTAGGTCAAGTTCATGTGACAACGAACCCCCACCATCGATCGAGCGACCAAATACAAACCTTGTTTCAAACGGGCACAGAAAGGGAAAGCATACTTAGAAATGTTATGGACAATGCGTACGATAGATTCATTGTGCAAATCGATGACATACAGGCAAGTGACTGAAATTTATTTGCTAACTATCACAATTCAACAATATATGGATTTATTTCAGGTAATGGTTGCTCGACCCCTGGAACCGTGGCAGCACGCGTTAAAATTGGCCGTTTCTACAGAAATGCACGTATTGCAGCCAACGTCAATTTCTCTCACTGCTGCCCTTTGTGTCGTGGATAACGATCCTCGCCTTCCGAAAATGAAAGTTGACATACTGATACCAAGTCTACAACTGAATATCACCGAAGATCGAGTGTTCGATGCCCTAGGTGTTGCCACGAGCATACCACTGCCTCAGAAAGACACCGCTACGTCACCACAGTCTACAATTCATCGTTCGCAAAGTTCGATATCCAATTTCATAAACAAGGAAATTATGAGACGGACTACGACCCTGGCTTCCCCCGCTTCCAAAACTTTATTGGAGGAAGAGCTGATTCAATATACAAATGTCGAGGTTAATTTCTCCCTGAATGAGATATCGGTAGCTCTTTTCCAGTCGGCGAAATTATGTGAAAACAATTCAGGAACATCGACTACCTATACAACGCCAGTGATGGATTTTGTCCAACTATCAGCAATCACTGTTAAGAGTGGTACAAGTAATTCTCTAGATAACAGACAGCAGATCCTGTCGATGCAGATTTTAAAACTAGAGGCATTTTTGGCGCAACGCTCCTTTGAAACGGTCGCCTCCCTAAAGTAAGTATTGTAGCTCTCTCCATGTGAAATGTTAACTTTACTGTCTTCTTTGATAGACTTGGTGGCATGAATATCAAACAGTTCGACTGCTTAGATGATAAAGAGGAAGTACTAGACATAATTGACACTCCCAGCTATACGAAGGACATGAAATATCTACTCACCATATCCTATACCCTGGCGGACAAAATATCACCAGAATTTATCACCAAATATAACTCGACAGAGCAATTAATTGTAGCAAATTTTGAGGTTTTGAACATTGTCCTCCATCAAGAGTGTTTACAGCGCTTATTAGAGCTGGCAAATGATTATCAACAGAAGCTGGAGAAAATCGTTAGCCATGAAAAGCCGCGAGACCACTTTGCCTTTGCAGGACAAGGCGATGGCATAAAACAAAAGTTAAATGTTATATTGGAAGACACCGAGGAGATAATGACTACAAAGCAAATGAGCATACGGCGAAGCAAGTTGAAACGACGCAACGTTGTCGAAAGCGTGAAGTTACGTTTGGTGGCAAACCTGGAGCAAGTAGGCCTGAAGCTGACCTCCCGGAGTCGCCCACTAGCCTCGATGGAGGTGAAACATTTTGTTACCAATCTAACACTGAAAAGCTCATATACTGAGTTGAACATCGGCCTGAAGGACATTTTAATTATCGACTTGAATCCCCAAACAATACACACAAATGTAAGCCTAAGTCAAGACCGCTTTTTTGTTCTCCTTATTATAAAGTGAACTTTTATCGCTCTGCTTTCCAGATTCTAAGCATTGTGGGTCAAGATGCATTTAACTGCCAAGTGGTGCTCTTCAATAAGTACGAGACGGTCGACTACAACTCGGATGATATGAAAATAACAGTCGACATCGGCTGTATGAAGATTGTGTTCCTGAACTGGTTTGTGGCGGGCGTAATGGTGTGTTTTTGTATCAATTCGTTTTCATAAGAAGCTACTTAGTAATAATTATGTATATCTCTAGAACTTCCTGAACAACTTTCAAGCAGCACAGGAAGCGCTCTCAAATGCCAGTGCAGCGGCAGCGGAGAGTGCCCGTCAGAATGCAATAGATGCCTATGAAAGGGCTACTCGTATGAAGCTAAATGTGCGCATTAGAGCTCCTATTATTGTGATACCAATTGATTCACAAAATACAAACGCGCTAGCTCTTGACTTGGGACTTTTGGAGCTTACAAATAACATTAGCGAGGTTATAGTTCCCAACAAACCACAGAAAGCAGTGATCGATGAGATCAAGCTACAGTTAAAGGACGTCAAGTTAACCAAGGTTTCCATTATAGACGGAAATGAGAGCGACATAGACGGTAAACCAAAGTCTGTTAATGTCAAGCGGTTGTATTTATTTGTCTGTTTTTATTTTCGCAGTTGTTGATGCGGCTTACGGCCTAAAGTCGCAAGTAAATATGATGAATCCAATGAGTTTTGTATTATCTGTTACACGAAATCTTTCGAGCACATGGCATAGGGAGCTTCCAGAACTGAACCTTTCCGGTCGCCTCAGGTCCATTGAGGTATTTCCCACACACATATAATGACTAAATGTTTGCCAATTTGAGTATCCGTATTACGTTTTAACAGCTAACACTCTTTATGGATGACTACGCGCTTGTTATGTCCATATTAAACAGAAATCTCAACGAAGGCCTTGACGAATTTCCTCCACGCGAGGTGGAACCACCTAAAACACCAGTAAAGAGTTCAATAGAGCCGGATCGACTTACACGGGCACGCTCTACATATTCCGCAGAGCGTCCCCTGGTAACTGAAAAGACCTATGAGACACTAAAATTCAATTTCCAATTTGATGGTGTCATCATAAATCTAATGGAAAGTGAGTTATTAGATTAAATATTCCTTCCACTGCCTATTATAACTTTACAAACATTCTCTAGACGAAAACGATGCGCTAGCGCGGTTTGGCATTTACTTTTTATCGGTGAAGGGCAGCAAATTAGAACCATGCAACACATTCAGCACATCCATTGTTTTGTGCAACATTCAACTTGACGATATGCGCAAAAACTTAAAGAGTCAAATACGTCAGTATTTGGGCCGCAAAGATTGGGAGCCAATAACCGAAACAGATGAAATTATTGACGCTTGCTATAATGAATTGAAGTTCATGGTCGAGGTGACTGCAATTATAAAAGAGAACGATACATTTGGTAATTATCTAGAGTAGTATGTTTATTAATTAGTTCAAAACACAACTATTTTGATTATAAATCGTTTTCCAGCTGAGGTCCGTGTTTGTGGTTTCGATTTAATTGTATGCATCGACTTCCTGCTCAAGCTGACGACGTTCCTTTCAATACCGGAGGATGCTGAAACTAAACCAAAAAGCAGCACAGTGGCACAGGCAGCGAGGTTAACCAAAACTACCATACAAGTTACTGAGGCGCAAGATATAATAAAACGTATTTGTACCATTATTTTCATAAATACAGTAAATCGAAACTAAGTTTTTTCAGCCCAAGTCAACAGCGACAAGAAAATGAATCTGATTCTACGCATCGACGAGCCTGACATCATACTAGTTGAAAGCCTTGACGATCTAAATACCAATGCAATCATTTTTAATGTAAGTTGAGACTAATTGCGAAAAAAATAATAATATAAATAATTTCATTGATGCAATCTGTTTCCTACAGGCCCGAGCGCATCTGAACTATCGTTCCATCAATGAAAAACAAATCATAAATGGCCAAATAGATGCTCTAAAGATCTATATGAGCTCCTTTATGCCAGAGCGACGCGAACAAACCTGTCACTACATACTGCATCCGTGCGTCATTAGCTTGCAGGGTTCCACACCTGAGGAAGAGGGCCTTCACATTAGTTTGAAGCTCAGCGATATTATAATAAATGTATCACCCGCCACTATCGAGCTATTGAACAAGGCTATGATGAGTATCAGCACCGGTACAGCTGAGAGGGCAGCGATACAACAAGGTCCCGCTGACTATTCAAATGTATGGAACTCAAATACCTTCCATAGTAGAACCTACTGGTTTACCAAAGTAGAACAGGCGGCCGAGGCGCTAAACTATATAGAGCAAAATACAATTGATTCCACCAAAGGTAAAACCGAAAAATGCGTTATTGAAGTTCCTAGCATTACAATCGTGCTCGAGTCGGGCGTTGGTTACTACACGAAACCCCTGGTATCGATTGACACTCGCATGACAGCTGTCTTCAACAACTGGAGCCGAAATCTGAGCGCAAGCGGCTCTGTTTCGCTATACGTTAATTACTACAATCAAGTATTGGCTGAGTGGGAACCAATTATAGAGATGAACGAACATTTCCGCAATGGAAAGCGGGAATACTCACCGTGGGAGCTAAACTTTAATCTGGGCATTGAAAAGGTGCAAAGCGAATACGATGAGCAGTCAGAGGAACAAACGACGACCATAAATATACATTCCGAAGAAAATTTAGAATTCGCGATCAGCAAAACCTGTCTACGGCTTATGACCGAACTTATTGAAGCCTTCTCCCAGGCTATCGACGAAAAGGGATTAATGAAGCCAGACGTTGTGGCGCCGTTTGTTGTGGAAAACGATACTGGATTCGATATAACACTTAACTTGCGCCGTGGCCAATTCACGCTCCACGAGGTTCACAGAGGTGGTACGCACACAAACAGCCTAAACACATCTCTTATTCTGCTTGCCAGTCCTGAGGATCAAGATCAAGTTAAAGAAAATGAGATACAAACCTGCACCATTTCGCCCGGTGGACGTGCCTATTTGCAGACCAAAGAAATTATTAATTCCGAAGACGATGAGTACACTCTATATGTTACGGTAACTTTGATTGATTTATAGCACAACTAAATTTTACCCGAACAAATACTCTTCACAGATTGGCAATATCAGTAAAGAGATCGTGTTAGTCGTGTCCAAAGCCGATAGACGTTACTATCCCTTAATGCGTAGCTCCGCACATGATCCGTGGGGTATCATTTCAGAAGTGAAGCTTGAATATGGCACCACAGCGATTAACATTCATGGTGTTGTTTGCGTATGTATAGACGAAGGGACGCAATCCCCATTTTCTAATAATATATATTATATACATACTTACAGATATACAATCACTTCACTACTCCAATTAATATCTATCGGCGCAAACCTAACGATCGGACTGAAATACTGGTGGGAAGTGCGCCACCAAATACAATATTCCATGTGCCGCTACACGCGATCTATGCAGATCCAAAAGATCTACATTTCTCCATAAGCGTAAGAACAAGTCATCATTCTACCTAGCCGTTACATTTTCATTATTTTCAATTGTCTGTTCATATTCAAATCTGTATCTAGGGATACAAAACATCCGTTCAGGGACTGGCATGGAATATAAATCCCTCAGACCTAAATTATTCACAACAGCTGCAATGTGATCCAATCGACACTTTTGAGCCGCTGTATCTAAACGCTTTGAGGGAAAAGACCGAAGTCTACTACGAGAACAGCAACAAATATAAGCTCCTGAGCGCCTTCTACACTATCCATCTACGGCCCCCACTCCTCTTATGTAATGCACTGCCCATAGACATAAAAGTATCGGTTGCTGGCTGTTCGGTTCGTCAAGTAATGTCCCCAACGGAGGAACAGGCCCGGGCCGACGAGCTGAGTAATAAGTACAATAAGGAAGAGTTTTTGGACTATGGTGAGAAAGAAGTCAGTCCTGGCGATGTATTGCACCTGCCGACCGTCAAAATGTCGGGCAAAGGCAAGGAGGCTCGAAGTTTTCTGGTAGTGCGAGTAAGTTGCTTTAAAATTTCATAATCATAAGCAATTGCAATGAAAATGAAATTTGAATTTTTTAGTTATTACAATACTTGGAGAAAGACTGGTCCTGTGCAACCGAGATTTTGCAATATGCTACCGATATTTCTGTATGGACTTTTGCCTCATATGATTCGGAAGTAAAAATGGAAATGGATCTATACGTACGGTAAGTGAAAGTATAGTTCACGCAAAACTATACAGCATCTAATTATTTTGATGGTTTCGGTTCGTTTCCAGCACCGAAAATCGATCTGGAAGCTTGGTGCTCACGTTGTACAGCCCCTTCTGGATGATTAATAAAACGGGTCAAATGCTAACCTATAAGACGGATGTGTCGACTGTGGAGGTGTTTTATCATCCACCCGAATATTCAGGACCTATATTATTTAGCTTCCGCGACAAGTTCTTCTTTGACAAGAAAAAGGCTTCGATACGTGTTGATAGCGGCGACTGGAGTGAGAAAATTCCGCTCGATGTGGCCGGCTCCATTGGCAGCGTCACTTGCCATGCAAATGGCCAAAGCTATCAAATCGGCGTTCATAATCATCTGACCCAGAACTCACTCAGCAAACAAATTACCTTCATACCCTTCTACTTGGCGCGAAATAAATGCAGCTATCCCATATGGTTGCAGGAACAGAGTCGTCCGGGCGACCCGTGGTTAGAAATCGAACCACAGACGTGCGAGCCCATTTGGCCCAGGAACGACTCCGATCACAAGATGATCGTTCGTGTGGAATCGAAAATAACACCGGCTTTCAATTATTCCGAAGTTATGTGCACACTTCTAAAGCTCGAGAACAGCCGGCACGGCGGCATCAACGTTGACGTGCAGACCACTGAAGGCGGCGTCTACATAACATTTACGGAATACAAAAAATCTGATTCACCAGGCCTATTAATTAACCACACATCCAAGAACGTCAACTACATTGAGAAGGGCACAGAAACGGAATACATTCTGAGACCAAGGAATAGTATAATGTATGCCTGGAGTGATCCTACAGGACCGAAGCTCTTAATATTTGGTAAAAATAAGCAGGAGAGTGATTTAAGGCGGGACAACATCGGCGAGATTGTGTAAGTAAATTAACTAAAATATAGAAAGCTCTTTAAGACAAATAATCTACACTTTTTGGCTATTTAAGATTGGAGGACGGCACAAAAGCATATTGGGTATCCTTTTTGGATGGCCTGCAACGTGTTCTCCTATTTACGGAGATCGAGTCTATTGCAAAGCGCACTGAAACTTCGGCAGCGCTCCAAGTAATCACACAAAGCATTGATCTACGCATACATGGAATCGGTTTATCTGTTATTAACAACGAGACTGGCTTGGACATTCTTTATCTGGGTATTACCAGTTCAGGCATTATATGGGAAGTTAAGAAAGAGCACAAGAAACGGTTTAAAGAGATGACTATTCTGGACACACAGCTAATAGAAGCTGAGTATCAACGATATTTGAATGATACTGCTGTCAACAACATTCAGACCTACAAACTGGAAAATAAATATCCGGTATGTTAAAACAACTTCCATATAATATTAGGAGAAAGCGTAATGTTTATGCATGTTATTTTTACAGATTGATTTCGAAACAATGAAGCTGAAAAAAGGCACAGACCGAAATTTACGACGCAGCTTCTGTCCTGGAATTTGGATGTCTAAGAAATCGTCACCTTTCCAGAATCAGTTGCATCTGAAGATTAATCGTATTCAGATTGACAATCAATTTATGGATCCTATTTTCCCCGTAGTCTTGGCGCCGATTCCGCCACCCAAAAGCGTGGCAAATACCACGACTCTGAAACCGTTTATAGAATGCAGCGTGGTTCAGCGGGTCATGCCTAATACTACCGTCAAGCAGTTCAAATATGCTAGTATTTTAATACAGGAGTTCCACTTTAAGGTCGACATCCTCTTCCTTACAGCAATTGCTGAACTATTCACCAACATGACAACGGATACACAAAACGCTAAACTCTTCCGTGGCGATGTGGAGGCCATTGAGCATCCATTATCCGATTTCTTCGAACAGCACTCGCAACAGGAGCAAAAGAACTTCTACGATAATTTACATTTGGGTCCACTCAAGATACACGTCAGCTTCTCGATGGCAGGATCGGATACGACAGCATTGCCAGGTTTCCTAGGACCGCTGGTGCAGGGTGTGGGCGTCACACTTACTGATGTCAATGATGTCGTGTTCCGTTTGGCTTTCTTCGAACGTGAATATCAGTTCTTTACACAGCAACAGTTGATTTCGGAGGTGACGTCCCATTACACGGGCCAAGCCCTGAAACAACTGTATGTCTTGGTATTAGGCCTAGATGTCCTGGGTAATCCATACGGCCTAGTTGTGGGACTCAAAAAAGGAGTGGAGGATTTATTCTATGAGCCGTTCCAGGTAAAGCACTGTAAACAAATCATTTGAAGGTAATGAGTCGTTAACAAAATATCTACAAATTAACTTTAGGGTGCCATTCAAGGACCCGGCGAGTTCGCTGAAGGCTTGGTATTGGGCGTTAAATCGCTTTTTGGCCACACAGTGGGCGGTGCGGCAGGGGCTATGTCCAAGTAAGTGACAAATTGGAAAAGAAATATTGATGGAGATTGACGAACCTGTTTTATTTAAAAAAGAATTACCGGAGCTATGGGCAAGGGTCTGGCTGCTTTGACTTTTGACGAGGAATACCAACGAAAGCGCCGTCAGGGAATGCACAACAAACCAAAGAACTTCCATGAAGGCCTAGCGCGTAGTGGCAAAGGATTGGTTATGGTTCGTACCCAACCCTCTACAATTGTCTAGGTATTGTCAACCATCTTATGTTACAGGGCTTTGTTGATGGCGTCACCGGCGTTGTTACAAAACCTGTATCAGGTGCACGCGAGCAGGGAGTCGAAGGATTCTTCAAGGGATTGGGAAAAGGAGCCATTGGTCTAGTAGCACGCCCTACGGCCGGAGTAGTTGATTTCGCCAGTGGCAGCTTCGAAGCTGTCAAACGTGCCACAGAAGGCAGTGAAGAGGCAAAGCGCATGCGTCCACCACGGTTTCAGCATGAGGATCACGTACTGCGGCCCTACTGCCTGGCTGATGCCACAGGCAACAAGATGTTAAAGTAATAAGCAGATTACCAACGAAATCGGTTCGATAATATACATTTTTTTAAATTGCTATTTGCAGGGAGCTTGATAAAGGAAAATATGCAACCACAGACAGCTTCGTTTGCTGCGAAGAGATCGTACAAAAGGCTGAATATTTCTTGGTGACAAACTATCGCGTCCTCTACGTTCAACGCAACGACATGTTCGGCATTTGGACGGTGAGTCCCCCTGTCACTCCTTTGAAATTAAGATTATTATTCTATATATACTCTTCTAACAGTCACTATGGACATATCAGTGGAACGAGATTGCTTCCGTAGTGGCGAGCGGACGTGGAGTTCAAATTACCTCCAAAAAAGAGGGCAAAAAAATGCTAGGCCTGCTCTCGTCTCGGGAACCAAACAGTAAACTTGTGCTGCTGGCCGATGAGGGAAAGCGTAATGCTCTTGTTAAAGCAATTGAATCTCAACGGCAGGATGTTCTCACCTAATTTCATCGCTTGTCTATGCCTTTAAATGTGTATTATAACCCCCACGTAAATAATATTGATATTCACATCGAGATGAGCATGAGAGACTACCTCGATATTAACACATTGCTCTTGCATTGCTTTTCAACGTCTTGGATGGTGGCATACCGAATACAATACGATACAAAACAATAATAAGTATGTATGTATGTGTAAATGAATAATTGTTTTGATATTCAAATTTTATGTAAAATGTGAATAAACATTTTTTGTAAACTATTATATATCCAAAATCTGTTCCTGTCTAAACCTTCTTGAGGAAGCTGCTCGGCGGCGTCGATACCTGCATTATAGGCTCGTAGTTGTTGCAAGTGTCGCTATCGCACAAGGATGTGAGCGAGGCCAGCTCAACGCTAAACATTGATTTAAGGTGTCCATTGCTCTCGAATTGATTGACAATCATGTTTACTTTGCTCTTGGCCTCGGCCTTAAGGCAGGTCAGAGGATGATTGCTGGAATTGTTGTTACTAGTCTGTTCGGTTTTTGCACCAGGGTCGTGTCCATCGCATAAATCTAAGCCATCGAGAAGGTTCCACTTTTCGCTCTGTTTGCATTTAGCGTTGCTGGGTGTGCTGGCCCCCTGAGTGCCCGTCCCCATAGATCCTCTCGTAGCCAGACCGGCCGTTTTGTTCAAGCGACTAAGGAACCAATTTTTTGCCAATTTATCACAATCTTTACTTGGAGATTTCTGTGGGCTCGTACTTGTCTGCGCTGCTGATGTTTTGCGTTGCTTTTTCTGCTCCTTCGGATTAGCTGTAGTCAGGGACAACATTTCACCATCGCTAGAACCACACGAGTAAGTCTTTTTGACGCCCTTCTTTAACCGCTCTGGACTAGGTCCTCCGGGCGACAATTGACTAGAAAGCTCACTGTGCACGGTTTTCACCTTGGCTTGAAAATCAAGTTTTAGGCCGCCGTGTAGGCTAGAAGGTTGCGGCTTAGCCTCGACCGCAGGCGTGTCATCCGGCATATTTAGTAAGCCCGTCGTTTCGGCATTTGTTGTTAACGGCTGCGGCGGACACTTTGGTATATCGTACTCGAATCGCTTGGCCAAGGCGCAGGGACTGTTGGTTTTCTCGGGTAGCTGTGGCAATGTGACAACGGGCTCGCTGTAATTGTAGAGCGCCGATGGTTCTTCATAGATACAATCGACTTGATCGGCTTTGGTTGGTGCTGCTTGGTAACATTTTTTTATGACGGGCGGCGTAGGCAAACGCCGAGTTGATTTTAGAGAGACTGTGGCAGGATTGGCATTGGCTGCATCGCCACGTATGGCCGCTTCAATGGCGTGTATCCACTCTTTGGCATCTACCTCATTGCTCGCCTGATAAATGAACTTCTTGTTGGGATCGGCTGTGGTTATTTGAAAGCAAACATCGCGTCTCTTGCCTTCACCAAAATGCTCGATTTCGATGGCGGAGCTCTTCAAATACAAGGTATTGGTGGGTCGACAAGAAGTTGGCCCATCTACATAGCAGAGCATCCAATCGTCTATAATGCCGCAGTAATATTTCTTGCTCTGGTCGAAAAACAAACGCTTCTCAATGCGCTGAAGCTGTCCATATTTGGTCGAACGCTGAATGGCCAGATGTCCGGCCGGCAAATCTGAATAGGGACAATCGATGACCTGACTGAGATCGGGGTCCGTAGGTGCCATCACCATTTGTGTTTCATCGTCATCCATGCTTTGATAGATGTCGCTTAGCTGTTGGTGTTGCTTCCCCTTCTCATTGGTCTCTCCTGACACCATCGTCTCTTGGCCGCTGGAACAGCGAAATGTCTTATCACTGTCCACCGAGCCAGTGCTGGCGAAATCAATGTATTCCCGTGAGGCGGACACTGCAATTAAAGCTAATTAGTGCATAGTCAAGCAAATTTCCTCTACGAATTCCACTTACGTGTATTCTTCGATACGCGCGTCGACATCATCTCCAGATAGCAACCGGTCCCATCAGAAGACGCCTCGCTGGTTGTGGCCGTTTTGCTTTCGCCGCTGCAATTATCCAACCAATTGGATGTAATGGGCGTTGGGGCCGCCTGCTTGTCTGCGATTTGAGACAAGAGGAGTTCGCATCGGGACAGGAGTTTAACGGTCTGCTCGGCATCTGTCATATGAAACGGATTCGAGGTATTCTCATACTCCGATGTCTCCAGCGATGCGCGAAAATGTGCGCGCACATCTGAAATAGCAATTATTCTCTCATATTATTATCATATCTGATGGTCACTATAGAATTTCAATGGATCTTTAGAATAGAAGACCTAATACTAGGTAGGAGAAGTCAACGTTTTTAGATAATGAATTGTTGATCTAGGATACGTTCTTAAATGATTAACACTATGGCATATATATTGCTACATATTTAATATTTATAATTTTTATTTTTTCATGTTTCCTTTTTATAAATTCGAAACAAGAGGGAGAGGAAACTTAGACATTTCAGTTGTCGCATACTCGCTCCCTAGGACCAAAGCTGATATGGTAAAAAAAAAATTTAAATTAATATTAGGAAGTGCTGTACACTAAATAGCTGAGCCACAAATAAAAATCAGTGAAGGCAAACTTTTTATAAGTCTGCACTTAGTTTTGGAGGATGGCTCGCAGACACTCCAAAAGCAATTGAAGAAAAAGGGTAACGCCCCGTAACATAAATGATGTCCCTATATATTATATTATATGTATGTACATATAATTGTCGGCAATATGTTGCTGGCCGATGACTCATTTGCAGTACTCGTTGCCTGCATCATGACCTCATACAATCCCAATTGAACAATCTAATTAAAAACAATTTCCCTGGGCAAAAGTTCAGCATTGCTACGCTGTATAGTCTGTATGTAAATAGTTGTGGCACAATTTAAATCGTCTTTGTTGTCTTGAAGTTGGAGCGGCACAACAATTTTAATAAGCAGAAAACGATTTTAGTTTTCAGCCTTGGACAAAGCTTGGAACGAGAGGGGCTTAACGACTAATGTATAGTTCTAAGCATTTCCAGCGCTCTGCAAAGTGAAGGTAAAGACAACGACTGCTTGCTTGCTCGAAGCCACAGCCCATGTGCCACCAGCAACAGAAACAGCGCCAGACAAACGACGACGGGTCAGACCCCAAATGGTTCCAATAAAATGTGTACAATACAAGAACAAAGCGTGGCAAAGACTGCCATTAAGTTTCAGTTTAAGCAGAGCTCAGACACTGTATGAGTCAGTATTATTAATGTTCATTGTGTGCGTTGATTACACAAATATACATATATCTATATTCACGCATATGTACATATACAACGGCCATAAGTTTTGATGAAGAGAGATCGTATATATAGTACATGTATGTAAATAAGTAAACGCTTAAGACAGCAGCAGCACTTTAATTTTTAAACTCTTTACTTATGGCCGGCCAAAAGGTCGAATGAACATATGTTCATATCTACATACATAAAAGAATGAAATTGTTGTTTAATTCGTTGTTGCTTTTATGCATATAATTGATACAAGCTGTACCTTCACTACCTTCACTGATAAGGCTTAAGAAATAATTGAGAGGGCGGACCTATCATCGGTTTATTTTAAAGTATGGTTATCCGACTCCTCTTTTTGTATTTAAATTCCATTTACATAAAAAAGGAAAAAAGCAAAGTGCATTTTAATTTAGGTACACAAACAAATTACGTAAATTGTAAGTTGCTGGAATACCCCTACTACTTATTATCAATGGGAAATATTTGTTTAATGTACTGAAATGATTGATGATCGCTAATTTTTAATGGACATATACATATGTATGTATATACTTTAGAAATGTATCGTTGTTTTCTAGGTCAGTACCAAAAAAAGGTCCTCTAAAATGTTTGAGAAATAAATAACATAAACGGGTAATTACTTGTATATCTGCTATCAAAAATATCGCTACGGACGTACACGAGTAAGTAGTTCGAGTAAGTAGTTCACGGTGTAGTCTTTCAGTTTGTAGTAGCCATTTAAACCTAAACTTGTGTTTTGAAATTTACCCTAAACTCTAAGTACTAATTAAAGCTAACCTATTGCTTTAATGACTTTTACTTACCTATTAAGAACTGTTCGATTTCATCACGTTTAGATGTAGTGGTTTTATTTTCCATGGCTTGTGTTAATTTTGTATTTTGTTTTTGTTAGTTACAGTCTTTTTTTAAGAGCGATTTCTTGAGCTGTAGATTTAGGCGTTCCAGTTAATTTTTTTATTATTATTTGTTTGCTGTTTTCTCAGTAGCTAGCATATCTGAGCAAGTGCACTCGCAATATTGGGGAATTAACAGTTTGCTGTCAAGAGTCGCACATTTTATAAACGTAGTCGTATCTTAACAAAAGCGTAAATCACATGAAATGTGTTGCTTTGGGTAAATAATTGAAATAACAATATGTTGTATAAGTATTAATCGGTTTGAATTTCACAAAAACACACACGCACACACAGGCTGCTAAAGTTCTGGATAACAACTGATTATAGTTCGAGTCGAACTCCAAAACAAAAACTCTCCCACGGCGGCGCAGTTTCTTGAACTGCTAAGATTTTCTTTAATATCTTAGGCCGATAGCTATTTTTAACTCACGGCATTGGCTTCTGTTTTATTTATTTGTAGTGCTTTCTTGAAAATACGCATCGAAATGTAATATATTTCGACTTGTGCTCAATAACAATTGTTTTTTTTTTTACTTTTTTTTGGAATGGGGAGGGGGATAGAAGACTGCACGCTTCGTTTCTCGTTCATGGAAAATCAACACAATCGGCGGCTGTTGTTGATGACGTTATGTTTTGTCTGTTGTTTTATTTTTGTTCAGTTTTTAGTAGCTTCGTCATTTGTATGTTTGTGTATCTATCTGTGTGTCAAGTTTTTAAGTGCATAAATGCTATTACAAAATTATTATGGCCGCTTTTCATTACATGCATCCACTAGCTGTTTATATATGCTTGTACCAATGTATGTGTGTGTTTTAATGTATCTACTACCAGTGTTTGTGGCTCTAAACGTTGCTTTCGGCAGTCTGAATCTGTCGGATTGAAGCATATACCCTATACACACAAAGACGTTGTAGTACGTCGGCTTTGAGGCAATGTATGTAACACACTCCATTCATATTAAAGTAACTTGACACCTAGGCTAAGCTTTAGAGTCACCAAAAATTGTGGGAATCGCCTTTAAATAAAAATGGATCTGCTTGTATATTTATTTATAAATTGAAATAGTTTGTGGAAAAGCAGCTGAAAAATAATGATTTGTAAAGGTATTCCATGTATGTATGTATGTAAAAAGCCACTCTTCTGATTTATAATTAATAGACCTGTTATCGTTTTTAAGTTACATTAAATTATTCGCTGAATTTTTAAATCCATATTCATACGTATCTATATGTATATACAAGTATCTTCAAAGTTCGAATTCGGTAACGAAAGCAGAGCTTGTAGTTATGTTTCAATTATAACGCAATTTTTAAAAATTCCAATTGAAAAAAAGTTATCCCGAAAACATTACAAGATATGAAATCCGCAGGTATAGATTTCTTCTATAACTTCCGTAAAGGTTAATATTTTTTAGCCAGACGAGTCGATAAGCCTTCATCTATTATCATGCCTAAAATTTGCAGTTTTCGCTTGGCTACAGAGTTTATAATAGTCGTGCAGGCTCTCCTCAAATATTAGCCAATTCTTTATTTTTCATTTTTGTTTTTTATGTGGTTTATAGATACAATAAATAATGCATTTGTTTGTGTGTGCCCCGTTTGTGGTAAATCTCAATGTGCGGATGAATGACTGAATCTCTGTGCACTTTCTAGATTATCTGTATGTATGTTTGTCTGTATATTTGGCATATAGTAGTTTGGGGTCTTAAAGCCCTAGCAATTCTTCTGACCTCATCAATAGCAACGCGCGTCAGTCGTAAAGTTAAAGAATCAGAAACACTGGCACTTGATCTTCATAACAACAAATTGGCTAAGTATTAGTAGAACAGTCGAACTTATTGCTGCATACGTATGTGTCTATATATTCATAATTTGTTTACGTTCTGCCACTTTTATTGTTATTGCTGACACATGAAATATCAATTTAATTTGCACTGCTGGCCATTAATAGCTTTTGCAATGCAGCCACAATGAAAATGAAGAATCCATTAAGGCAGTTAAAATAGGTTGGTGTCTCGAATTACCATCAATATATGTAATGATTACAATTATTGTTTGTGATTGTTTTCGAAACGTTTAAATTGTTGACTTTAAATGGGCCCTTTTTTGTTCAGCTGTCTGCAGACAAAGACACTGAACTTTGCACAGTTTTTCCGGCTTTCCATTGCGTGCGCGCAGGCGTGTCGCTAAAGTGGCTTGTTTGAGTGTGCATTTCCGGTCATTTGAAAACCTTTATCGATTTGGAAAAAAAATGTTGCCTGCACACACACACTCACACACTCTCCGCATGTACGTTTTATTTATTTTAGTATCCGGTTTCCAATTCTTTAATTATTTTTCTAGGTATTACTTTTTATTTTTCTCTCACATACACTTTGCGCTTATTTAAGTTGACACCTTTTTGCTTAACAACTTTTCTGTCTCTATAAACGCACACGCTCAGAACGAACGCAATGACAGAAAAGCAACAACAATAGTAGCAGCAGCGACGAAAACGGTTTTCATTGCGAAAGCTATCGGATCGGCTCAAATCGAGAAGCGGAGACAAGCGAGACTTTGTGTGCGCGCGGCCGTGAATCACAAACGCAACTGACAGTGGCACAACAACAGCAACACTAACAGCAACGACAACGGCAGCGTAAAGCCGAATGCGCCGAGGAGGCAGAAACAGACAGACACAAGAGCCGAGTGTGGCTTTCTTTGTTGTATACATAAGTGTATGTATGTAGAAGCCAACAACAACAACAACGAGAACGTGAAGCAATGTTTTGCGGAAGAGCCAAGAAGCAGAGAGTTGACCAGGCCTAGAGTTACTCACCGGCCGGCTGCGTGGCGCATGTGCACATCGGTGGTGCATAGCATTGCATAAAATAAATCAAATAATGACAATGGCTTAAACGAATATAGCCCGCTGGGTGCACGCCCAGAAAAATTGTAAAAGCTTCTGCCAAAATACATACCATTTAAGGCATCCAACCGGACGACGCAGCTTTAGTATCATTTTTTTTTTTGTCCATCCCATTATGGCCATATTAGAGTGACGGTTAAACAGGATTTGCAGGCCGCTCGTAATCAACTAAAACCAGAAATCTTCTAATGTGCGCAGTCAACAAGAAAGTGGTAGCCTGAACAGCGGCAGATGTTGCTGTTGTTGTCAAGGGATTCGCATGAAATATAACCTTGTTGTCTATGTCCACATGTCTGCTTTTCAGAGTTTTGGCGGCCGATAAGCTTACTCTCGCCTTATTTGGCGTATCATCATCTCATGATGGACATGCTGCTACGATGGCAAACAACTCAATTTTAATTAAATGTTGTTTACGAAAATAAATTAAGAATGTTGCGCCGTATCAGTACAGCGCGGCGAGGCACGCATGCGCCAATTATGCCAGGGATTGAACAACCTTGGGATGTTGGCGAGGCTGGTCGCTGCAGTGATAGCTCCGTCGCTGTGCTGTGCGTGACTCAATGTGCGTGTACTCTGGATAACAGGTTCCATTTCCATACACCTTTATCATTGGTTAAGTTGCGGAGCATGGGCTGGATGTTGTTTGAGTCTCTTTGTTTAAATAAACGAAACCGGTCAAGTTACTTGACATTCCCATACGCATACTGTACTTACGATTTATTATGTGCAATTAAAAGACTTACTAATGTAAAGAAGATGCAAAAAATGTATTTGGCTCGCTACTTTAAAAATGCTTCTAAGCGACTTTGTTGCGTTTTCATGGCGTTTTTAGTCGCTTGCGTTTTTAACTGTGCAGCCAGCTGCAACAACGCGTTTTGTTTTTGGGTTTTTGACTGCGTTTTTGAGGCGTCTTTTGCGGTCGGCCGTGGAGCTACCATTTTCTTCTTATTGGCCTTTGCACCATTTTTTTGAGGAATTTCCTTCTTTAGCTTTTTTGGTGGATTTTTCGGGGAATGAGACACCAAGGCACTTGCTGTGGGTTTGAGTGGAGTTTTTTGTTTTTCAGACTTCGGTTTTTTCAATTTCGTATTTATAATCGTATTCTTGGATTTTTTGTTTAGTTCAGCTGCTTTTGTTTTAGGTGCGTTTTTCTCAGATCGCGTAGTCTTTTCAGGTTTCTTTGGCTTCTCCAACGTCAGAAATGTCTTGTGCCCGCAAAAACAGTTGACTTCCTGCATGATGGAAGTATTATATTAGAGAGTGGAAAATTAAATCTATATTGGGTCGCCATACCACATTGCTGGCCAGGCGTTTTTTTATCCATTTGGCGCGCTTGCGTTGCTTCGTAGACAGCGTTCCCTTCAACTGTTTGTCTTTATCCGTTGCGTCCAATTTGGCCACAAGCTTGCGATATTTGGCACGGTCAGTTAGTCTCTGTGGCCTTAAATGCAGCTGGTTATTACCATCACTCCACTGATTTCCACAACGTGCGCACATACGTGCCGGGCCAAAGGTATCTGCAGGTAACTGTGTGTTGTGCCTGGCCAGCTTACGACAGGTGTTGCTGTTGATTAAACTTTACATAAAAATGCCATTGATTTTTGTGTATAGAATCCGCTTACATGTAGTAGGACTTGAGAAGCCGCTCTGTGTGGGTTTCAGTGGTAAGGGCATTGGCACAATCCCATAATAAGCCCACTTTTTCGCTGTTAAATTCTGCCATTTACAATTCCTCTTGTGGTCATAACAAAGAACAAAACATTGCGCTGTCAGTGCTACCAATACCTACGATTTAGATAGTCAATTTCTGACTACAGTGTTCAACAATGCCGAACTCAGTGCTCGTTAATGCCGTTAAAAGGGTAGGTAGCTGATTTTGAAGCTGTATTTGAATTAAGCTTCAAAATATAACCAAACATTTGCTGATAAGTTAAAGAATATTATTTATCTACCTATTCGCGAAAAAATTGGTTTATAATGTCCAATATTGCAAAAAAATTTTCATTATAAATGTAAACTTGAAATATGTATGTATACAGTAGTGTTCTATCTCCATCATTCCAACGTAGAGCTAAGTCATAGACGCTGCTTTGACTAATAAACAATGCCAAGCCACAGTAATTGGCATTTCCCAACACTAACCCCGCCACTAAGAAGCATCAATTTCAAACCAAACCGACGCGTAACAAAGAAGTGGCAGCGACGCGTATTTAATAAAAAGGACGCATTGCAAATAATCAAATATTGAAAGCGTGGCTGTAAAGTGTAAAAACAGTAACGGGACTTAGGAATTAATTTAAATAGAAGTGCAGTTAACCAAAGGCCGATTATAGTGTGCGCTTTCTTATTTTTGCAACGAAAAAATCGAACAATGGATCCCTTCACGCAGGTACAAGATGGCAAGCCAAAAAAGCCTGGAGTGAATTTTTGTAAAGCGCATTCGCATTGTAATTTCAGCGCATGCTCGAGAAAGCGGAACAGCGCAGTCGCGCCCTAGGGATTACAAATGCCAGTAAGTTCCCTTTGGCGGAATGCATTCCGTTGCATTCCACGGAGTATACCACGAATGTCGATGCCTCCTCCAGCAGCAGTAGTGCTTCAAAAGTTATATCCAATGCAGTCACAGGCTCCGGCAGTGCTAACTCCAATTCCAAAGTTGTAATTTTGGATAAGGCCAATCTGGAGGCGTCGCCAACCAAACCGCTCCGTCACTATGCGGCCGTCAACAAGGAGAACATGGAAATGGGCATTGAGATCAACATAACGACAGACAAACCAATTGGGGTAAGTTTTTGTTTCGTTTTGGTTTTTTTCGTTTTCTCAAATGTTGCGCATATTTTGGTGGTTGTTGTTGATTTACTTGCGCTGTATTTGCTTGCTATATGTGAATGTGTGTGTGTGTATCTTTTCGCGTGCGCTTAGGTGCAAGTTGAAATTCAAGAACAGGACGTAACTGACGACGAGGAGCAATGCCAAGGTGGTGCCGAGGTTCATGAGCCGGTCGTTAATCAGCCCCTGGCAAGGCTTCGCGACACCTCACGAAATAGACTGCAACGTATGGGCGCCTTGTACTCCAACACCAATGACTTGTCCTCGCCCATACATCGCACCGAGGGTCAATTCCATGCGGATGATGATGATGTTGATGCTTACGGCCACACGCACAGTCCGAGAAAAGCAAAGCAACGTTTCGGAAAACTGGCGGCGCTGGCAAACACGATTAACCAGTGGGAGGATGATACTGCACATCATGATGCGCACAGACCGCTTAGTACAGTTCCACCCCAGAAACCTGATTTGCCAAGTCGCCATGCCATTGGTTCGGTAGAAAAGAAAACAAAGTCACAGGCCCCCCAACCGCCACGCTGTGTGCCAGCCAACAACGATGCAGTAGACGACGCGATGAAGGTGAACAAAACAAAGCAATTGAAATGGGATCCCAAGGTATTGAGCTCATTGGAGGCACAAGGCTTTCAACGGCGTGAATCATCCACAATTAAACATACCTATGATTACACCGAACAGGACGACGCTCCATCTGAAGCTCAGGCAGCCACACCGGCGGTGCCTACTAAATCCACAGCGGTTAGCAAAGTGGCCAAGACATTTGACACGGCAACAATGGGTCCTGCGAAACCAGACAAACCAGTGAATCCAGCGCCAACAACAACTGTAAAATCCGGCCTGGTTTCTGGTCGTGCTGCGATTTTTGAAAACAAGGCGTATAATGCATGTCAGACACAAAACGTCCAACGCAATCAAAAGGATCCATGTGAGCTTTCGCTGAAGGAGCGCATGAAACTCTTTGAAACTGGTAACAACAAAGCAATGCTGCCAAAAGCGCCCATATCATCAGCCCCCACGATTAGCCAAATAAGGCAGGATCAGCCAAAAGGTAAGTAAATAACTCCACAACTGCAACTATATTTAATAATACGGAAGCAGTCCATGCAGTACATCCAGTCACCGCTGCTGCCTCTTCAAACTTGGTCAAACCCAAGCCAGAGAATAAACTGCGCGATAAGGTGGCTGCCTTGGTAGCTAATGCTCAATCATCGGCCGAAAACCGCATCAAGGATATCGATCGCCAGCGCCAAGAGGACATGCAAATTATAGCAAATCGTTTCAACAAGCAAAAGGAACTATTAAACCAGGAAGCAACTTTCAATCCTCCACAACAACAACAGCCTCAACTATCAGCTCCGATGCAAGGCAAAGTGGTACGGCCGATGCCACCACCACCACCGCCACCCGTTATGACAGCATCTGTGCTGGCCAGCAGCAAACGACGCTCACGTAAGTCCACAGCCTGACAACTTTTCAAGATGATATTAATCAGTCCAATTTTATAGCTGGTGATGCCATGGATGAGGAATCAAAGCGTGCTCGCACTTCAAACTCATCTAACAAGGCGGCTGAAACCGCAAATCGTCTTTATCCAGCACTATCTGACCTCGATTCCAGTGGCGACAATTGCTGTGCCACTGTCACCGCTTCCTTAACTGACGGCACAGATCAGGAGGACGAACTAGAAAGGTGCGCTGATAAATGTTACTCCTGCCTGCTATTTCTGCTCTGCATAGAATAGCAGTTAAGACTGATTACTTAGTGAAATTTAAGACACACGCATAGCTTTAATACTAGCACAAAGCCAATAAAAATATCGCTTCCTCAACTAATTTCTAACCTTTGCGACATTTTATTTTAGTTACATGGAGGAGTCTGAAGTTGACAGCGTCGCAAAGCACAGTGCGGGTGACGAGGATGACGAACAGTCCCAGACTGAGGACAGCAGCGCGGGCATGTGCAACGTCAGCCTCGGCCGCGAAATAATGCATGTGGTGCAGCAGAACGAGGCGCAGCAGCAGAGCAAAAAGGTAAGTGCTGCTACCTGCCCTCACACAGCTGAAACCCAACACACACATTCTCATTTGCAGACTGTAAGGTATGCCGAACAGGACTTTTATTACGGCCATGATGGGCACGATAGCTCAATGAATTCATCGTCCGTGGCCTCTACGGGTATGGATGACTATTTAGATGAGGCCCTGGGAGACGATGATGATGGCACACAAGATGAAAGCGAGGACGAACACAATGCGAGTCATATATCGCGGGGCGTAAGTTTTTGGCTTTCAACCTAAAAACCTTTTAGCAGTCGATCAGGATTCCCATAGAAGGACCTTCTTGTATGTAAAAAGTTTGGTTTTTCTGTTTTACCAAGCTACGTAACCCTTTAAGTTGTTTGCGGCCCACATAATCTTTCGGCCTTTTAATGTGACTCAAAATATACGATGTAATGCGAAAATGTAGGAAGTTACATCAAATTAAAATTCGTTAATGAGTAAACTCCAAAATCTTTTAAGTAATGCGATTTAAAATGCTGTTCACTAGTCTATTTTGAAACCGAATATTGTTTCCGCACTATTCGATCGGATTCGAAAACGGGATAAGGGTTGCTAGACTAGAATTTCAATTGTGAGTCTAAAACGTATTACAATTTGGGGTTGACTATTGATGGGTAAAAACAAATAAATGGTTTACCAAAAATATGTCTAAATAGTTATATTATCTGATTTTCAATCGCAAACTCAACTCCAGTTTACCTTTGCTCCTCTTGATACGTTTGTTGTTACATGATTTTAACTAGTTTCTTCATAACATAATTACAGAGTAAAGGCACGACAGCATCAAACAGTTTTTCATTTCGCAAAACACCAGCAGCTGTGTGCCAAACTATTGCCGAGCACGAAGCTATGGACGTGCAGACGCCACTGCTGAATGGAGCACAACCAGTGAAATCTGAGCTAAGCGTGAATCAGGACAATGACAATCTTGTCACATTGGTTCACACTGTAAGCTTTTATCGTCGACAGCAAAGTGCCAGCGTAAGTATGGAATTGTGGCAGCAATTATGCATGTAACTGAAAATTTATTTCCATTCTATTTATTCAGAGTAATAACTCAACGCCTGTGCGAAAGATCTGCCGAGAGCAACAAGTATTGCGGTCGGCCTTGGACGCCGGAGGAGCCAAGCATAAGCTGGATTATGGCTCGCCACAGCAAAGCGAGAGCGTAAATACGGACAACTGCATCGAAGAGGAAGATGATGGGGACGAACACGATTCACACAATTTAAATGATGCTGCCATGGCGCAGGACAAAATTAAGAAGCTCCTCAGCGAAGTTTGCAAGCAACAGCAGGTTATTGGGCAGGCTAGCCAGGCTTTGAATCTTTGTGCCGCCACAGTAGAGTTTTCCGGCTCCACAGAGTCGGTTGAGGGTGAACGCTACTTGTTGCTAGCCAGTAAGTACCTATCGAAGAAATAAATTAGATGTCCCGACTAATGACAATCCACGTTTACAGCGCATCGCCGCCAGGCCTGTTTGGATGAAGTACAACGTTTACGCGTGGAAAACAGCTTACGGCCTGTTGGCGCGCCTAAGGAAAAGGGTCAGTTGATAGTCAAGGAAATTACAATACCACTACGTCAGGAGTATGTGCGCAAAATGGCAACGGGCACCATTACTGGCCATCATCTGGTTTGTCTACTTAAGTACAACGAGCATGTACTGGCCACCAAAACAGTACCGACCATGCCCGGCCTGTTGTCCGTTAAGTTTCCGGATGTGCTGCAACTGAATAATGTGTACGCCGATTTTAGGGTAAGCTGCCACTGACACTTCCTCGCTCTCACTTTTGATTAATTGCTTTTGCCGCAAATGGCGCTTGAACATCCTAGATAACACTTGAGATTTATGGCATGTTGGCGCAGCGCGATCAACTGCCCCACGAGTTGAAGTACCACATTAATCAGAACAAGAAAGGTGGCATAAAAACACCGAAGAAGAAGGGCGGCGAAAATCGTCTGGTTATGCCTCCAGTGCAGAGTCCTGCCGGTCCTCATGTGGTTCGCACACCCCAATTGGTGCAATACGGCTTCGCCATATTCTCGCTGCGTGAAATTCAACGCACAACTTGGACACTGACACAGGTACATATCCACATGGAACGAACATTACCCTGCCGGCTATGATTGTTAAATTATTTTATTTTTGTGCAGGTACTGGGCGTCAGTCCTTTAGAGGGAGTCGTGCATATGAAGGTCAACTGTGAACTGTCCGTGTGTGTGGAATACAAAGGTTTTCTCACCATGTTCGAGGACATTTCCGGTTTTGGTGCCTGGCATCGTCGGTGGTGCTATCTCAATGGGTCTGTTCTCAACTTTTGGAAGTATCCGGATGATGAGAAAAAGAAAACACCCATGGGTTCTATTGATTTAAATGCATGCACCTCGCAGAAGGTGAGCACAGCACCGCGAGATATTTGTGCGCGCCTAAACACAATGCTGCTGGAATGCGAGCGCCCAGCCATAGATACCGATCAGGAATCGCTTATAATAGTCCCGAACGGACGCATGACCACTGTGCGGCATTTACTGTCGGCCGACACAAAAGAGGAGCGCGAGGAATGGTGTGCTTACTTTAATAAAGCGCTGACCTTAATTCGCGCTTGGGGTCCGACGCATTAAAAACATGTCTCCCCGACTACCTGACATTTGCAATTGTTTTGAATAAGTACAAGTAGAGTGGGATTTTTGCGGTTGACATTTCCATTATTGTTTTTAAGTTATTTCGCCTTTTGGTTTTTTTTTTAAATTACTTGCGTTCTAATTTTGTATGTGCGTGCAAACAAGTAGCATACTTTTTGTAAATTTAATGTATTATTGTAGTAATTGTCCCTTAAAGAAATGTCTGCAAGTATCAGTCGAGTTCGTTGACTATTTCAATTAAGCAAAAGTCTATATTGTATAAATGAAAAAGGCAGAATAAATTTAAACACCATATTTCATAGTCCTTTTGTTTTGAAAATAGCTATTACAGGTCTAAATTTCTCTTTTGTTACACATTTATAGGTTTATTTAATATATTTATAGTACACATATATATTATTGTTTAAATACATTTATGATACACATATATTTTATGTTTGTTATCCATTTGCTGCTGACTATTTATGCGTGTTTAGCTAATTTAATGTGTGTGTTGTACAGAGTGGCTCAAAGCAACGTTTTACTTCTCGAGCTAATTGGACAATTCATCCTCTTCATTGAACTGCAAAGTTTTAAACCATTTTTTCAATTTACCGTGCAATGCTATAGAATTTTGATTTGAATGTTGGATTACCAGGAAATTACACTTTCTGAATTCACATAAAGCTTTCTAATTGACCTCTTTCTTGTGCTCTAAATCATAAATTGTACTGGTATATTGTGTTTGTGCAGAGGCTGTGTTTACTCAACTAATCTGGCATCTGTATGTGCTCGTATGTAGTAGGAACTGCATTTTGCAGATATGTATTTACTTTGTGTGTGTCAATATATGTATGTTGTGCTCAAATATGGAAGTAGTTTTATTTGAAATCGGTCAGCCATTATATTTTTGACCTTTTTGTGAACTTAAGTTATAGTTGACATTTGTAATTCGAGTTTTTCTGCTGAATTGGATACTATCAATTCAACTTTTGCAATATTGCAGCTTTTGTCTTTTTATGTTATTGGCATTTTTGGATATTCAAAAATATTTGTAAATGTTCAAAAATGTATTTGTGTGTCAAAATTCTAGTGCATACACGTACATATAGCAGTGTCCGATAAATTGAAGTGTTCGAAATGAAAATTTAAGTTGAGTATTTCTGATTGGAACGTTAGATAACACGATATTTATTCTTTTAAGCTGAGCTTTAAAGCGTTAGTTAAAGTATTACTTAAGCGGCCACTTCACTATATGTACGTGTTTTATATTTTACCTGGATGTCCCTAAATTGGTTGAACTTTGTTACAGTTTCTGTTCCTATTCGACTATATGAATATTTTAAAACGTTCGTAACTGACTGCCAAATGTGTTTGTCAAGTTTTATGTCAAAGCGTCCAAATGCCTTCCCCTACTGTGTGTTTATCGTTTGAGTTTTTGAGTTCCATTTTGAGATGCTCACAACCGTCGCAACGGCAGAGCAAGTGCTGACAACCGTTTACATAAAGATTCGTTTATCTATTGTTGGATTAAAATACATATGTTATACTAAAGACATCTATTTATATTTTATTAGACACTCATAAAGGATATTCACTGTCTGTTAACTACTTAGCACAATCCAAAAAGGATGATTTGAAATTGAAAATGTAACCATTTAATTTTAAAGGAATACAATTCACAATCAACAGACCCAGAAATAATTATTTCGTTAATTACTCCAGGCGATAATATTGAACATTTTCGGTCTGATTTCGGCCTCAATGTATAATGAACTAAATCCCCGACTCAGTTTGATCTTGGCAGGTCTACTTTCTGCACTGCAGCAAGCACGAATTGTTTGTAAATAGATTCGTGGCAATTTTAACCCTAAAGTAGACATGATATTCAATTAACAAGCGTTAATTTAAATTGTAAAAATAGAAAAATAAGTATGCTGCAAATATTCAGCAGTTTTAATAATTTATCGATTAAGCAAAAATATTTCAAGTCCCAATTCCAAACTTGTTTTGTAATCATATTTGATTTTATAATTTTTTTTGTTAAGATGTTAACAGACATTGTGTGAATATCCCAAAAAACAAAAACTCTGCTGCGGGTAAATACTATATTCTATTGAGTTGTTTGTCAAGCCGAGCATGAATGATCGCGTTGGAAACGGCAGTTCAAATGAAGATTAAGTTTGAGATTTCAGAATTGAGCATACACGTATAGTTCTCGTATATGGTTAGAATATATTGGATTATTTATGCAATCAGATTGTACTGATTAGACTGATTTGTGTGTAAGGTGTTGTACTGTGTTTTATTGTTACTGTACACATAAAGCTTATTAACCAAATTTTATCTACACCACAAATTCTTTTTACAATGTTTTTTTAATTTTTCCACTACGCACTAATTTTTCAGCATAAAGCTAAAAGAGTAAGTGTTAACTTTTTCCTTATAATTGCTATGCAATTTTAATAAACAAGTTAAAACGCAACATACATTTTACTTAGAACTAAAACAGAACTGTGTAACAACTAATGCAATAAATAAAAAATTAAAACGATATGTCCAAGTTCAAGACGAATGACGCGCGACTATGAGGGCCAGCAACCCGAACTTGGCCACCCAATTGTGATTTGTGTGCCTGTGCATGTCGTGGGGTTGTTTGTCTTTATGTTGTTTGTGTGTGTGTGTGTGTGTGTGGGGATATCTGTAGTGACATGCATTTACGGATTTCCCGACTCCAACGCCGCATTTCCCCCCTGCACCTGTGCGTTCTGGCGGCGCAAGTCCGACTTTGTGATGGCAGTAATCACAGTTCCAACAATTAGCATCACGGCCATTACAATGTTGGCCTGTATATCGCCATACGAGTAAAATAGTTTCGAATAGATGAGGGTGAACACAATGCCAAAGGTTTGTGCCGAGGCATTCAATAGACCCGATGAGGTGCCCTCTGGCTCAGGGAAAGTAAGCTCCGCGCCAAATTCAAAGCCAACCGGCAGGTAGCCAGTCATGAAGAAGCTGCATAGGGAAAATACATATACATATATATAGTAGTATTGCATGTTCGAGCAGCATACAGAAAAACACTTTTGTTACTTTTTCTGCTTCCACTTACCCCAGCAATGAAGCTGTCACATAAACCACAGCAATGTAGCCAGTATCGAGGGTGAATGTAAAAATCCACATTCCCACCATAGAGAGAGCATAAACCGCCAGAGTGGTTTCCCTGTGCACGTTTTATGGAAATAATGAAATTTTTAAAACAAAAGGGCAACATGCTCATTAGGCTTTTCCATATACTATACAGTAAAACATCAATATCTTGGGCACTTGTAACGCAGGCTAGTTTCTACAAATCAGCTATTAGTATCATCTTATCGTAAAGTGCGAGTATACATGTGTAATCGCATATTCTTGTTTGATTTAATCGTGATTTTGTTTCTACAAGCACATCAGCGCTCATTTAAATAACGCTTCGTTGTCTAAACGCATAAGAATAGCTGGAAGGAATGATGAATGTTGTATAAAATCATTTCATTTTAGACAAATGTCAATTCTTGATTTTGAAGTAAGGATTATATGCAAAATTTATAAACGATAGAAGACTTAAAAATGTCGAAAGCAAGCGCTGGAAATGTTTTATTAAATACTTCAGATTGTTAAATGCAAAGCGCTTTTTGTGTCAAGAATTTATTGTAGTCATATATTGGTTATACTTGTAGTTGCTTGACTGCATTAAGAGCACGAGCATTAATTACAATTTTTAGCTTTACAGTTTCGCAGCATTGCAACAACTTTCTCGGTGGGCTACGCTGCGTATGCGTGATGTGTGTCGATAACTCGTTCACTAAGGCGAAACTTTTTCAATGCAGTGCCAGTCGTGCGCCAAAAATAAAATCATTCTTCAGTTGGCTTCCAATTAAGCATTAGAAGAGCTTTACCCCGTACTTACTTGAATTTATGGGTCTTATCCAGCACAATGCCCGAAACAACGGAGCCCAACATTCCCGCGAGTACGATAGACAAGCCAATACGTCCAGTATCGACTTCATGGCCGGGATAGTATTTCAGAACTACCTGTGAAAGAGCGAGCATTAGTCGACCCTTCCCACACCCAAATACTCTACTAAAGACCTACCGGATTCAGCAGCGTCGATATGGCATAGAATACACCCACATTTATGCCGTAGGATAGTAGGAGAAAAATGAAGTTGCTGTTGGTCATCAGGTTTTTCAGCGATTGGAAAAAACTAACTTGCTCTGCATGTCCCCCCTCTATGCGCTGAGCAGCCTCCTGGGCGGCGGAGGGTGGTGTGGGTGGCTTGTCTTGGAAGACTGTTTGGTCGGAAAGGAAGTCAACAATAATAATAAAGTTAAGTGGGTGCATATCAGTTGAATTCACTTACAGAGCGCCATTAGCACGAGCAAAACGCTAGTCAAACCAGCAACCATATAAAACATCAACCTCAAATCATTGCCCACAGTTTCCAAGTCCTCGGAGTTGGGCACCAGTATAGGAGGCAGGACAAAGCCAATGGCTACACCAAGCTGCAAAAAAGTGGCAGTTGTTTATTTTAATTTGTTTTCGCCACTTTTCTGGCCATAAAACTGATTTATACTATATACCCGTTGTTGTTATTATTTTGGAAAACTTTAAGCACAGCATCTGTTGTGACAGCTCCCTATTATGCTAGACTTGATATGCGGCTTAAATGTTTGGTTCCTATCGGATATAGTGGCAGTTGAGTTGTAAATGGCTTTGAATCTACTCATTTATAATAAAAGTGCGAATTCTAACAACATTAATTAATTAATCTTTATAAACTGCATTGCTCTTAGTTTCTTTAGTAATAGTACTATAAAAGGCCTGATTTTGGCACAATGATCAAAATATTTAGTTGAAATTTATATATTTATTATTTTTTCATAATCAAACATGGGTTATCGACCTAGATTACAATACGTTTAATTTCAACTTAAAACTTATGTCCATCCGGCCAGATATCCCTCGATCCATAGCCAATATTTAGTTTGAATATAGTTTCATAAATGTAAGATTTTAAAAAAATAACAAGGTCTGTGTCTCGAACATAGAACACTGTGATGAAACAAATATACTTTTGTTCATTGAAAAATAATGGCCTCAATTAAAATTAATCTAAAAATCTATGAGCTAACCAAATTGAATATTTTGTTAATGACAAAGTATACAAAGTATTAGCTGTACTCGTATAGTTTTGCAACAAAATATGTTATTGGCTACGTTCCCAGTAATTTTATTTTATTATGTTAGACTTGTCGAAAAAGTATAAAAATGCAAAAAGCGTTTTCCGAAAACCTTAGCCAGCTCGGGCGGACTCAGTTTGGATTTATTTCAATATTAAATATTTGAGGAGCACGCTTGCCGACTGCACGAGCGGTATATACTAAACAAATTGGAATCACTTTGGATTTATTTCTGTTTGAAATTTGAATTCGCTATTTACTGGAGCTATCACCCGCAGGCCGCAGAAGTCCGGCTCCGCAGTCGGCTATTGGGTGAAGCCGGTTTAACGTAATACCCAGTTGCCATTGGCAACTTGTCTACTTGGGCGGAATAAAAAACAAACAGACGCATTTCCTGGCATGTTTACATATGCGGGAAGCGCATGTTTTAAGCTGTTGTTGCAACTTGGCGGCAGGCAACGAAAAAAAGTGCCTGAATGTTTGTTCTGCACTTTGCAGACATGCGCCCGCACACGTACACATTGCTAGTAATGCCAATGCCATGCCAAACTCTGGCTGTGTTCCCAACCAATCCGCCGCTCAGTGCAGCGAACTGCCGAGGAAGTCGCCGCAAGACGTCGCCGAGAGTGGCGTGCCTCCGTGCGGGTGGCTGTGCGTGAGTGTTTGTGGCGGCCTTGCGAGATAACACAGTATGGGCACAACCTTGCGACAGGCACGGATACGTGTATGAATAGGGGCACGGACACGGACACTGGCACGGGTTCGGTACGGTACGGCACGGCACTTTCAATGTCACCGTGCACACACAAACATGAATACATCAAAATCTGCAGTGGCATATACACTGAGAGAAACAATAGTCGTAATTAAAGAACAAGCCGAAAAACAACATTATTTAAGACTGCTTTAAAAGTATTTTATTTGGTTTTAAATCTTACAGATTGTGAAATTGTGGTTTTGTTTGAGGAAAACAATCAGTATAAATAGCGTGGCAAACGTTGTTGAGAAATTAAAAAGTAAAATAATTTAAAGAATTTAAATTGAACTGAGCTAAGAAGACTACCTGTAGATTAATGTATTATCTTTTTCTCATCTCCAAACGTTGCTTATCCACAGTTTAGCAAATTTTTATGTATTTTTATGTGGTTTCATAAATAAGACTTCAATGTGTTGCAAATAAAATTAAAATAAACAGGGACATAAGCTATGCATTTTTATATATTTTCCAGCTCAGGAAAGCGCCGGTATATTTTGTATTTTGAATTAAAATGGACAATGACTATTTGTAACTTTTTTACCTAAGGATATCAATAAATGAGTCTTATTCTGTTAGATGTTGCCATAGAAACTGGGGAGCTTAATTAAAAAATTGTGTGTGGGTGGCAAACAAGAAATGCATTCAGTTATCGACTGCCAAAAAGGGTTTACCAAGATTTTCAGCTGCAACTAAGATAACTTCTAAGCTGGTTTTATTAATTTACGTGTACTGCATAGGCAAATTGGATTGAGGTGCTCCGAATTAAAATAAAATGCTGTAGCATTTTATGCTGTAAATGCTATTTGTTAGACGGAATAATTTGGTCGTTTTGGCAGTGTAATGAAATACGCTTTACGCTGAGCGGGGCTGTTTGCATTTGGTACTTTAGTGCATTTTAGAGCTGTTTGGTAGTTGATAAGTTCAGCTTGACATCTTCACATAATCTAGCTGAGCTTAGGCGCTGCGTGACGCCACTTCCATGTTGCTATTTTCAGTTTATCGAGCTTCTCCCACTAGTATGTGGCTCTGCTTTATGGGCATACATATGTACGTGTTTGTGTGTAAGCTTTTTGGCTGTTTGTTTGCCAGCACACACTTGACCTCTTCATGTACTCTGTGCTGTAGTTGTTACTTGAAGCGTTGACGCCAATGCCTGGTGGCAGCCTTCGAGCTGAACAGGTTGCTTTTTGCCTCAGGCTTTATAGCTGGTACTGTAGATGTGACACATATTGTCGGCACTGGCGGCATCACCCCCAGCCCATCCTATGAACTGCAGCCTCATATTAGCACATCCTATTGTGACTTTCTACTTTCTTTTCTAACGACAGCCCTACGAACAACAAGCGGAAATTATAAGCCTTTCAGCTGCACTCGAGTGTAAGACAAATATGGCAGAGCTCACACACGCAGTAGACTGTGAATTGTCTGTGTGTGTGAGTTTGTGTGTCTCAGCCAACCATCTACTGTCTATCTGCCTGTCCGTCAAGTCGTCTGTTGGGCCGTATACGAGTATGTGCGTATACGAGTATGTGTGTCTATTTACACAAATGTGTGTGCCAATTTCGTATGCGTTGCCGGTGCAACACGGTGCGTTGCCGGTAAACGCGTGCATATTTCATTCGAAAATCAGTGGACAGCTAGGATGCATCGCCTGCCACACAAGTCAGGCTGACAATGCTCCAGCAATAAAGTAAACAAACAGCAGCTTTTTTCTGCAACACAGAACCCGGACACTGCTCATCTGCCATTATTTAAATGGAACTACCTATGGATCAGTATGGATTTTAGGCAAAAATCCAGATAATTGACATTCAGTGTATCGAGTCTTTAAGGGCCTAGCTATATCTAAGGAGAACATGCAGCGAAAACTGCACCATGAAGTATTTTCGAACACTTGGGTTAAATGACTATTTTCAACTCGCATCTAGACAAACTGGCAAACTATTTGCATACAAAAGTACTAAATTAATTTTAAAAAAATCCTACAATTTGTTGTACAATTAAAATTGGTTTTAATTAAAATGTAACTTATTCATGACATACTTGTAAAATTCAAAAAATTTTGTTGCATATCTAGCCATAACCTTAGAGGTAAGTTCGAGATAGAACTAAACATAAAATGTAAACTTTACGTTAAGTGTTTGCTCAAAATATTTGTGAAAGTGTAGAAAATGCCAAAGTCTGCAGAACCTAAGTAACCATTGTGAAGCGTGAACAGTGAAGAGGGGGCAAAAGTTGAAGACTTCTTAACTTTAGAAACAACAAAGTTAAAAGTCACACTTACTGAGTGTCACACTTACTGCCCTCGCAAGCTTAAACTACGAGTAACTATAAATATATCCCTTAACAAAGTATGTATAGAGTATTTATATGTGAAACACAAACAACAACATTTGCTCGTTGAGGCTTTTGGTATTCCATTAGATTTCAGCCCATAACTCTACTTGAAATTAGGATATAAATACTCGTAGTTAGACGGGTAAGTATAGGATGCCTTAAATATAAAAAATGATACTTAAATGAGACAAATGTACATTGCTCTACAATACAAGTAGAGCCTTACACTTTCCAGTATAATTAAATTAAATTAAATTCAATCCTCCTAACTAAAAAGATAGGCAAAATAGGTGTGTAAAATGCCAAATATACAGTCACCTGCAAATCAATCATTTGTCAGACATTTCAAATACTGCCTATAGTGATTGTGGTTGACCTGTGAACTGGACAATAAACCACAGTAGGGAAACATAATTGCATTATGTGCAAGCTACTGTCAAATTTTGATTTCGTCTTGCCAGCATTATAACCACAAGAGACACCCACTCTGACCTCCTAGGTCTAAAGACAAACTAATTTCACGTCAAAGACCATAACTTGCAGATGCCTTTTCAAAGACGGAAGGGCAATGCCAGGACTTCGACACTTGGCCTCCTGTCAAATCAATTACTTATACAATTTGAAGGGGTCTAACGTGTGCTTTCATTGCAGAATCAATTTGACTTGACTCTGCACTCAGTACATATTTGAATTTTTTATTTTTTTTTTGGAGGGTGGACTCTGATTTTCTGTTTGACTTCTGTGGTCGACTTTTGGTTTTATTTTTCTGATAACTCATGCTTCTAGTAAGCGAATAGCGCCGCCTGAATCGAATGCATGTGTCTGTCACCGTCACTCGTGTGCATTGCCAACTCTGACGTGCCACAGTTGCCACTTCCGTGCCGGAAATGAACATGGCACACGCACACACACACACACACACGCTAAGGCTTAGCCACATTTTCTCATTTCGGTTGGTCATGTTCTTGACTAACATCGTGCATAAATTCTAAAGTAGAGCTGCCTCTTCTGTGTTCGAGCGCATTTTTGTGTCCGCCAAAAGATTTAAGCTCAGAGAAATTTATCTGCGCACTGGGAAGATATTTAGCAGCAACTTTATGAAGCAATTTAATGCCACATCCATAAATGTTCAGCAAGTTAAATAATAGCCAAAACAGCAAGCTCATAACTCACCTGATTACCGAAAACACCAACGCTGGTGGCAGAAGATACCTGGTCAGGTCCAAACCAAACCGCAGCTAGGCGTGCGGGCAATGATAGAATGCACACCTGTGGGCGATTGGTGGGGAGAAAGGAGCTTATGCCCAATCTATATAATATTCAATGGAACATGCAGTCGCTGTTTTGCATGCTCATTGCGAAAATTAATCACATTAGGCATTTCGCACGAAAATGCAATTACAGTCTAGCCATTGGCGAATGATTGAGTGCGTTTATCGCAAATTTCACTTACCTGTGCCAAAGCAACTATCGCCTGTCCAATAAAGCCCACATAAAATAGCGATGGATCGACAGAGAAAACTTTAATCCAAGCACCAATACAAGTGCCCACAATGCCAACCAGAGCAGTGATGCGCAAACCCTGCATAAAGAGTTTATTGGAATATCGAATGGAATTTATATAACAATGCAAAAATAATCATATTAATGGAGCTCTCTTCAATGGATAAGTAGGAGAATTTGAATGCTCTAAATAACCTTTAGTCGATTACTAATTTGTTACCTACCACTTTGTCCAAAAACCAACTGCCAGGAAATATCAGCGGTATATATAAAATCATATAAATCATAGAAGTCCAATCAACCCATGTATCATTGATTCCATAGTAGCTATAAATAAAACCGCAAGAATACAACAAGTCTAATCGTAATTTATTTATAAACTAAACATCAGAGGGTTTTTTGAAAGTTGTGTGAATGCCAAAAAAAAAATAAATTAAAATATTATTATTTTGTAGGATATACTTATGTAAACTTAACTATTTTTTTTAATGTTATCTCCCTTAGGCAATAAAATGCAGTGTGTATTGAAATCAATTACAACAATTCCTTTTAATGAGAAACTTTTTTATTTTTTTTAGGTCGTTAAGGACTCGACATCAACAGGTCCATTTGCCTTTCTTAGCCTGCTTACTCAACTATTTTTAATCCACTGTCTTATTGAATTGATGATCAAACATTTATATATTTGTATTTAAGGATGCGTTGAGCGCATTGCATTCGATTGCTTTCGCCGTCGGTTTCTAACGAGTTAGACAGTCAATGAAGTTTCTTTAAAGTAATATTTTTAAAGTCAATCGACTTGACTTTGAATGTTGATAATATCTACACACTAATTACAATTATTCCTTTATGCTTAAATCAAAACAAATATATAGACTCTAATCAAACTTCTTTACCACAGTTTACCAATAATTCCCTTAAAATTAGGCATTTAATTTTGTAAGCCCCTTAGTAGTTCCCACAGAGTCAGATGCGCCTTTCAGCTAAACTCACCGTGTTATTATGTTGTTAATAATAGTGTATTGTATCCATTGCATAGCATTTGAGGCTGAATAGAATACAAAGAGAATAAGCACAGCCCAGCGCCGTCCATAGACTTTGTATCCTGAAAATTAAATGCGCGGTCACATCAAAACTTTTTAAATTCCCAAGAAAGCTTTTACTTTGAATGTATTCTTAATTGGAATGATACGCGTATACAATAAAAATAATAAGAATACAAATATATACATATACAAGTATAAGCTTCATTCTAAACTATTTATATAATAAAATAGCATCTACAAATGAGCGCAACTACCAATTATGTCAACAAAAAAAATCGTATACATACATACTTAGCATAAATTTAAATGTAATATTAAATTCTCTACGACGTAATATGCTGAACTATGATGGTTGCACTTTGTACCAATGACAGATCCAATGATATATGTATGTTATATGTTGTTATATGGACTTTTGTGTCAACTCAAAGCGGCGAATTTTAAACGGCCAACAAACTGGCAACTTTTTGGTTGCATGGCATTGAGAAAGGAAAGCGCTTTGATGTTTGTTATTTTTAGTTGTTTGCACACACATACATGCATACATGCGAATATACATTTGCATGAACCCACATACATACATACGAGTATGTATATACATACATATGTACATATGTATGTACTTAAATGCATTCATGCTGCCGCACGTAGTCGCTTATATTGTTCGTGACAGTTTGAAAAAGTGCGCGTGGATGGATGTATATGTGTATAAGTGTGTCTGTGTGTGTGTGTTTGTGGGTGTGGGTGTGTATGTACTGATTACTTAACCATAACCATACAAATCTGGCCACTGAGGGCACATAAAACAATTGCATACCTTGATGAGCACACTGCATACACACAGGATACACGTACAGAAAAACATATGTGAGCAGAATATGTGTACGAATAGAAATACTTAGCTCAGCTATATTTTGCGGCAGTATAGCCTTCAAGCATTTTCAAATGGAGTATATGCATAGTCACTATGAAAATATATCGGGAATCACCTCATAATCGGCGCATTCGCTCGACACTGCCACAATGGTTATTAAACTTTCGCTTTTGTCGATCACAAGTTCTGCTGCTAAGCTGGAGCTCTGATAAAATAGTTCGAGTAGGTGGGCTGATGTGTGCTGCAAGATTAAAAATATGTTTCTGCGGATTCATATATAAACTCTCTATACATTTTTTCACTTGGCGACATCAATACGACTCCTCATTGGAAGTGGTACATGCGATTCATTGTTGGTTCATAGTTTTTTTTTAAGACACACAGATGCAGGACTCCTTTTAGATGTTTGAGGTGAAAAGTTGTGAAGGGGAAATTTGTAGTTTAGTCTCAATGTGTTTTGCTTGCAAAAGGATATCAAAGTTACTGAGCACGCATGCAAATAGTAGTTAATGTGCATGAACATGAGAATTAATTACAACATGCATCCCATTCAGTAGACGCTTAATTAGACTTTTACAAACCTTCAGGCGGTGCGTGTGCGGTGGTAGAAGATTTGCTGGCACCCTCTCCCTTCTCCTTGGGCGTAATTAAATCTGTTGACTTGCTGGTGGCTATATAGGAATCGGTGCTCTCCACAGCACCACTGCTGCTATGCTTCAGATCCATATTAATGCCGTGTAAGGCCTTTGTTTATTAAATTGTAAATTTGGGCGGTTCCTGTAATGTGGCACTCGTTTTCGCTGGCCGCTTCTCTTCTAAAGGTTTTGGTTCACTGTCGGTGGTGTCGTTAGATTTTGTGGTGGTTTTTGTTGACGATTTGTTTACTTTAAAGGGCAGTTTCTTTTTAGAAAGCAATTCTAATGGCTAAAAAAATAATAAAAAAAATATGTCTGAATTAGCATTTTAAAATCATCGCCTGAAAGTAGGCACCACTTTGCGTTCTCGTTCTATTTGTGAGCACCCACACATCTGCCGCCATTGCAGACATTTTTTATTTGCATGTGTTTGTGAAAAAAGCGAACAAACCACATACACCGCCATACAGGCAGGATGCAAGGGACTTGGAAATCCAACAGCGTGTGGTTTTAAGAATTTGCATAAACGCATTTTAACAAGGTAACATAATTTTATGTGCAACTGTAAAACCGCTCTCGGTTTCAAATGCTGCTCGGATTCTGTTTTTATACCCTCTATCCACACGGTTTTTATAGAATCGTCCAGGAATTTGTTACGTCCAAGCCGCAAAGTATAAATATTCTTTTCCACGTTTCCAACTCACACAAATTTCAGTTGGAAGTAGAAGTCTTATTTCTTAAACCAAGTTGTCTTTTGCTTAGTTTGTTATATTAAGAAAAAAGAAACCAATTTGTACTTTTACTATCTTAGCTTCATATTTATTAACATTATCGGAATTGTCCAAGTACTTCTAGAATTATAAAAATAATAATAACTATAATTGTCGGCTCATTTTAGAAATTCATTTGTTTCCTAATGTTTCTTAGTTTTTATTTCTAGACAGGCACGCTTGTTTTGTATTCATTTATTTCTTCAACAGATATGGGCGGTCGATATAGGTTACAGTTAACAGTACGTTTTAATATCAACTTGATCGAATTATTTATATAATTATAACTAATAATTATATTATTTGGGAAGTCAGAGGTAAAACGAAAAGAAACAGGAACATCTCTAACCCCGTTGCCAATCCAGCGAATCCTATCCTCATCATTTTTCTTTTCAGCAACCACCATTTTTACTCAAGTATCGGATTTTATAATGACAGTTCCTTTAGTATATTTAATATTTTTATTGCTGCTTCTGCAAAAACAGACACTCACATGTACATTTGTATATACATATGCACTTATGAAAGGACTTTTGCAAAGAATAAAAGGGCAATTGTAAATGCATGTAACATGCAGTAGAAGAGGCATAAATAATATAAATACCTGTATAATGTGGTTATGCCTATTAATCTTAATCAGAAATCTCGCATAGTTATATGTGAAAAGAGGCTCTTATTGGGACAAGCCTGTTTTGTATACAGTGTAGTTATTAGTCGGGTGCGCTCAACTATAACATGCAGGTTGCTTTTTATTCTCACTCAAAACAATTTCTTTATATAGTATTTGCGTTGTGGCGATAACTGTTTGCTTTTAGACAAATTGGCTTTTCATATTTAATGGTAATTTAATTTCACGCACGGCATTAAATTATGTGAATTGGCCTTGTACAATTCTATCATTACACTCGTTTTCACAAATATACTTAAGTGCATGAAATTTACAATTTTCAACACATTTGAATCGGCATTTCAATTGTGTTTACCATTTACCATAGAATGAAGCCATTAACTCAATTTTGCTCGGCAATTCGTGAAATTCTCGTTGTGCGCCCTCAATTGGGCGCTGAATACTTGTTGCACCTAAGTTGGGGCGAGATGGAGGGATGAGATAAACGTTATGATAACCTGGTGGTGCATACTGCATGCCTTTGGCTTGATCAATGGGGTGGACATTTTTAGTCATGTCTGGTCGTATATTGAATCAGTTTCATAAATTGCTTGAATTCAAGCAAATACGTTGAGCGTTAGCTTAAATGTTGAGATATTCGCGCTGATTTGCCTTAATTTGCTTGCTTTTGTTGATACCATAGTCATCGGGCCACGTGTAAATAATGCATTTAATTCACTAAGTAGTCAGTGTCTATAATACAATTAATTTCCCTTTCATACATGAAATATTTTAATTGCATTGCTGCACTGAAGCACTCTTTCTTTCGTACATTTTCCATTTGTCTGTATCACGTAATTAGATCTGTAATGCATGCAGAGCCATTCATTGGTCCCCCTAGCTAAATACAAAACTGGATGGCTTTGGCTCTGGCTTTTCTAATTGATTTAACCCTGCCAACGGCTGCATTTAAATCAATTTTCCTCATTAAAATTTAATTCCATGACGTGCAAACTTGTATGTGAGTGAAATACTGCCACGGCTGTTGTCATTAGTAGGCTCCAAAATGTTGCTCATTTGGTTTGGTTTGGGCTTTTACGTGGTTTTGTTAACATTGGTTTCACAGTGGGAATTTCTTTACAACTCATCATATCAGCAACAGCGCAACAATGTACGACAAAGAATTATAAAATTGGCAAACATTATTTGTTTTATTTGTACTTATACTTGTAGTACAATACATATGTATGTATCAGCTGTTATTCAAGGCAGACAGAATAAAACACGCCACTGCAGTTGATAAATAACAAGCACTTGTACCATGAAACCGTATTTGCGGAGATAAGCGTGCCGATTTCTTCACCATAACTCCATACTTAACCCCACTTATTGTAAAATACCTGCTCAGTCAGTTCGATATTATAAAATTTATATTTTTGCATAGCCTACATACATATTTTTGTATGTTACCATCAAACCCCCTGGCTGTGTGGTATCATGCGTTAAAATAAATATGTAATTCATTTTTCACTCAAAACTGGAATTTTTACGCACATATATTTTCGATTTGACATACTCGGTGTGTTTGTTTCGCGCGTCATTAAATTAACTGAAGGTACAATAAAACAAAACAAAAAAAATTAAAGCAATAACAAAAACAAACACCTTTAAGGTAAGGTGGGTTTACAGTCGTCTGCTTCGAACTTAACGGACACGTTTTCAGAACGCGAACGAGCAAAGTGGCAGTGGAAATGAAACTGAACCCCAACGCCGAAAGCGTTCCGTGCGCTCGTCAAAATAAAATGTAAAAAAATAACAAGTCGATTTGCAAAATGCTTCGGCATGCGCCAGTGATGTTGCTTTTGTTGTAAACAGCTGATTAAACCTCATATATACATACATACAAAGTGTACACATATGTATGTACGCGTACATACATACAGGGTGCACCATCTTTTATGTCGGTATGTAAACGTTGAACATCTTTGAAAATAAACAACCGATTTTCAAGTATGAGATATTTTTATTTAATTTGGTTCTGTACAATTTCTTGAACTGAGGTTTTCAATACTGGTCTACTCAAGTCAATCGGTTCACTAATGACAAACTTATTCAATATTTACAAGTACATACCGACATAAAAGATGGCGCACCCTGTACACAAATATCAACTACTAGTTTCTAAATGGGCATGCAGTGGACTAACTAATAACAACCCGGCATTGACAACAACAAGTTCCACCAATGTCTGCCGGAGCGTCAGCCACGAACACCGCTAAACCACAGTAGAGTCTATTTAAGTGTGAAATTTAATATTAAACAAGCTAAAAAGTTAACTACATGCGTCCACTTCGAAGCAAAATACTTATATACCCGTCACTGTGTTTCACAACAAAACATATATTCATCTATGGTCCTGGGCCGCTAACTAGTATACCTCCTGTCCTTCAATAGAAAAATTTTATTTTAAAATTATATCGTTTCTCAAGATCTGTGTCTATCAAGATTAGGCTTTAGTGAAAAAATTGAAAATCAGTTTATTATGCGAATCTCAAACAATTTAATTTTTATTGTTTCTTATGTATGGTTTTGGTCGCCTGTTTTATTAATTGGGTATGAAATATATCTTTATTTGTAGTATACTATGTTAATTGTATGTAGCGCTGAAAGAGAAAGGTGTTCTTCACTCCCAAAAACTTTATACTTAATATACTTGTAAATCAATGAATTATCATCACGAGATGTCTCTCTGTCCGTCTGAAAATTGTCAGTAGAATAACAGATATTCTCAGCGTATAAAAACTTGTTAAAAGACCTTGATCATTATCCATCTTCCAAACAAATTTTTAACCATAAACATAATCCCTGACATATATATACTACAGAACAGTTGTTGTTAGTGTTGGATTGCTGTAGGTGCGAATTTACTCGGAATGTGTTTAGGTTATTGTTTGTTTGGCGTCCCCTTTTTAAATTACCCCAGAATCGATTTTGTAGCATACAAGCGAAATCGTTGAATTTGTGATTTATCAGCAACAAATACGCGTAAAGAACTTCAATTTTAAAAATATCACAAAAAGACATCTTCAAACTTATGGAAAACAAAAAAAAAAAAATGACATAAATCTATGCCACACGATGCAAGCATGACGGCATGTTATTAGAGTGGGAAAATGTCAAAATTGAGAAGAAAAACTAACCTGAAACGGATGGAGAATACTCGTACGTTTCTCCGTTTGCAAATAGCGAATTTCTGCAATAACTCGTGGGGAAACCCCCTCTTGTGAATGTGGACTTTGTGATTTATGGGCGTGCGCATTTAGTTCCCATGCAGTGCCATACAGCTGTGGTTTTCTTTTAAATATAAACTTGAACTTCGAATATTCAAGCTTTGTTTTTATAAAATTTACTTTAATGACAATAAATAAAATTAGATTTGAAAAATATGTGCTTAGGTATTAATTATCCTTTTCTAGTAGAAAAGAAATGAGTGGATCCGAACAAATAAATAACACTCGAATCAATATTTTCAATATATTAGTAATAGTAATATTTACAAATATTACATAATGAATATCCACTGTAAGTCTGAGTTGATTCATATTAAAGCAACTGTAAAAAATATCTCTTGTTACTTTTTACAAGCCGCTTATCGCATTTTTTCCACCCGCTTTTTTTCAATATCATAAATACTTCACATGTGTCACTCTTCTGCTTTGCCTTCCAGATTCCCCGTCTGCGTATATGACGACATGTTCGGAGACCTGTTCTACGAGTACCATCCACAATTTCTTTGGAATCTGTTTTCCGTGTCCAAAATGATTCTAATTGAATAATTCGCCTGCGGAACTTTCGTATGCAAATTTTAGCCAGACGACCACAGCTGAGGCCAGAAACAACGCTCGCAGTCAAGCGCTGGCTATGCGTGTTCTCCTCATTGTCTAAGTGAGTGAGTGAGTGGCTAGGGTCATTATTCGATTAAAGAGAATTATTATTGTTGTCATTATTTATAATGCAAACACATGCAGCTTATGGCGCAGTCGACAGGGAACTGCCGTCAACAAACCACTTTCGTAAATCGTGCTGAACGAGCGAGTATCTTTGTATGCTGGTTGGGGCTTTGGAAATAACGACGTGTCACTACATGGCCGATTTGTTGGCTTTATTCGAGTACTGATAAGCTGTAGAATCAATATATGTACATATGAGCTGATTAGTTTGTTATTAAATTTTCAGCATTCAATTGGCAACTATTTCATATTATAGCTGGTTTGATGTAAAACCCCGTATACGAGAGCTAAGCTTAGTCATGGTGTTGCCTTATTTAAATTCAAAGTGGTGGCTGTCTGTAAAAGTTAATATATGGTGACTTTTATATAGACTCGTTTTAACAGTATTTTGCAGCTACATACTTGTATAGTTTTGATTTATTATCAGTTCTAAAGAAAGCCATAAATGTTTGCTAATAATAAACTGGTTACACTTTTCTAGAATGAATTTTTCAGTGAACTAAAGGAGAGGCGAAATTAAGCCTACACAAAAGGGAAATTATTGAAAGAAAAAGAAGTAAATATTATGATTAATAAAAAAGACATGTACAAATATATTTGTGATAACTCTTTTGGTTAAAATAATATTGATCATTTTTTGTTGTTTTTTTTTGGTGTTAAGATTAGTTTTAGATGAAGTCAAAGATTGCCACTTTCTACTTGCTAAAGATTAGAGATTAATATTTATAATTCAAAACGAAGAAAAAGATTTATAAAAAATATAAATAATATGAAGATTATGATCAAGATAAAAATTATATATTAATCAAAAAATATAAATATGCATACTATAAGCATTAGAGGTACAATCATCTATTTATCAGTATTTCTTTCCACATTACGTATTTTTTGCCCATTACTCAAAATGTTAATGGCAGAAGCACTTGTCAGAACAATTACTGTAAAATAATCAACAAATAATAATTGGATTTAAAACCACAAACTTAATATCAAATTTGTATTGTAAAATAATGGAAAAAAACCAACATTTTAAAACACAGCTTTCCTTTTAAAGCACTCGTGATATGATTTGCATATTTCCCCCCCGGCTATAATAGCAGTTTAGTTCTATTTGTGGGGCACACACAATACACGAACACTTAAAATTATATATGTAAGTACATATAGTTTCATAATGGCTGGGGCTAGGAGACTATGCACAATCCACACGAGCTTTGTGTACTCGGGTAGTCGCCTTTGTTTTTTGCCACAGCGCCAATTTCCAGCACAAGTAGCATGCAACGCCACGCGCTACGCACACCTATTTAATGGATTTCAATGCAACATAAACACCTCGTAATCCTTTTAATGCTCGCCCGTGAACACCAACACCCAAATACCCAAACACACACACACGGACATACAGTCAGCCGCCTGTGATTAAGTGCTCAACAAAAGCCTACGGACTGATTGCCATTTCTCATTCACTTTCATTCTAGTTGCCAAGACAATTGCATCGCCACAAACAAACAAATACACAAACACACATTCACACAGCAAGAAAAATAACTATATCATTTGATCTGAGATGACCAATATAACATTATTTAAAACATAAATTTATATTAATATTTTGTCCTCACTGACAACAATGAAGTACATATGTATAACATGGAGTTCATAGACAAGATTTATATACATATTTCCCAATTTGTCGTTTGAAGTTAATTATCATCAAACACTATAATCTGTGATCTGTCCGATCTGTTAAACAATTCAAAGCTAGTTTTAGTCTTTTCTGAGTATTTCATTTTAAATTGATTTGTTATACTTGGCAGGTCAGCACAATGGATAGAGGGAGGGTCCGCACTTGCTGCTGTGCCTAATAATTGAATTCTTCAATGATATGATATAGAGATCGTTTAGATTCTTCAATTGAGGCTTCTTTACATTTTGCATAGAATTAGTATACAGAACTCTATTACCTCATGGAGCAGTTTAACTGAACTTTTCTCCCGTGTTCCGAACTACACAAATATATACATATATGTATGTGAGCTTTTGTTGCCCCAAATGCCATTTTCAGCACTCGCCGCCGACTGCCATCAGTTGTGCTAATATGTAAGCACCCAGACAATGTCCTAAAGCCGTCAACACTTTCGCAAAAATAATCTGCGGAAATGCTCAACGCTAATTAGCCGCAGTACGGCTTGCATTGCCGCTGGCAAAGGAAGTCAAGAACGGACTTAGGAAGGATTGAAATGTAACCAGGCAACAGACGCGATGATGAGCGACGAGGTTGAGCTGTGAAGTGCTCGGGGAAATTTAAACATTTATGAGAACAATTTATTTAAATTGCCTGAGCACCTTTTTCAATTTGTAGCCAAAGTACACGATAAACACAGACGGGCAAATAGATGAATGAAATCTCATCATGCGGCGTTTTACGCAGTTCCAGCGGCCATGACCATGAGGGGTTATAAGTGTTAAATCAAGCTCAAGCACAGTGGTAGATTCTTCTTTTATTAGAAAGCAAATATCATCTGGGGCTGAAAAGTAGAAAAATCGTTCCCAACTACGACAAATTTATTGAGACAGTTATTTCTACGTGAGAGAACACGATGCCATCGGTCATAACTGTTGACAATAACAATTCATTCATTCAATCATAAATAAATAATTATGAAAGCATTGCTAGGAGGTTTATTGTGGTGGCTCATCATTTTCTTCATCGTCTTTCTTTTCTTCGTCTCTCTTCCTTTGTTCGGCATTTTTCTTTTCTGCAGCTTTTCTCATTTCTACGGCCCTCTTTTTTTGTTCCTCTTTCTTTTTCTTTGCTTCAGCAATTATCTCTGCTGCATATGGCACTTGTGCCCTTGCCATATACTCTACCATGCTTGGGGTGGGCGAGAAGGAGCTACTTCTTTTTAGGAAGGCATCAATGTCTTCTGGGGCTTGTTCTTGTTCTTCCATGCGCTTCAGATGACGTTGCAAACGTGCCTGTCGCACACGATCTTCTACATTATCCCGATCGAAGTCGTCTAAATCGAAATGCACATCGGCTACCGGATGGGCATAGGTGCCACGCTTTAAATACGCTTCTAGTTCTTCTGGCGTCATGTTCTTGGTTCTGATAATCTCGGTAAAGGCGATCTTCGCCTCCAGCTGTTTAACCTGCGACCGCTTCAGACGATAGAACTCCTCGCGCTCGAACTCTTCCAGCTCTCCGCATATGTAGGCATGTGTGTTAATGAACCGCGGTATGACCACGTGATCCAATGCGTTCACACGCATGTTGGTTTGACGCGAGGCATACATCATCATACGCACCATGTACTCCAACGACGCGAAGGCTACCAGATCGGTTAGCACTTCCTGGAATCGTGTGCGCACAATCTGCACGTGCTGGCCGCCACAGCCTAAGCCAGTGAGGGGATATGCGGCAACTGGACTAAATTCTAGTTCAAAGTAGTGCATCGTGATGCCCACAATTTTCTGTTGTCGTTTCGTTATGGTAGTCGTTGCCAGATGGGTGTCGGTCACATAAGCTGGATTGAAGTCGGTTCCTATTAGATTGGCCTTGGTTATTGAGAAGATCGCATTGCGCATTTTATAATCCACTTCCTCCTCCTTTTCGGCCATCAGACGCTTTAGCTCTCGCAGCTTAATATCGATTGCGTCCCGCTTACGCTTCAACAGGCCCATACCACGCTTGGCGGCTGCAATCCGCTGCTTGATTTGCACCTCGTTGGCCCGTGAGGGGAATATGATCAGGCGATCGTGTCCAGCCATGGTATATTTACTTTATTTAAGCCACCAAATAGAGGTAGGAAAAATTATAATTTTGAATTTTTGGAAAAAGGCGATTATTATCAAAAACATCAAAATATATATTATAAGCTTGTCACATATACAACTATTTTGCTTTTTCGAAGCCATGTTGTTGGTATGCTAATTGCAAACAAATTTTCTTTTCTTCCACAGAAACCATTACAAAGGACGTTTTGAACACCGAGCGGGGTTTTGAAATAGCTAAAGTTTTTAGAAAAAAACAACGTTTACTTATAAAGTGATTACAAAATACATGTAATTTCCATTTGAGTTTAGGCCACTGTGCCAAGGATATGGACAGGCACTAAAGCAGGATTTTGTTTATGTATGGGAAAAAATTATTCGAAAGCGTAGCGCGTTTATGTACGAATATGTATGTGTCGGCGGGTGGGAGCCTGCCAAATACTTGAGGTAAGCACCAGTGGGTTGTTGTTGGCGTATTTTTTAGCTGTTTCCGCTAAAGCGCGTCGACTATATATTGGTCTTTCCTCTTTGTGCTTTGTTTTCCTTTAACAAATAGGACCCATGTAGAATGTGCGGCCCATTAACGTGGCCCAAATGTAATTGAGTGTACTAACTGGCTGTGGCTGTAATCCAGCTCCAAGGATTTGTCAAGTCTGTCTAAACCTCAGGAGATTGTGTAATTATAAGCTTTTTGTTTGTATTTAATGTGCCATAATTTCCACAACATTTACTTATTAATTAAAAAATTCGTGCAAATTGAAAGCCATTTCTCTTCTAAGTCGCTCGCATTAGCTGTTGGATTTTCACCATAAATTTCATTTTATTATAAAAGTTTTCAAGTTTCAACAACTGCAGCTGCTGCCGATGCTGCTGTTTTTAGAAATTTTGGACCGCCTTGCCGCGGTCATGTGCAAGACCGCATAGCTGCGCAATCGCTTGTCTTTTTGTCTCTCTGCCTATGAATATATGAGTGTGTATATCTGTCTGGTGCGGGTGGCCATGGCTGCCTGTTTCCTGTCTATTTATGTCATTTTGCTTGCCGCAGCTCTTTGGCTTATTTCGTTTAGCATGCAGATTTTGTTCCCAACTCTTAACCAGCGAACTGGGTGTCTAGATTCGTTTTTAATTGCATTAATGTTAGCTTCCTTTTTTCCTCCAGATGTGTATATCGTGAATGCCATGGTTGTCAGTTCCTTAATTGAACATTTGTAATTAACTTCAATGGCAATCATTCTATTCTATGCATTTTATTTTTTATTTCATGCTGCTTTTTCCTTATTCCACCCACCCACCTTTTACCTTGTTCTCATTTGTCTTTTATTTGATTTTTTTGCAGTTGGCATTTAATTTCGTACCATCACTGCTAGACTTTCATTCTCCTTTTTATTGTAGCCTTTTTGTTTATTTTCGGTACTGTCTTTTCTTTCTTTCACGTTAACACAGCCGTGACAAGGTCGCACTTAGCTTGTGGTTTTCTTTATCTTTAACAGCTCAGTTAAGGCAATTGTTGCAGTCTTTTGTTTAATGCGATGAATACAAAAATCATTTCGATTTTAATCCAATTTGTCTTATGTTCTTAGCGTTTGAGCCTCAGTACTAGCTTATTTCAATGGCCAGACGAGGCGTAATTTTTGTTGTTGTTGAACCTAACATCAAACTGTTCAGCGAACCTGTCATGTACGATAATTTGTAATGCGACCGTCTGGGTTGACGCAATTATGTGCAAATAATGACAATAAGTAACACAAATTATTGGCTGGCAGCTATAATTAAGAATTACATTTCACTATTAACATTAACGGATTGAATTTTCTGCTTCATGCATGCCAAATTAAAAGTTTAAAATTCATTTCGCATGCAGGAAATTACCCACTTTAGTGCACAAGAATCAATATTTTAGTGACTTGGCTTGCTGGGGGTAGCCGTAAATGCACTTTTGCACTTTTGAGAATAATGCATTAAAGTTGCATGTGTTTGCTGCCACAGCTTGAGTGCTCAATTACGTGTCGAGAACTTTTACTTCACTTACTTTTTGGCACACTTTCAGTGGAGTGGTTGTTGCGGGAGTATCGTGTCTATAACATACTATATAGCTAATACTAAGTAAAGCAAATAAAATGCCAAATATATTGAGCTCAGTACGTGAGTAAAATATTGGCAATACAACACTGATTTAAATATATGAATAAAGACACGATTCAGGTGTCTTCGGTTAAGGGCTGCTTAAATATAAGATGCGTAGAGAATGGCCGCGCTTTTAGTTTAATTCAACAAATTAATGTTTATAATTTAATTTAATTTAAATATAGATTTGCTTCGTCGAGTGTTTTATATGAGATGTGTGGAGGAAAGTTTAAAAATGTTTTCATATTGTTTATTTTCTTTTTATATTGTTCATGTCGAGCTTATCTGTGTGTTGATAATACTAAATTATTGAAAATACTTTTTTCAAACTTCGGGCATCATAAATATAAATAATAAGCTAAATTTTTATATAGTAATGCGTAAGTCAAATCCAATTTATTCCGAATTGTTTAGAACAAAACGGAGATTGGTTTTCGAATCAGCAGACCAAAGCGTATCAGAAACGATTGTTTTTATTTCATCATCAATTTCACGCTAGCTTAATGTACTTAAATAAGTGTCAACGTGCTCGACCATCTAAAGCATACTTTCAGGCATCGGCGCAAATTAAATCTCTTAAATATTTAAACTGCAATGTGCTTATATGTATATCTACATTGGTATTTGTAGAAGTTTGTGCGAGTGTGTGTGTCAGTGAGAGTTCTTCAGTTCAAATACCTTCGCACATTACGTCACAGATGGCACAAAAACACAAATGCCCAAAGCACCCAGACGCTCACGCACACAGACCAACACACACAGCAACATAAACTGCCGTCTGATTGCCAAGCTCTTCTCTACAAGAGGGATGGAGATGCTGAAAGCTGGCAGATGCCGACGATGGTCTGACTCGTAGTCGAGTACATCGGACAATTGTCTAACTTCTTGTTTATGCTTTTGCGAGCGTGCGATTTCCGAGCATTTATTCTTCTGCCTAACACTACTTTGTCACACAGACAGACACACCTGGCTTAGCAGTTTTTGCTTTTATTCTAGTTTGCCTTAAGAAAGTGTAAAAAAAGCGCGCGGAAAAATCAATTTATGGATTTTAGTTTCATTTTTTCACGCCGTTTTCAATTCTGCAGCACATGGGACAAGCACAATGCTTGTTTTGTTTGTCTGCAGCTTGTTGCCGCCGCCAGCTGCTTCGTAGCGCCGCTGTTTGGTCTCGAAACTGAAAGCCGGGGGCGCAGCTGCTGCTCGAACACTTAAGGGGCGTTCGTGTGCACAGTGCGAAATGTTGCCAAAGGGGGAAAAAGCTAAAAATATCCGTTACTTGGCAGTACGCGCAATTAAAGCAATTGCGTTTAATTGCAATGAAATGAAACGCTCAGTTGAGTTTCTCACTCAGGTGTGTCTAAGCAGCGCCTCTAGTACTACTTGTAGGACCTTCCGTTCTAACACAAAAGCGCGCTAAAATATTCGTGAGTCGATGCGTATGTATATGTGAATGGGTGAATGAATGCGTATGTTTTACATACACAAATGTAATTGCAGTAATCCGCGTATAATTGGATTGTAAACAAGACTCGTAAATAGGAAATAATCTATTAGAGAGTCTCTTAACATTTGACAATCGGTTCACAGATTTATAGATTTGTATTTGGCCAACAACATATATATTTAATACATATACATACGTACTGCGATTATTTTCACAACTATTTTGCTGCAAAACTCGGCAAGCTTTCAACCTATTGATGTTTCGTTTTTGGATTCAACACCTTGGAGATATCACTGAGTAGGACTACTGCAAATCCTGTTGACTTCAGCCTTTATATAGCAGCCCGTTGTGTTCCACAACAGCTGATAGATGCTGTGGATGCTGCGAGAGCTTTGCCGGCCAATGCGCAGGTACAAACAAGGATGTTTGGCCCACCGACCGCACACATATCACAGGCACTCCATTTGCCTAAATCTTAAGTCAAATGAATATGCATTTAACGAACGGAAATTACTTTCATTAATTAAGTTTAAAAACAACATTTTTCTTTAAAATTCAAGATAAAAGTTTAAAAACAATCCAAAAATTACATTTAAGAAATTAATTTAATTTCAGCTCAAAAGTATGCAGCGTATCTGTTTCGCAAATAAGAGCACAGGGTGACATGCACATTGCTGGCAGGTTGGAAATGCGTAACGGTTATGTAATTCAAATTAACTTGTTTAGTTCTTGATACTTGTTCAGTAATCGAATTAATTAATTGGGCACATACATAATTGCAATTAATTATTGTACATAAATTGATAAATAAATCGTATTGAATAAACTGATAAGTTAGTTGAAATATTTAAATAAATTACTTTAAATAATAATCAATTAAAATTGAATTACAAAACGTTTGTAACTGAAATATTTATTGGGAATTTTAAACAAGGTAGACAATTTACTAGAAACTTTATTTTATAATAAATCATGTTGAATAAACGGATGTGATTGTTGAAAACAATCTTGTACTAATTAAAATAACGGATGTGTATTTTTTTAATTTGTTACAAAAAAATCGTACGTCAATGAAAGCCCTATGGCTGGCACAAATATATTAATTGCAAATTACAATAATCATTTATCTTATAATTTCTTGAAATTATGCACAATGTGTTTTTATTCTTACCTCCCAATATAAATAATCGCTTAATTTTTAGCCCGAAGAAAGTAAAAAAAAACAATGCCCCAGAATAATCCAAAAGGCCCGCCAAGATAATGAAATACTTTCTCCCTATTGGCGCTATCTAACTTAACTGGCCATTGGAATGCAGTGATATGAATATCTGAACCCTTTACGCTTGCCAACCACGTTCGCTCGTCAACAGAGCTGAGCTATGTGTCGTCTTCTTGACGTATTTGTTGCTTTTCGTTTCGTTTCTTTCTACACAGACAGACCACCAGCACCTCTTTCTTGATGTTGACGTTGATGCTTACC